ATCTTATAACTGATTGATTTATTAAGAGGATTGAAAGTTCCTGGTTGAAATTAATCTAAACTTATGGCTTTTATAATATCTTCCTCATTTTCAAAAGTATACACCTCTTCTGTAACATATTACAAATTTAACATTATTATTATATTTCTATTAATTTTTATAATTAAGTCTCAAAAATCTAATCAATATATCAGGCATAAGAATTTCTGATACAATCACACTTCGATATTTTAAAGAATTTTAAGTATTAATTATCTGATCGTTTTAAATTTTTAATTTTTAATATTCTAGTTTTAATAAGAAATTTTGATAATAAATCGTAAAATTGAAAAGATATTTTTAAAGAAATGGTTATTACAATAAGAAATAGTTAACTTTAATTTAAGTATACACAATATCAAGAAATTTATCATTCTCTACATAAGCATTCTATTTTTCCAATTAGTTTTGAGTACAGATGAAAATTATAAATTGTATGAGCAATAAAATTTGTAAACATAATAAACAAATATTATTTTTTAATAGAAATATGTTTAATATTAATTAAAATAGAAAAATAAAATGATTGGAATATCATTCTAATCTTAGTAATATTATGATTATTAAGACTTAAAATCATTATAAGATATTCTAAAAATTGATTCAATTGGATCTAATTTTATTTATGAAGATGAATAAATAATTGAATATTAAATTGATCGATCAAAATGTTTAAGATTGAGTGATCTCATTTATTTAATTGTAAATTAACTATATTATATATTATTAGAAGGAAAAGTATTTTAAATTGTATTTAGGATAACTATTAACTTTATTTAATAATTTATTAGAAAAAGTCATTTAATTATAAATTGAACATAATATTAATCATTAATATCTTGATGACAATAGAATTTGGTTGATATTTCAAGATTCAAATTAATGTTTAAATATAAATTATACTTATATAAATTATACAATTGCATTTACAGGATATTAATGTTAATTATATGAATAAGGTTAAGATTTAATTATACCAGCAGAATAGAAAATATAATAGATTATTAAGGATATTTTAAATAATTTTAAGAATAATAAAATATATATTAATGATTCTTAAAAAGATAAAATTATTAAATACATTTATGATCCAATCATAACAGAATGTAATAAATAAAATATATAAAATACTTTAAAATTACTATTAGATATTTAAAAACAATTTAAGTTTAATAAAGAAAAATAAACTATTGAATTAGATTAAAATATAATTTAATTAATAGATACAAGCATTATTAAAAAAGGAATAGTTTAAGATTATTGGAAAGAACTAATTTAAAATATAATCGGTGAAAGCTCATTTATTATAGAAAATGTTATAATTTCATAGATTAAGCATTTAATAATTAATTTAGAACATTCAAGTTATCATTTGATCATATATGATAAAGATGTTGAAGTAGTGAATTAATTGAAATCATTTTAAGATAAATATAAAAGCATATTTGAGAAAAAAGCATAAAATATAATTTAATAATAATTTGAAAATACTTTAAATAAATAAATGGAAAATTATAAATTTGATATTTATGAAGAAGAAAAAAAAAATATATTAAACAGTTTATTAAACAGAATTTTAAAAATGAAGTTGAATAAATACTTTTAGAATTCTCCACATTATTTTTTTAAAACAGATTCAAATCAACTTCTATAATATTAATTAAATTTAATTACTAAATTATCATAACCTATAATCATAGAAGAAGTCGAACTATTGATTGATTTTAAAAACCAAATGATGATTGATCAATTAATTTGATTTTTTTATATTATCAACAACACCTATAACAATGAATTTGATCTACAAGTTGTAAAGTGTGCAATTTAAATTTCAATTTAGTTTAAGTAAATTTTAGATTAATTATTTAATTTTAATTATTGATATCTAAAATTTGCTATTTAGTCCATTCATTTCTCTGATATAATTATAAAGTTAATAAGTATATATGGAAGATAAGTGATTGAATTTCATCATCAATCTTTTCTTTTAGAGTTTTCATGATATAAATAGCTTTATAAAAATATATCAATTAGTCTAAATTCTTTTAGATAATATTTTAATGTCAAGTCATATATATAAGAATTCCTCGATATCAACTTGGCATAAAAGAGCAGGAACATTCGAATCTAATTTTTTTTTTTTTAGTATAAATCAAAAGTTATCTAGTGGATTTCTCACCTAAATGCACTCTCTTTGAATGATTAAAAAATATTAATATATTAAATTCCTTGCTAGTATTTCTTTATTTTGATAATTAATAACTATTTTATTTTAGATAATTTTTATAATATTCTATATTTATTTAGGAAATTAAGTAGCCATTATGATCTTTATTAAAGTATATCCCTTTCATCAATTTTTACTGCTTGTTGCTATGAATTTAAATTCTAATAACATCATTGCCTCTATTCATTGTTAATATAACTTTTTAGATACCTAAAATATTGTATATTAATCATCAAAATGAAGAATGAATTGAGTTTCACAGGTTTCTTTATCTTATAAGTATTCCTATCTTGGTAATCGTCTTGCAGGGCTATAGTAAACCTTATATTACATTCTCAGACATCCAAATGCCTTATATTTACAATAATCCAAATTATTGTGCATTAGTTTAGAATAGTTTAAATTACCCCAAATAATTAATACAATTTATCAGTTATCTTAAAATAGAGAATATTTAAGAAAGGGATTTAGGGCAAACTGTTAATAAATATNATTAAAAAAGGAATAGTTTAAGATTATTGGAAAGAACTAATTTAAAATATAATCGGTGAAAGCTCATTTATTATAGAAAATGTTATAATTTCATAGATTAAGCATTTAATAATTAATTTAGAACATTCAAGTTATCATTTGATCATATATGATAAAGATGTTGAAGTAGTGAATTAATTGAAATCATTTTAAGATAAATATAAAAGCATATTTGAGAAAAAAGCATAAAATATAATTTAATAATAATTTGAAAATACTTTAAATAAATAAATGGAAAATTATAAATTTGATATTTATGAAGAAGAAAAAAAAAATATATTAAACAGTTTATTAAACAGAATTTTAAAAATGAAGTTGAATAAATACTTTTAGAATTCTCCACATTATTTTTTTAAAACAGATTCAAATCAACTTCTATAATATTAATTAAATTTAATTACTAAATTATCATAACCTATAATCATAGAAGAAGTCGAACTATTGATTGATTTTAAAAACCAAATGATGATTGATCAATTAATTTGATTTTTTTATATTATCAACAACACCTATAACAATGAATTTGATCTACAAGTTGTAAAGTGTGCAATTTAAATTTCAATTTAGTTTAAGTAAATTTTAGATTAATTATTTAATTTTAATTATTGATATCTAAAATTTGCTATTTAGTCCATTCATTTCTCTGATATAATTATAAAGTTAATAAGTATATATGGAAGATAAGTGATTGAATTTCATCATCAATCTTTTCTTTTAGAGTTTTCATGATATAAATAGCTTTATAAAAATATATCAATTAGTCTAAATTCTTTTAGATAATATTTTAATGTCAAGTCATATATATAAGAATTCCTCGATATCAACTTGGCATAAAAGAGCAGGAACATTCGAATCTAATTTTTTTTTTTTTAGTATAAATCAAAAGTTATCTAGTGGATTTCTCACCTAAATGCACTCTCTTTGAATGATTAAAAAATATTAATATATTAAATTCCTTGCTAGTATTTCTTTATTTTGATAATTAATAACTATTTTATTTTAGATAATTTTTATAATATTCTATATTTATTTAGGAAATTAAGTAGCCATTATGATCTTTATTAAAGTATATCCCTTTCATCAATTTTTACTGCTTGTTGCTATGAATTTAAATTCTAATAACATCATTGCCTCTATTCATTGTTAATATAACTTTTTAGATACCTAAAATATTGTATATTAATCATCAAAATGAAGAATGAATTGAGTTTCACAGGTTTCTTTATCTTATAAGTATTCCTATCTTGGTAATCGTCTTGCAGGGCTATAGTAAACCTTATATTACATTCTCAGACATCCAAATGCCTTATATTTACAATAATCCAAATTATTGTGCATTAGTTTAGAATAGTTTAAATTACCCCAAATAATTAATACAATTTATCAGTTATCTTAAAATAGAGAATATTTAAGAAAGGGATTTAGGGCAAACTGTTAATAAATATATCTAAGGATTTAAAAAAAAAAACTAGCTAAATTAAGAGAATAACTATAATTAGCATTTGTTTTAATTAATTTATTGAAGTTGCATTTCTAATTATATAATATTTACAATTGGCATTTTTAAATTAAAATTATAAAATTTGTTATAAATACCACTTTACTGTTATTTTTATAATAATGTAAAATAAAATAATTGAAGTTAATGACTTCTAAACATAATTTAAGTATTTAAATAATATACAATAAATAATCCTGTTATGTTAAATTTGATAAATACAAACATTATAATTGTCAAATTAACTCATTAATCAAGGTCAATATTTTGAAATCAATTAATAGTTCCACTTCTTCTATGATTATAGGTTATGATAATTTAGTAATTAAATTTAATTAATATTATAGAATTTGATTTGAATCTGTTTTAAAAAAATAATGTGGAGAATTCTAAAAGTATTTATTCAACTTCATATTTAAAATTCTGTTTAATAAACTGTTTAATATATTTGTTTTTTCTTCTTCATAAATATCAAATTTATAATTTTCCATTTATTTATTTAAAGTATTTTCAAATTATTATTAAATTATATTTTATGCTTTTTTCTCAAATATACTTTTATATTTATCTTAAAATGATTTCAATTAATTCACTACTTCCATTTTATTATCATCATTGATCGAAGAAGATCTTTTAAATTCAAAAAAAAATATTAAATGTTTTATCTTTGAAATTATAACATTTTCTATAATAAATGAGCTTTCACCTTTTATATTTTAAATGAGTTCTTTCCAATAATCTTAAACTTTTCCTTTTGTAATCATTCTTTTATCTATTTTTTAAATTATATTTTAATCTAATTCAATAGTTTATTGTTCTTTATTAAACTTAAATTGTTTTAAAATATCTAATAGTAATTTTAAAGTATTTTATATATTTTATTTATTACATTCTGTTATGATTGGATCATAAATGTATTTAATAATTTTATCTTTTTAAGAATCATTAATATATATTTTATTATTCTTAAAATTATTTAAAATATCCTTAATAATCTATTATATTTTCTATTCTGCTGGTATAATTAGATCTTAACCTTATTCATATAATTAACATTAATATCCTGTAAATGCAATTGTGTAATTTATATAAGTATAATTTATATTTAAACATTAATTTGAATCTTGAAATATCAACCAAATTCTATTGTCATCAAGATATTAATGATTAATATTATGTTCAATTTATAATTAAATGACTTTTTCTAATAAATTATTAAATAAAGTTAATAGTTATCCTAAATACAATTTAAAATACTTTTCATTCTAATAATATATAATAAAGTTAATTTACAATTAAATAAATGAGATCACTCAATCTTAAACATTTTGATCGATCAATTTAATATTCAATTATTTATTCATCTTCATAAATATAATTAGATCCAATTGAATCAATTTTTAGAATATCTTATAATGATTTTAAGTCTTAATAATCATAATATTACTAAGATTAGAAGGATATTCCAATCATTTTATTTTTCTATTTTAATTAATATTAAACATATTTCTATTAAAAAATAATATTTGTTTATTATTTAAGCAAGGTAATTAAAATTAATATACTAAGATTTCTATTTATATTCTTATAAATGTAAATAATTTATCATTGAACTAGCATGATAATGGCAAACATTACAAAAGACCAGATTTAATTATTATTGCTTTCACATTCTACCTATCCAATAGTTCCACAATCTGGTTTGTTGTACGCTTTCGCTTCTTCAATGGTTGGGCATGAAGAATTAGCATCTTTCTTTATGCATTCTAAAGTAGTTGAACCAACAGCTTTCGCAGAGGAAACTTCAGCACCATCGATTGTAGAAGCATCTTCTAAAAATCTGAATCTCCTAGTTGAATTTGGATCTTCAAGTTTACCATTAACTGAGAATTCAACATTATTAGCAAGAATATCAATATTTAGGGTATAAATAGTTTATCCTGGTTGTTTTTACTATTAAGTGGGCTTCAATTTCTTATTCACTCCATCACCAGTTATAGTAACATCAGCATCTCCAACTTTCCATTATTCAAATCCAGTTTATTTTACTCTTTAAACAACATAGAAATTTTAACCAGCATATACTTATGGTTATTCAACAAGGGTTGAACAGGTTTGATCACTGCAGAATCCTACTTCAGTTTCTGCTCTAGAAACACAATTATCTTCAGTTGCACAAGCAGGAGTGTCATCTTAGGCTTCAGATGTGGCTTGAGCTGTTAAAACATTTCCATCCAAGTCAACTGCTACAAAGAATGTAAAGAAGAATTAAACTAATTTCTTCTCCTATATTGTTAGTTTGACTGAATAGTAACCAGTATAGACAATTTTATCGGTTTATTCATCTTTGAATAATTTACTATCTATGTCTGCATTCAAGATTGTGAATTCCCAAATTCTTAATTGTTTATCATCGTCATAACTGCTTGTAACAGTTGAATCATCTAATGTTTCACTTAAGAAACTTGGTCTATATCTGTAAATTTATCTCTCTATACAAGCATTGGCATTTCCGTCTGATTTAATAAGTGGTTTATCTTTGTTATCAGGGAATGCTAATTATACAACAACATCTTTATTGTCATTGAAGTCAGCTTTTCCATCAAATTTCATTGGTAACTTCTTTTTTCCACCTTCCTGTTTGCTTTGAACTTTATCCAAATTTTCGCAGGTGGAGGCGACACATCTATCTTTGAACACTATTTCATTTTCAGCACAAGTCACTTCAACTTCAATACATTGTTGTTATTATTCTGAATCTTAAGTCCATTATCCTTTTGATTAAGGTGGCCCTTAAGGTTTTTATCCTTATCCCTGACCTTATCCTTGACCTTATCCTTATCCTTAACCCATTTATCCTTATCCTTAACCCATTTATCCTTGTCCTTAGCCCATTTATCCTTGTCCTTATCCTTATCCTTATCCTTGTCCTTAACCCATCTAACCTTGGCCTTATCCCATTTATCCTTATTGCTAACCTCCTTATTATTGTCCAGGATATTACCCTCCTTATTACTATTAACCACCTTGTTATTAAACACCGCCTGGTTTCTAAACACCGCCTTGTTATTGGACTCCACCTTATTATTAAACACCGCCTGGTTATTAGGCTCCACCTGGTTATTAAACACCGCCTTGTTATTAAACTCCACCTTATTATTAAATACCGCCTGGTTATTAGGCTCCACCTGGTTATTAAACACCGCCTTGTTATTAAACTCCACCTTATTATTAAATACCGCCTGGTTATTAGGCTCCACCTGGTTATTAAACACCGCCTTGTTATTAAACTCCACCTTATTATTAAATACCGCCTGGTTATTAGGCTCCACCTGGTTATTAAACACCGCCTTGTTATTAAACTCCACCTTATTATTAAATACCGCCTGGTTATTAGGCTCCACCTGGTTATTAAACACCGCCTTGTTATTAAACTCCACCTTATTATTAAATACCGCCTGGTTATTAGGCTCCACCTGGTTATTAAACACCGCCTTGTTATTAAACTCCACCTTATTATTAAATACCGCCTGGTTATTAGGCTCCACCTGGTTATTAAACACCGCCTTGTTATTAAACTCCACCTTATTATTAAATACCGCCTGGTTATTAGGCTCCACCTGGTTATTAAACACCGCCTTGTTATTAAACTCCACCTTATTATTAAATACCGCCTGGTTATTAGGCTCCACCTGGTTATTAAACACCGCCTTGTTATTAAACTCCACCTTATTATTAAATACCGCCTGGTTATTAGGCTCCACCTGGTTATTAAACACCGCCTTGTTATTAAACTCCACCTTATTATTAAATACCGCCTGGTTATTAGGCTCCACCTGGTTATTAAACACCGCCTTGTTATTAAACTCCACCTTATTATTAAATACCGCCTGGTTATTAGGCTCCACCTGGTTATTAAACACCGCCTTGTTATTAAACTCCACCTTGTTATTAAATTCCGCCTTGTTATTAAACACCACCTGGTTATTAGACTCCACCTTATTGTTAAACACCACCTGGTTATTAGACTCCACCTGGTTATTAAAATCCACCTGGTTATTAGACTCCTCCTGGTTACTAAAATCCACCAGATTGTTATGTTCCACTAGGAAATTATCCTGTACCAGGTTACTATTATGTTGTTTATGTGCCTGATGGTTATTATTAAACTTATTAACCAGGAAGTTGATTTCCAGGCATAGTTTATTAACTAGGTTATTATTATTGTCCTTATTATTATTATTATCCTTATTGTTATAATCCTTGTTGTGCTTATGTTGGTTAGCATTTCTTGGCCCTTCCACCAGGTTATTATCCACCAGGTTATTATCCACCTTGTTGCATACCTCCTTATTGTTATCCTCCTGGTTATTGGCCACCTTAAAGTTATAAGAGATTGTGAATTACCAGCTGTATTTTATTATCCTTGTAAACCAGTTGGGGCACCTTATGGAGGACTAGAGCTACTTGAGTTAGCTAAATAAACTAGATTAAAGGATCTTACGTTGACCAGGTTGTGGAGCATCAGAAGGAAGTTGTGTAAAAACTGAAGAGATGATGCAAAAGAGTAGTAAAATTTTGATGATTCTCATTTAAGTAAATTAATTATGTATTTTTTCATTTTTTATTAACGAGTTATAAATCTTGTCGGTATAATATTGAGTTTAATTATTGAAATTTGTTTATAAATGTAATTCAAAAGATACAATTGTTGTATTATAATTTAAAGCTAATTTTATGTTCAAGATTAATATAGTCCTCCCCAAACAGTCAAGCCCTTATGAATACTAAAGAATTGGTGATAAAAGAATAGTAAAATTAAAGAAAATTTAATATCTGATTTATCATCACAGATGATTGATTTTTTCTTTTTTTTTTCTTAATTATACTCCCAAATGAATTCTTAGTAGTAAATCAATTAGACTTGAGTTAAAAGATAAAGCAATTTGATATCAGATTAATGTATAGTATCTAATTTAAAATAATTGTTTTCATCTATATTAAGTGTCTTACAAGTAGATATAAAATCACATAATATTGGAATAAAGTTGTTTATACAATAAATAGATTTAAGTAATCCTATGAAACAAATAAATATATTTATATTATTTATAACTAATATATTGTTAATGAGTAGAAAAATGAAAATGAATTTTATCCTTTCAATAAAGCTAATAAGTAGTTAAATATGCATTATTTTTTATATGATCATAATCATATGATAAGCATTTTTTAGAAGAATCGTTTCAATGATTTATTTTGATAAATTCTTTTGCTATTTTTTCGTTACTCTAAAGATTGTATTCATGTTTAAATATAATTAGACAAATTTTTAATGGTGAAAAAATAAAAGATAATTAACAATTTTGCTGTTTTTGGATTCTTATTTTCAATTATTATTGTCTAAAAATCTTACTAAATATTTTAGATGATTGCATTAAGTTGCAGGATTTAATAATTTTGAAAATTATTTTCTTTTTCTTCAAGCTCATAAATAAAGCATTCTTCCTATCTAGATTGTTTATTGAACTTATTTTCTTTTCATTCTTTAAATATTGACTACATAAACTTATGATCATGTCTGACCTTTTAAATTTCATATCTTGCCATATCTTTCAGTAAGAGTTGACTTTTTATTTGTTAGATTATGATACTGTTACTTCCATTACAAAAAGTTCTAAATTAAATTAGAAAATACTATTATAAATCAAGTTTAACAGGGCTTATCAGTCAAGTATAGGTTAATTAACAGCTTATTAAACCTTTTACCTAATATACATAGTTTTTTACTGTAATTCTATAGCATGAAAACTTCTAAACAATCTTGATCTATATGAAACCATTTCCCAAAATCCATATATTCTCAAGGTAAAAATAAATAAATGTGTTATGATATTAAACTTATTAATTATTTACAATCTAAGCTTTAAACTTTTATAATTTATGAAAGTAGCTAAAAATTAAAGTTTAAGATGTAAATTCACTTAATAAATGATTTCAAAAATATTATTTTGGCTACTAGACTTCCATATAATTAAATTAAAATATGAAATATGAACTAAATCAAATAATAAAGAAGATTAGTCAAAAAATAACTTTAATCTTCTGAAACCACTATGATTAAACATAAAATAATAATGAAAAACATTTAGCATTTTTCTTTATCAAGATAATTGATACTTTATTGTTTTGTTATAAAATTTGTTGTTTTATTTTTAAATAAACAAACTAAGATTATTCTTGAGTTTACTTTTCTTTCCTGTCCATATTTTAATTTGTCATAATAAACAAATTATTAATTTCTCAAATTTATTAATATATATTAAATGAATTTTCATAATAATTATTAATATTAGTTTTAGTATCAATTCTTTTTAATATCCTATAAAATATGGATCTAATTTAATAACCATTTATGAGATTCAAGCTAGAGTATTTAGTATAATAGAATAGATCATAAACTCAATAGGAAATTATCCAATTTTATAGTAATATATAAGTCAAATAATTGAAAACAGAATAGAATTTATAGCAGTAATAGGATACATACTTTATTCAATAAAGTCTAATTATAAATTTACTAATAGCCTATTTTTATTTATTAATTCTTTTTCAATAATCCTAATTATATTTATTATAAGAAATGACAAAATAATAGATTCTTCAAATAACAATTGAAGAATAGAAAATTAATTCAAGTGATATGATTTAATATTTATAAGAATTCTCAATTTTGAGTTAATAATACATTCCAAAACCAAATGCAATAAAGTATTTCCTATTTTTGCTATATATTGATCAGACTCTTTGCTAAAATAATATGAGCCTCTGTCATGTGCTTCACTTTAATATTCGAATATAGCAATAGATTTAAAATATAGCAAAATATCCTATTAGAATTGATTGATAAAATCATCATTGAATGTTGTTTTTAAACTATCAAGCTATGTATAGAATTAGTTTACTCTGGCAGATAGAAGCATTATTATTGGATCGATTTTTGGATACTTAGAATTGCAATAAGAAAAGTGATAATATTCTTTAAAAAAAAATTATCTCCTTAAAAAAGTTATTATCTAATTTCTTAGGTTTAACCATAATTTTAATAGGTTTAAAGACTCTTCTTTAATACATAATAGTCAGTCATTATAATAAAATGTAATAATTGAATAAATTATGTTTTTAATATTAGATAAGTAAAACAATATAAATCAAGGATAATAATATAATTTACTTGTTTATTATCATATTTTTAGTGGATTTAATTTCATTATGATGTCAGGTAGTTTGAGATAAGATATTTTATGATCAAGATTGAATTAGTGCTAGATTAAATAATTAAAGTAAATAATAATAAAATCATGAATAACGAGCTTCTGCAATTTTAGTTGATTTTATTATCTTCTTCTGTGATAACTTTATTTTATATTTACGACAGAGAATTGAGTAAATCTAAGATTTCAATCTTGTTCTCTGTTTGTAATATCAGCATTTTTTTGATTGAGACAAGGATGATAGGAAATTCGTAGTGTATTTATATTCTCCTAAAATTATTAGATTTAACAATAGCAGCAGCACTATTTCTAATATTTAAGTATTATACTAAACAACCAGATGAAACCTATATTCCATAGATAAATATTTTGAAAACTTAAGTTTCAGAACACCCAGGAAAAATAGACTAAGAAATGGAATAATACCCTCAATATCTACCAGCCATTCAATCCATTCATGAAGAAAGTAACTCAAACATGACACCCAAGCAGATACCAGTTTCTAATGAAAATATTAATGGACCCTAGAATACTACAGAGAGGGGAAAATAACATATTAAACAAGATTCTATGATGGGTTTCTTAGGAGATAAAAAAAGATCCTCTTATACTAAAAACAATACCAATAGTGTGATTCCTTAGAGATAGTAGACTAGTTAGCTAACTTAAGGTAAGAATATTAAAATTTATAAAGCAAACTTCAATGTGATAAAGTTTTAGGATGATTGTGGAGAGATAAAATTTGGTCTTCTAAAAACATTGAAATCAATTAATTTTGATTAATTAGGAAAGGAGATTGAGATTATATATCAAAATGACAAAACACTTACAAGATTGTTATCAAATATTGAGAAAAAATCAGGACCTCGAATGTAGATTCTTTATGAGAGTCAATAACCAGCAAATCCTATCATTAATGATAATTTAAGAGGGGGTATATAATTAGATTATGGTAATAATGATTAACTTCAAATAAATGAACAAAAATAGGTGACATGGAAGAAGATATTTTAAGTATTAAGTTTTTAGATAGCTTTAATTTGTAATTTGTTAATTTTAGAATAATGGTAAATAAGATAGATTGTTCTATTTTCTTTCATTTGTTTTAGATATATATTTGTCTTTTCAAAATTAAAGATAAAATAATTAGAATTCTAATTAGAATTCAGATAAATTATAATATGGAGTTCTCTTATATTTTTACCTTTGATTTCTTTATTTATTTTAAATCTTATAGAGAAGAATATTGCTTAAATTATAAATTCCATTGCTTAATTGATCTCAATTATGATCACACTTAAATATTACAAATCATTATAAGAGTATTTTAATAATATTTATATTTAGACATCCTTATTCAATATCTTTTTATATACTTTTGTTGGCCATAATTCTTTGTTTTATTTGAAGCAATACCCTTTTATGATTTAATAATTTTTAAGTATTATTAAAATTTGTTTATTTCATACTCATAGTCTCATATAAAATCTTAATAATATATAGTAATATTAAGTTTATCTGAAAGTCTTATTAATTTTATCCATATTAGTTCATAAGTTTAAGTTATGTAGATATTTAGTTATATTTTTTATTTATCTTTATATATTTTACGTCCAAATTCATTCTAAATCAATTGTTTAAATTTATTAATTGTCATTTGAATCTCAATTGAAAATGGAGATATATACTTTCTTTTATAGGGTGGTGTATGACCTTAGTTATCAATTCAACGTATTTTTATTTATTTTATAACCTAACTTATTATACTGATTGATCAAGCAGATTCTTGCTATATAGAAACAAAGATGATTAGATAATAATATTAAATTCTATTCAACTAAAGTAATTTCATTTGTATAACGATAACTCCACAATAATACATTAGTGATAACCATAGCTAACATAGATTCAGAGTCTATAAAAGGAAATTGTTATTAGTATAATATCTTTGTGAAAAAAATTATAAAAGTGAGACATATAGACTTTACTAAATGATGTGACGATGTTGCATTAAAATATATCTCATTTTTAACGAGTTATTCAGGTCTTCTAATGATTATATATAAATGGAAGATTTTTAGAATGTATTAATACAAAAAATATTCTTACAATTTCTAGATTAGGTGTCATTTAAACTTAAATTGAGAGTATTTATAAAGAAACCCACTAGTATCTTTTGTTTCATAAATTTATTGTTTTTAAAGGGAAGAATTTCTGGATCTTATTACTAATATTTAGTGTTGGAATCAATTTGTAAATCTTTTGAAAGTCAAAAAGGTAAAGGCAGACGAAAATTTCAAGATGTGAAATTCTTAATCCCAAAACTCTGTGTCACACCAATCATAATAAAGTTTACTATTTCAAATAATTATACTGCTAATTACTGACTTTTATTTCCAAATAATCTCCTTTAAATACATAAATAAGTTAGTTGGTTAGAGTCAATATAAGCAGATAAATCTCTAAATAAATAATTAAATTATTAAACAGGAATATTTTCACTTTAGATGACATAATAATAAAAATAAATTCTTAGAATCAAAAAGAATAAAATATACAAATAAATTTAATCAACAGGAAGTGTATATATCAATGGATAATACTAATTAAATAATTAATTGTTGAAGTACATAATAATAAGAATCTCATCCTTAAAATAATATGATTATTGAAGAAATCATTAAAAATTTATAAAATATATGAACTAAGATAAATTAAGTCTCATATTAATAGAGAAATACTCAGATTTAATATTCTAAAACAGAATTAAAATCACTTTCAAATCTATAAGATTTATAAGATTTGCTTTCTTTTCCTTAATAATTTATTAAATGGTCGTATTACTCCTTTGAGTATTTTATAGATACTATTTTAAATTTTGAATTAAGTCTATCTAAAATATGAATAATTAAATCTATAATGATAATTAATATTCATATGAAAAAAAATAATATGTTATAATAAATATCATTAATGTCAAATCAAAATATGACACTAATTGTTTAAAAATGAAGTTCCACACCCCTGTGGGTATATTATTATTCTTTTTTGAGAAATAATAATTAATTAACCATATTAAAAATTTTTAATAAATTATTCATTAATTTATATAGTGTTGTTGAATAAATAATTAATTGATTTTAGAATACTTTAGATAATTGTTAATAATTAGATTTTAGATTATAAAAGAAGATAATAATTGATTGAATCTTTTATGTATTATAAACAATTGTTTTGAATACAAAAAAATTGGATGACTTTTATAATAATATTATTAATTTAATAAATATATATTTGTAAAGAATTATGTATTAAAGCCACTTAAAAATTAATCAAATAATATAAAGATATAATTTAGATAATATTATTACTATAAATATGTCAAAATAATGTCGTGTATGTAACAAGAAACATAAATTTAACTTAAAAGGGATCTTGTCATACCCTTAACACTTATTTTTTGGAAAAATACCTAATTATTTTAGAAGAATCACTTAAAAATTAGATGAAAAATAGGTTAAAAAAGTAAATTTGTCTGATAATCATATATGTTATATGATAAATGAGGATATATGTGATGTATGTTGGAAATTCATGTATTAAGGATTTTAATGTTAAAAATGCAATACATATAATTACCATTGTTAAAGAGAAAAAAAAATATGTTGCTTCTGTAAGGTTGCCTATTGTTTAAAATGCGTTAGAAGAGTCGATTTATTTTCTTAGAATGGATTATGTACATTTTGTTAATTGCGTCATTCAGAATGTACAAATTCTATAAGATATTTATTCTCTTTGTTTGTTGCTTTGATATTTCCTTGGTTAGCCTTTAAGTATCAAGCAAATAGATTAAATGAAACATTTGAAAAAATTTAGTATACAAATTTATAGAAAATATTTGGTTTCTCATCATTTGTGATAATGTTTCCATTAATATATTGCATATGTTTAATTGGATTTAGTATTATTTTAATTTGGAAAGGATTTAATTTGATAATAGTACCTTTGAAAAAATATTATTTATAGAAAAAAGTTATAGAATGAATTATGAAATATATAAATTTTGTTATTCATTAGTTGTGCTGTAATTATAAAATATATATTATTTATTTGGATTAAAAATAAATGTGAATTTTTAATCAAATTATCAAAAGAGGGAAATAATATATAGAATATAAAATTTAATTGGGTTTATGGATGATATTTCAATAGAATTATAAAATATAATTTATAATTCTACATTTAGGATATATCAAATTATTAATAATAAATTTATTAATAATTAGAATACTTTGTTTTAAGGAGTATATTATAATTTTAATTTGAAAATAAATTACTATCTTAGTTGATATTAAAAATAAACAAAAATATTTGTATTTTATAATATTCTATTTATATTGTCTTTTAAATTTATTGTAATGAATTTTTATGAGATGGTTATATGGTTATTGTTTAAAAATATAGAGTTTGTGTAGATAATTATTATAATTTATTAATAAATATTTAATTTTATGTCTGGTAAGGAAGACGAATATGAAAAGTTGTTGTCTGAGTAGAATCTGAAGGATAGATTAGAGGCACCATAAACAGAAACTGCAAGATAAAGAAAATGGCGTATAGTGAAAAGAAAGTTTGCAGAAGTTTAAGTGTATGCAAAATAAGGATTCATAATGGGATCTTTAGTTGGAGGTGGATTTGGATTAGTAACAGGTTTATGGGCAGCAGTTTAATACAAGAAATTATCTATGATTCCAATATCAGTAATAGTAAGTGGTGGAAGTTTTGGTTTCATCATGGCTTGTGGTAGTATGATTAGAAGTGATGAATTAATTGGTGGTGAATATTAATAGCATTTCAAATTAAATAATTAAGAAGTGCCTATTGAATAATTCTGGTTGAATAGAAAGTTTGAATGAATTATGATTAATTGTTAATCAATTTCATCAAGACTGTTATTATTTAATGAATTATTATTTTCTAATTTCTCTGTTATATTATTTTCTAATTTTTCTTTCTTTTATTCTTATAAATCTATTTATATTAAGTTAATAGATGTTAAACTGATATTATATATACAAAGAATAGATAGTTGCAGAGAGAAGATAATGGAAAAAGATGTTCATATTCTATATTTATAAGTAAATTTCTATATTATTTTAAATGCAGTACTATGTATAGATCAAGTCATCTAAAGTTTCTAATGATGGATTTAATTCCTGCAAAGATCAATTAAAGGATTGCATATGGAAATAGAAGAGGAAAGAGCAAAATGAATAGGAGTAGAGCAGTACAAAATCTATTCTTACAAAAATCATATTGGTGGATTGGATCAAAGAATTTAGTCAATAAGTAATTGATAGCTAAGTAAGGTAAAAGTAATCCTACAACTAATATCATTATTATATAAGCAATTTTGTATTAAATGAATTCCCATCTTTAACAAGAATAGCAAATTCCTTTAGAGGTTGAAAAGAGTTCAAGTAGAGATCCACAATATAAACAAAGATTGGATTAACAGAAATTACAATGCTTTATTGATTCATTCTATACAAAATTATATACTTGACATTTCTAACAAGTGAATCCTTATTGAATTAGTTACCAACATTATTCACATATGTATTTTTCATTATGAAATAGTATATAATGATCAGTAAGTATGAGTTAGTGATTGTGCAGTGTAATCAATTTCAACACTATTTGTTGTATATAAAAATTTTTGTATTGACTCTTAAATTCTATTGGAAACAAGAATAGAGCTTATTTTAAGATTCCAAGTGACATTCCACATAAGGAACAGCAATGTTACATGCTTAATATTATTAAAATTATAATTGCTTAAATGTTTATGTTATTTAATCACCTTTTTAATAGTCTTTTCTATAAAAGTTTCTCATCTTTAGGTATTCTGCCAAACTTGTCTTGGACCTACCAATCAAATATTACTCCTGGATTTGATAAGAATTGTAAAGCTATATCATTACCAACAGACACAGCTAAATGGGCAACAGTTCTGTTATCTTCTGTTCTATATTGGGTGAAATCTCTTTCACCAGCTTCATAGAATAGATTAAGCATCTCTGCTTTCCCATTCACAATATCCTACATTAAGAGTTGGGTTAACTCTTTAATAGGAGCAATTAATTTGCCTTAAAATCTCAAGAGCAATTAGATCATTTGATTATTCTTAGCCATTACAGCTTCATACATAGGACTATGTTTCCATCTATCTACATTATTTACAATTTATGGACATTTTCTTAGAATAAGTTCAGCAATTTCTAATGAACTTTCTCTAGCAGCTACATGTAATATACTTCTTTTATCATAATCTTATGCTTTATAATTGATTTCCTATTTTTAATATATATAAATAATCTATTACAATTTTAGATAATTTCATTGATGATAATTTCTTTTTTTGTACACATATTTAACATAAGATATTAGGAAATACAAGATCTTTGTTAAGATCTATTTTTGAATGTTATTATTTAATGGCTGATGATAATGCCATTAAAAAAGGTTCAGTTTCAGCAGTACCACCTGATTCTGTTAATTCACCTCTTATATCTCTTTGAAATTCATCTTTAATTCTATCAACATCATCAGTTTAACCTAATAAATATCCTAGTTTTGTAAAAGCTGCTTATGATGTCATATCACCTCCACTTATTCTAAAAAATATATAAATTATGTATATATACACTCCCATATTTTCAAATATTATGCCTGTTTCATAAATCATTTCTACTTATGATGTATGACATTAAGATATATTGACTATTACAATTCCTTTTTAAGCTGCTTATGCAATTTCATTACAAAACTTTTCTTCTGTTTACATATTACCTGCTCCATATGTCTCTATTACTACTCCTTTCAATTTCTCATTCTTAAATATCTCATTTAAAGTAACATGATTTAATAATGGATTCAATCGTATTAAACTTATATTTGTACAAAATTTTTTATTCACTTATAAATTCTCTTCATTTGGATTCTTTAAAATAATATCCCATTTAATACTAATATTCACTCCAAAATATCCTAATGGAGTGAATTTTGGAGAATCAAATGAATCCAAAGAAGATGAATTCACTTTCTAAGCTCTATTACCTCTCAACAATTTATCTTAAAAACATATTAATACTTCTGGAATTGTAAAATGACCAGCTATTGTAAGAGCATTAAGAAAATTAGTAAACCCATCATTTCTTGGTTATGATAATGGTACTTAACTTCCTGTTAATATGACTGTTTTAGATAGATTTTGGAACATAAAAGATAATGCACTTGCAGTAAATGCCATTGTATCTGTTCCATGCAATATAATGAAACTATCATATTATGTATAGGCTTTCTCAATTCTCTCAGCTATGGTTACCCAATCATCTGGAGTAATGTTTGAAGAATCAAGTAATTTATCTAATTCATCTACTTTAAACCATATCCTTCGGTTAAAGGCGGTTATAGGAGTAATTAGAAAATCATCAGTAGCCTTAAAATAGGTGTAATCCATATCACAAGAGAATGGGTTGTTTTATAGAAAGTTTTTCAATGCACCCGTTTTTGTTACATATCCTGTTTAAGATGGAAACATTGATATTGTTCCACCTGTATTTAGAATCAAAACCTTTCTAGGCTAATCACTTAATTTCTCCTTGATGATATCATGATGGTTTTGCATATCGATCACCAAATGTGATTTTATTTTAGTCACATTTTGTGTATCATCATCAATATGCATTTTAAAAATAAATTATTAATATTGAGATAAACAAAAAATCATCATGAACTATATACTTCTATATCTATTAAATCTAATTTAGATTGAACTTTTGTTAATTTTATATCATGTTGATGCTATCTTGTACTACTTGCAAGAGTATTATGATTTTTTTTTATTTTACAATGATTTAAACTATTAGGTGATCTTTTTGTCTATTAATCTTTTTTAGAACCTTTAAGAGTAATACAATCCATATCATCATCTTCATCTTCATTTTAAGAATCTAATGGAGCCATATGATTTTATAAACTTGGATTATTTACTCTTTTTCTTCTATTCTTATTATCTTTAGCTTATCTGGATAATTTTTCAAGTTCTACAAGAGAATTAAAACTATACTAAATTGTAGTCTCTACCATTTTTAGTAAACGTTGATTCAATGAATACTCTAAATTTTTATTATTATTTTATAAGTATTCTTAATTTTCATGATTTCTAAACTAATTTTCTAAATTTTCATTAGTTTATTCCCTATGTTAATTTTATTAATGTTATTCAAATTCTTCACAATTTTCATGAACACTAAGAGCCAAACTTTCATAAGCTTTATACAATCTTTTAAATTTTCTTTCTGTATTGTATATTTATCTACCTCCTAATAAACTTTTTGAATTGCCTTTTAATTTCAACATATCATTCTTTTTATTGGTTAAATCATTTTCAGACAATTAATTTTCATTAGATTTTACTTCTTTTAATTCTTCAACAACACATACTACTGGTTTTGGTAAGTAATTAAATACTTTTCTTTAAGTTTTATTAAGAAAAATATATTTGAATTTTTCTATTTCTTATAATTTGCTCATAACAACTAAAATGTCCATATCTGTTAAAATCATTTTCCTTGATTTTTCAAATATCCTAGCTTAATAATTAGCTGTACTATTCCTTTTAAATGAATCATATATTTATTTAATTATAAAAAGTACTCCAAATGATAATTTCTTTTTACTCTCCAAAATTAACTTTATAAATTAATCTAAGAATCTCTCTTTATCTTTATCTAAATTAGGTTAATGTTAATTTTCATGAGATTAATCAACAGATTTCTCAGATTTTAAATTTCCATATTGAATTTCATTATTAATTTTGTTTGTAGGCATACTTATATTATCTTATTCACTCTTATCATGTTGTTAAGTTGAATTTATAGGAAACTTTAATGCTGTTGCAACTCTAGTCATATGAATAACTCTATGTGCACTATGTTTAAATTTTTGAACTACATCATCAACAGATTTCATAGAATCTATTATCTTAGTAACCAAAGATTAAAAAGAAAACACTAATTCTCCCTTTTTTTCTTCTGGCATATCAAACTAATATAATGCATTAGCCATTTTAATTTATAAACCAGTCTAATTATATCTAAGTATAAAATAACCCAATACGGTAGCTAAGAATTTAGTGATACCACCAACATATGAAATGAGTTCATCTATGCGATAATATTATTTAGAATAATGCACTTCAGATTATGAAAGACGTAAGTAAAATGATGCAACTTTAGTAAGGTTAGAAGTATATATAGATTATTGTGTTAATTTATTTTCTACAATAGAAAAAACTTATTAGTTTTTTATGTCCTTTATTCCAGGGACAATTGAATTATCAACTGTCATTGCTTATTTCTCAAGATAAATATCAGTCTTTGTTTCTAGACCTAATTTGGTTGAAATATAGAAATCAGAGTAAATGTAAGAAATGTAATTGGATTCTAGATTTAAATTTGGTACTCTATTAAGCATTAAAGTGTTGATTTTAAAACTATTATTTAAATAGCCCTGGAGTTATAAATTTTGAATTTCAGATGCTGAATAACACTAGTTAGTGGAGCAAATTAGAGCTGTTATGCTTCCATATTAAAATGTATTTGATTTATAGGTGCCTTGTAAAATTAGTGTAAAATTGAGTGGTAGACAATAATAATCATTAAATTGTGTTTTGAGTATTTTCTAGAATCATATAATAAATATACATTATAGATAGTGGATTCATTAAAGTCTTTGAAATGCTAGATTGTACATTTTTCTAGTGGTATTGAGTATTTTTCAATTTTATTCAATGTACCATTTTCATTCATGTTTTACTCATATTCAGTATAGATAAAATCTATTAATTGTTTGGTTCCGTTAATTATAGGATTTTCAACTTAAAAGGCCATCATATAATCGTTATAATTAAGTATAGTTAATGGAGGATCAATATTCAATACTCTATTAGATGAAATCTCAATAGATTATTAAATATTTATACTGTAAATGTTTCTTATTTTATGAGACTGATTGCTCCTTGTATAAAAATGATTGCCAAAACAACTACCATTAGGATTGTGCAAAAACCACCAAATGGTGATTGATGAGTTTCTTTTTTTCTGAAATTCAATTTTACCTCTGCTCCAAAGGTATCACAATAAGAAACTTTCTAAATGAAATTTTATATCATATTTATATTAATAAACATAACCAAACAAATAAAAAGATTGTTAATTATCCCATAAATTGTTTATGTATAGAAATTTATTAATATAATATAAAGCATTTGTGAATACATAATCTGATGATATTATGTCTCACGACATCAGAAATAATGTTGCTGATAAATTCACGACTTCACTGATTTATTATACATATATATTTCTTTTTTGATATTTAATTAATTTTTAATTACCCTTATGAAACTAAAACTATTTTTAATTGAGTAGGATAAAAAATTAAATAAAATTTATGATTAACTACTATTTATTATGATTTTAAGATTGTTGATCAATATAAAATTAAATTAAAATGTATTAGTTAATCTAAATTATTATATATCATATTTCATTAATATTATTATTTGATATCATTAATTAAAGAATAATTAAATATTAATAAAAGTCTTAGATGTTTTTTTAATGATTTTTATTTTTAATTATAAATCAAACATTTTTAAATAGAAACATTCATATAAAAGTAAAAACAAATTATATTTTATAATTAATTTATGTTTTAATCATATGTAAATAATCGAAAATTGAAAACAGAGTCAAGTAAAATCATTCAAACTGTGAGAATGACTAAAGAATTATAAAGACCATATGAACATAAAAATTATTCTTTTGAATTTCCTAATTACTATGATTAATTACCTAAAAAACTTAGGTGTTAATCAACTTATTCAAAATTATGTGGTTTCAGATCTCATAAATACTAGTTATTTCATGATATCATTTCTGAATTTGCTGAACATAAAAAATAAAGATTGGCTAATGTAATCATACAAAATCTAAGTAATCATACTTGTATTAAGAATCAACAGAAAAATCTAATCTACCATCCTAGAGTTCAGCTCGTAACTTATTCTCAAAGAATACACCAAACTTAAATCATAATTATAGTTAATTTATGAAAAAAGTTAAAGATTTCAAAATTGCTGAACAAAATATCATCACACAAACTCCCAAGTATTTATTCATTTATTATTAGTTCAATATGTATATCTCTTACAAGATAACCCTCTCTTGAACAAGTCTTAGATACCAAATAAACCATTACTCTAAGTTGCTCAAGAAAACAAAGTCCAAAAATACTGTTCAGTATTAAACTATCTAAATTTTAGAACCTTAATAATTTATATTAAAATCCAAGTTCAAAACCAATAATGCTCTTGAAAAAATATTGACTGAAGCCAGAAATCAAATCAAAACTTCCCAATCTCCTAGATCCATATAAGTAAGTTAACACAAAAAGACCAAGTCTCAACCTACTAAGGTGTATACTGAATATAATAAACTCTTATAAAGAGTCATACTTAAAACTAAGTTGAATTAATGATTTATATTTTATTATAATTTCAATAGTGTTTATAGTATAAATTGGAAAATAAAGTATTCTCTTGTTTTCTATAGATATTTGATTTTGGTATATTGTATTATTCATAATTTAAGTGTTATTATTTATTAGACTCTTTTAATCTTTAAAGTTTCATCTCAAATTCATCATCAAACTGTCTTTATTTATAATCTCTCTCTATTTGTTTTGGACTTACAATCCTTCTACTACAATTTGATTCATTTATCAAATCATTGAACACCTATCTTTCAAATGTACCTAATTGTCTTAAAAATCCATTATTGGGAAATATGATTGGTCTTCTTTATTCAACATATTCTAATGCTTCTCTGGCACCTATTAAGTCTTTTTTTATAAGATATGCTAAAACAATAACTGCACTTCTTGATATTCCCATCTAACAATGTACTAACACATTTGTAGATCTACGAGAGGCTTCAATAAATCTAAATGATTCATCAAAGTGTTTGCTTATTTAATAATCATCTTCATCATCAGCCATGCATTGATGATAAAAGTTTAGTTTTATTTTTGTAGATGAAGGTATACTTTAAGGACATACAGTCAAAATGGCTTTGATTTAATATTGAGATAAAGTATATGGATCACCTAAATTCATTTAATAAATACTTGCAGCTTCCATGTTGCCTAAATACAATCCTCCAAGTATTTTTGAAGGTTCAATAATACATGAGATTGGATCATCTCTTTTACTTGATTGTTTTTTTGGTGAACTCATTAATTAAATAAATTTTATTATTCAATAAAAATAAATAAAAATAATCCATATTTATATTGAAATCTTAAATTATTTAAAAATTAAATAGGTATTTATTAATATATTGATACATATCTATTAATATAGATAAGAATAAAACAAGTATTTCTTATATGAATATATTTCTATTTATTGAGAATTAAATATATATTAAATAATAATATTAAATTTCCTATGATTATAATCTATATATTCATAAAGAAAATAATAATATTAAAGAATAAATTCATTGAAATTTTGAAAAACAATATTTATTATAATTTTTTTATCATTATTCTAAATAAAAAAAAAGTTCTGAATGGATCGTAATCTATTTATAATATTAGAGAAAAGACGAGTTATAGTAGTTAATCGATGAATAGAATAAGGATGAGTTTTCAGATGACTAGGATTTAGTGTCTCAAATGGATATTGAGGATTTTGAATAGCGATTACATACTAGTCAATCTTTTGTTAGAGAGAAACCTCCATAACATAATTAAAGAGCTCAATCAGGTATGACTCAAACTGGGAAGCCATAACCACAAAGTTTGAAAGATCTGAATGAGAAAATGTAGTAAAATCTAGCGAAAAAGCAAGTAAATTAATAGACCAGAGTCTAAGGATAATAGAGATCATAATAATAATTTTCACAAACTTAGCAAGTCCAAAAAAAATAGGAGTATTGAAACAATTCAAATAATTTATTTAGTAAGAGAAAATCTGTGGAGCCTAGGGCAAACAATAATCCACGTTAAGTGTTGGAATAGGCTCAAAGGGACAATTAGGAATTGTTGTAAAAATTAGGGGTAATGAAGAGGTAACTACAATCATTGGAAGCAGAGAATGCTGAGTTGAAATAGGAAATTTAGAGGAAGGGTAATTCGAGTGGATTTTTGCCAAAGATAGAATAAGCAGGGAATTCTGAGTTGAAATTGTTGAGAATGGAAAATGAAGAGTTGAAGAGAATCATCTAAAAATAAAATGTAACGAAAGTGAAACATTTTGTTTTAGGGTAGTGATTCTGGAAAGATGTTATAGATGTACGGTTTGTAGGTAGTGAAATTGAAATGTAGAATAGAAGAGCTCACTTAGTAATTGGAGAAATAGTGATATCATTAATATATATAAATAAATCAAATGAGTATTTAAGCTGTGAATTACGAGGTTGAAGATATGGGTCGGTATTTCAAATCGTAAAAAAATATGAATTCATTCTTAGATCAAAGAAGAAGTATAAATGGACATTCATGTTGGAGGATAAGCAACATATGTTGGAATTAGAATTCTCATATCTAAGTGGGAAAAGAAGATTGGTATTGGATGGCAGAGTACTACACGAAAGCATGTAAAATATGAATCTATTTTAAGGATGCTTACTTCCTCATTTCAGTATCCCTTTACTCTTGAAGGATTTGCTTTAAATGTAATTTAACAAGGGGATGCATTTGAATTGAGAATTAATAATAAGGTCTTCTCTCATCTATACACCTAATGTAAGAATATATTAATCATCCCTTAGAAAAAACACAGAACGAGTTTGTATACGATGAGAAACTCAATACCAACAATAAAACAGATAACAACTTTTATTCTGAGCCTCCGAATTTTAATACTCAATTTTCCAACAATAATAACTTTCAAAACAATTCATAGTATATTATAAATCATCATATTTCATTAGAAAAATTAATTTAAATATTAAATTTGAGAATCATAAGGATCTTAATCCTATCTAATAAAAACCAAGTATAACATAATAGACTAAGTAAGAATCTTATTTTATTTTAGAACATCAACTACATTTGGGTAACCTGGAGCATTTGAAGAATTTGAATAGTTTGGTTAAGTATCAAAAACAAGCAATAATCCATTTGGAGATTCTTTCCAGGTTTAAGGATTTTAATAAGGTTAAACAACTTAGTAATAATAAAAAAGTAATATATATGTATAATATTAAAAAAAGAGGTGGATTTATTAAATTTAGATGATGATATACCATAATAAAAGCCAATAATTACATAAGATTAAGAGCCTTTATTTTAATAATAATAATAATAATAATAATAAACTATAAATCCATAATAAACTAATTTATTTGATGCTTTTGGTAATGGTTGGAATCAATAATAGTAATAATAATAACCTTAATAATAATAATAATAACCTTAATAATAATAAAACTTATTTTAATAAACAAATTAGATTTCATAACCATTTGAGTATTTTATTTTATTCTATTTTTAGTGCTTTTAATTCAATTCCATAAAATACATAAGGATTTTAAAATCAATAAATATAAGGTGGATTCCAAAATTCTCAAGCCTTTGGATAAGAATTTCCCTAAGCTCCCCAATAATAATAAAATTTAAATATCTTAAATTTATATGGGAATCAATAACCAGTTGTTGGAAATTTAGCTTATTCAGCATTTCCTTAGGTTTAATAATATAATTAGCCAGTCCCTTAATCATAGCCTACTCCATTTGATCTGTTCAAATGAGATAAATATTATTCATAATAAATATAAATATTCAAATTTAAAAATGGAATTGTTAAATTATACTGCCACAGTAATCTAAAAAACATTTAGAGGTTTCCTTGCTAGATAAGCTGTTAAATAAATAAGAAGAATAAATTATTTCTCATCTTTTGGTATAATAATAATCATAATTAGACAATCATAATGAATATGGTTTTTGTATATAACCTTAGAAATCAAAGAAATCTACTCGTAATGCTCAATCACTAATATAACCAACTAAACGAATGATTAGAAGTACTGTCTATATTTAGAAATGCTATCGAGGGTATTTAAGTAGAAAATACGTTTGCAATTTTTACAGATTGAAATAGATTGTGTTATTTTTAGAAGGACACATTCATAATTTCTTGAGAAAAGTAAAATGATTCTTATATTAGAGAATTTAATAAAGGAAAATCAATATAAAATAATTAATGGCATAATGTTACAATTTTCAAACTTAATGTAAATCAATAGCAAAAGGGAGATATAATTACAGTAAATATATGAATTAGAAATAATTTGATGAAATTAATGGTATAATATTTACATCTTTTTTGCATCTAATGATACCAAATTTTGAAAAACTGAATTCTGAATAAAAATCTCATTATGTAGATTAAATCTTAGGAGTTGTTTAATCAAATCCCCAAAGAAAAACTATGCCAACTTAGATAAGTTCTAAGACTCCATTAAAATAGAGACACATCATATAAAATGTCAGTGTTTTATCTTCTGAAGTAATGACAAGTAATGGAAGTTGCACTTCTAGTCATAAATCCAAATCTAATTTGACAAATGAAGAATTTAAGTCAATATTACAAAGACAAAATAAGAAAACAAAATGATCTGATTTTAAAATAATTTTTTTTTGCTAAACTTATTAGAATAATTATGTTATACTAATTTTGATGAACATAGAATTGTTAATTTTTTTATCGAAAGGGTAATAATATATTAGAAGTAAATATTAATTAAATGAGATTCCTATATGATAATATATTAATAGTGTTTTTTTTAATTAGAATGATAAATTTAATTAACAATTATTCGATATATGTAAAAGTTCTAAAATCACTTCTTCTTTCCAACTGTCTTAGCTAACCAATCTAAACCATCATATAATCCATCTCCAGTAAGTGCACAAGTACCTTGAATATACCATTCTCTTCTAAGAGTATGTAAACCCAATTTCTCAGTAATTTCTGGGACTGTCATAACACCCATATCTTATTTATTGGCAAAAACCAACAAAACAGCATCTCTTAGTTCATCTTCACCCAACATTCTCATCAATTCTTCTCTAGCAACATCTACTCTCTCTTTATCAGAAGAATCAACAACAAAAATAAGACCTTGTGTGTTTTAATAATAATGTCTCCATAAGAGTCTGATTTTATCTTAACCTCCAACATCCCATACTGTAAATTTGATGTTTTTATATTCAACAGTCTCTACATTGAATCCTATTGTTGGTACAGAACTAACAACCTCTCCCAATTTCAATTTGTATAAAATGGTTGTTTTACCTGCTGCATCTAAACCTAACATTAAAATTCTCATTTCCTTCTTTCCGAACCATTGTTCGAATAATTTAGAGAAAGAAAGACCCATATTTTTTATGAATATAATATTAATATTACAAGTGATGAAATTGAAATTTAAATAATCAATTTTTCCTTGTCAGAAAAATAATTAATCCCTATTTATAGAACAGAATTTATAAATATTTATATTTGGAATTGTTTAAAACAATAGATTAATTATTCGTAATTATATATAAATATTCATGGTATATATGAATTTTATAATTAAAATATTAAATAAAAATGTTTGAAGAATAAGTTGCTAATGAAATAGAAGAAAATGACAAATAACAAGTTAGAGTTAAGTTCCCTTAAAGATCATGGATTTCTATTATTTAAGATAAAATTGTATAGTAAAATCAAGTTTTAAAATTTATTACTCATTTTTTAGATGAGTCAATCTGAAATGAATGAAAAACATGAAACAAGATTAGGTGTGACTCCAAGTTTATCTGATAGAGAAGCTTTATGCAAAAAATAAATTGGATAATCTGCATGTTTTAGAGAGGATTTAGGAAAATCCAGAATGAGTGATTTAGATACATCCTCTATTCGATATAGGGTATCAATTAATAATTACTTTAATAGACTTAACCACATGAGGTTAATTTTAGGATAAAAGTCTTTATGAAATATTTATTATTGAGAATTATATTTACTATAATAGGTCCATTAATATTGGGTTATGGAATTATAAATAAAGATTGGTTGAGTTTTATGAGTAATTTTAGAATGTATGGTAATTATAGTGGAGTTTTGTATAACTATTTTAGATGGATATCAAACTACATATTAATTGCTACAATTATTTATTATACTAATAATGAGGAAAAGAGAATAATACATTATGAAATTGGATTCTTTGCTGTTTTATACATTACTGAGAATGTAACATGTGCTATTAAATTTGCATTTTTTCATCCTTCAAAATTAGCATTAATAGAAAATTTTGAAATTTGTGTTGTTGGTGATTCTTGTGAATAGAGTATTAATCCTTATCATTGGGCATAGTAAAATTAGTCAACAATAACAAAAGAATTAGAATAATCTATGAAGAGATCATAAGTGGAAAGCACAATATTTTAATTGTACTTTATGATTTCACCAAATGCAGAGAGATTAAAAAGAATATAAATTGAAGAATAATAAGATATAAGAAATAAAATATAAATTGAAGAAGTAGCAGCTGATGGATTTTTGATGGCTAAAGAGATAATAAATGAATTCAATAAGAAAAATAGTTTTAATTTTGCTATTAACCTTGCTATTATATTGGCAATTATACGTGTGGGATTGTACATTATGATTATGAAATTATGTGAAGAATCTGTTAAGAGTATTGCAATAGTTGTTTAAATGTCTATCTTTTAATTTCTGTACTTTAGTACAATAATCTCATTGATGATGCTAACTTATAGAGATTTAAGAAGAAAGGTTTATTCAATGACACAATTATCACATTTAATATCAGCTGAGAAAGTTGAAGTCTATTAAGAATCCAAGATCTTTCCAACCATTAATTTATTATGCACTGTTTCTATATATTCTTGGGTTAATTTAAGGAAGATCTTACTTGATTATGGATTGTAATACACTAGAAGATAAACATTTATATTATCATTTATAATGATAATAAATACCATATTAATGGGTGTAATGACAATTCTCTTTTATATCCAACTCATTACTATTAATACTATACTTCAATAGACTATTGATTTTTCTATTATAGCTATTTTCTCTATTAGTTTAGTCTTATAAGGAGCAAGAATTAATGCACATTGGTCTATTCATAGAGGATTACTGAGAAAGAATCTCTTTATTATTTAATAATTGGCTTATTAAGTCTTTAAACCTTTGGATTACACATTTAAAGCAGAAGATCCTGTATTTAATGTATATATTTATTTCAATCAAGTCTAGGCTCTAATGAGATTACTTGATACTACTTATGCTGATATTGTGATTAGGGAAGATTCTCTATTAAATTACTCAATTTTTTGCATCAATTCGATATAATATGTGGTAAATCATTTATTGAATTCAGTTTGATGATTTAGGACATTAAGAAAAATCTTAGCCATATACTGTAATGGGTATAGCAATGACATATCAATTACTATTATAAGTTTGTTTGAGTGCGATGGGATTGATAGGAACTACAGGATTGAATTTCATTCTTTAGATTACTTAATGATTATAAATTATATTAATAATATTGAACTTATATAATAGAGGGACTTTATTATATGGAAATTAGTATTAAACAATAAATTCTTAAATAATGAATGATATGTTCAGATCTTCATAACATTATATATGATAAATTGAAATATTTTATGCAATTATTGTTCAATTAATAAGGATTGTATTTTCATTTTAAAGTATATTGAGAATAAAGATTTTATATAATTATTAAATATCTTATTTGAATCTTATTCATAAATTAACTTGTATGCATATAATATTGTAGAATACCTTTCTGAAGATTGAATAATTATAAATTAATCATTTTATATTGTTGGAATATCAAAAGTTTGTATATGTAGAGTTCTTAGTTATTAATAATAAGGATAGGGGTGTAAGTAAGGAAAAAAGGAAATGAATTATTTTAATTAATATGGAAAATAAATAAAATTAATTAATTACACGTTAAAGAATTTCTAGAAGAATTCTCTTTGTATATAAATTGATTATACACATCATTTGGAAATAATATATTATGAAAAAATTGTTACTTGTTTTGCTCCTAATTTCTGTATCTCTATGCGAAGGTTCAGTTGAATGCCCAGTTATTGGTATTGACTTGGGTACAACTTATTCATGTGTTGGTGTATTCAGATAAGGACATGTTGAAATCATTCCAAATGAATTAGGAAATAGAATCACACCTTCAGTTGTTTCATTTACAGATCAAGAAAGATTAATTGGTGAGGCTGCTAAAAATTAAGCTGCTACAAATCCTAGCAGAACTCTTTATGATGTAAAGAGATTGATAGGAAGAAAGTATATATTAATATGAATATTTCAAGATTCTCTGATTCTACAATTTAATATGATAAGAAATTCTTACCATTTGAAATTATTGAAAGAGATGGAAAGCCTTACATTTAAGTGGAGAAGGGTGCATAATCAAAAATATTTGCACCTGAGGAAGTGAGTGCAATGGTGTTGTCAAAGATGAAGGAAATTGCTGAGGGTTATTTGGGTTAAAATGTTAAAAATGCAGTTGTTACAGTACCAGCATACTTTAATGATGCATAAAGATAAGCTACAAAAGATGCAGGAAATATTTCAGGTTTGAATGTAGTTAGAATTTTGAATGAACCAACAGCTGCAGCTATTGCTTATGGTTTGGATTCAAAATAAGTTGAATCTAACATTTTGGTTTTCGATTTAGGAGGTGGTACTTTCGATGTGTCCATTTTAACAATTGATAATCAAGTGTTTGAAGTTATTTCTACATCAGGAGATACACATTTAGGAGGTGAAGATTTTGATTAAAGATTGATTGATCATTTCATTAAATTAGTGTAAAAGAAGTATGGAAAGGATGTTTCAGGAGATAAGAGAGCAATCTAAAAATTAAAGAGAGAATGTGAAAAAGCTAAGAGAAGACTTTCTGCTGCTTAAGAAGCTAAAGTAGAAATTGAAGATTTAGTTGAAGGATTAGATTTCAGTGAAGTTTTAACAAGAGCTAAATTTGAAGAATTGAATAGTGATTTATTTAGAAAAACTATTGAACCAATGTAGACAGCTTTAAATGATTCAGGATTGAAGAAGAGTTAAATTGATGAAATTGTTCTTGTTGGTGGTTCATCTCGTATTCCAAAAGTGAGATAACTTGTTAAAGAATTCTTTGAAGGAAAAGATCCAAATACAGGTATCAATCCAGATGAAGCTATTTGTTATGGTGCAGCCATTCAAGGAGGTTTAATCTGTGGAGAGAAATCTGATGCAACTGATGGTTTAGTTGTTATTGATGCTACACCTTTGAGTTTAGGTATTGAAACTGTTGGAGGAGTCATGAATAAGATCATTCCAAAGGGATCTTTCATTCCAACTAAAAAATCTTAAGTATTCACAACTTATGTTGACAATCAAACAACAGTAACAATTACTGTTTTTGAAGGAGAAAGACCTTTGGTTAAAGATAATCACAAATTGGGTTAATTTGATTTAACAGATATTCCAAAAATGCCTAAAGGATAACCTTAAATTGAAGTTACTTTTGAAATAGATGAAGATGGTATTTTATCTGTATCTGCTTCTGAATAATCAACAGGAAAAAAGAATTAAATTTAAATCACTGGAGATAACAAATTATCAAAAGAAGAAATAGATAGAATGATTAAAGAAGCTGAATAATTTGCTGAAGAAGATAAAATTGCTAAGGAAAAGATTGATGCTAAGAATAGTTTAGATTCTTATATTTATTCTATCAAGAATTAAATTGAAGATGAGGTATTTATTATTTATTAATATTTTTAGAAAAAATTAGCCAAACATTTAACTGAAGAATAGAAATAAACTTTGAAAGATGCTGTATAAAAGAGTGAAGACTGGATTAAGAAGGATGAAGCTAATTATGATAAAGAAGATTTCGAAGGAGAATTAAAAGATTTATAAAAGTAATTCATTTTTTTTAACAATGTAGAGTTTGTGATCCAATCATTCAAGAAGCTTAAAAGAAGAAAGATGAAAATAAAGAGAATGAAGATGATGCTGATGCTGATGATACAAAAACTGATTTATGATTTAATGTGTGCAATATTTTATTTAATGAAAGTTGTATTTCAAATTTGCATCATTTCCTTATTATTGACTACATGCTATGCATTCAATATTCATTAATATGCTAATATGTTACCTGGTCTCAAATTACCTCCCAACACTAAAACCAGAGTATTAATTATTGATACTTTTGAAGACTTTTTATGGGCCAATCTATATGTAGGGTATAATCAACAATATTTCAATTTAGACTTTTCTATTACTTTTCATACTTAGCAACTGGAGCTGCTTTAGAATTTACTAATCCTATACCAAAATCTACTTTCAGAATGAAAAACATGAAACTTGAAATTAGTAGAGGAGTCTAAGCCTTATTCTGGGTACTACTCTCTGCCACTATATTCATGTGGAAAATCGAACCTTTAACACCTTATTATGGTTATTATGAAACACATGATTTTGGATTAAAAGAATGGCTAATTGGACTTTTTGTGTATTTCTATTATATTTAATCATTAGATATTCCATTGGATTTGATTTCTATTTCTATGTCACTCATATTATTCTTCATCAACCATTCTTTTGGAAATACATTCACAAACAACATCATGAATTTATAGAACCAACTGCATTTGCTTAAGATGCTGTCCATCCAATTGAAGCTATAGTATAAGGTCCTTTAGGACATTTCTTCCCTTGTCTTTTCTACCCAATCCCTCCAGTTTGGCATCAGTATATTTTATTATTTAACAATAAGCTTTTTTGGTTTTTTGACTGCCGTCTATGCCTAAGCTGCTCATGATGGAAGATGGGATCCATTTGGACATATCAATCATCATTTCTATGTCACTTGTAATTATGGAATATGGGGTGTATGTGATAGAATATTTTAAACCAATCATTCCTCATCAAGATTTCCTGTTAGATATGTTCCAAGTTGGGAAAAAGATGCTAAGAAATTGAAATAATGATCTTAAATAATTCACAAATAAATCAAAATTCCATTAACATTTTAATTCTGTTTTTCTTATTTTATATTTCTAATCTTATACATAAATATGATAATTCAATAAATATTCATGTCATCTTTATTAATAAAATATATCAATAGATTTACATGTAATCAATTTAGATAACTATATGAATAATAATATTTCTTAGAATTCTTATTAATATAAATTTACAAATTAAAAAGAGAGCTTTATTATATATTTATATAAATATATTATATTTTGAAACAATCACTTAATGATTATAAATAACATATTAATATATGTTATAACAACTCTTTATATAACACTACTTTTAATAATAAACAATCAAATCTTAACTTTTAATATGAATTCAAATTTATAAATAATCTAAATTCTCCTTGATTATATTAAATATTTTTTATTAACAATTTATTAACTTTTTGAAACTTAAAAAGATCAAAATTGATTTACATCTGAAATTTTCAATCTGCTATATTACTCATTTATATTTAATAATAAGTATTTATTTATTTTAAATAATTTAAATTTTTTATAAAAGTCATTAAGTAAAAGTACACATTAAATGAAAATTCTAAGCATTTTATTCTTCCGATTGGTGAAATTATTACTAGATAATTTCTTATGTTATGTAAATTAACTATATTCTCAAATGAATGTTAACAATATATGATATCCCATATAAAATCAATAACTTTAGGAACTCTATGTTAAGAGTGATTGATAACTCAGATAAAAGTGCTCATTGACGATTGTTATCATTTATTAGAATTGAAGAGATTAATTTAATATTTATAATTTATTATAGATGATCTTTAGATGAATGTTATCATTTTCCATCTGGATTTCAATTATAATAAATTTGATATTAATTCGGTGATTAATATGAAATTGGATATGATTGATTAACTGTATTATTATATTAATTGTAATTTTGAATTAGAAAATTATTTTGTTGGTATATTGCTTAGCTATAGCTATAGCTATTGGAAATTTAATTAAATTAATTAGTTATCTTTAAGATATTATCATAAGCTTCATTAATTTGATTTTTAATATCTATAAAACTATTCTCAAAAGTTTTAGTTGTAAAATTATCCATAAACATTTTAAGGTTCTTTAGTTAGTTACATATTTAGAAAAAAAAATTTTAGTAATTGATATTGATTGTTGAATTTAGGTTAAGTTAAATTTGCAATTTATTAATTTCTTGATTTTTAGATCTAAGTTAGTTTTCCAATCTATAAACCTCTTCATTTTTAGATTTAAGTTAGTTTTTCAATTTTACAATTTCTTCATTTTTTAACTTAAGTTCATTTTTCTATTAATCAATTTCTTCTTTTTTAGATTTGAGTTCTTAATGAAAAAGACTGATTTCATTTTATTCTTTTTCATATTTCTAATCTAATTTTGCAGTGAAGGAAAGCACTTCTCTTTCCTCTTTTTAAAGGTCAATAGACATTTTTTAACAAAAGCCTTTATATTCTATAGAATATTCTAACTTAATATCTTTTATTTTTTTTCTAAGTAAAGTTGCATTAATATTATTTTAAATGAACTTAAAGTTAATTAATTTATTTAAATGTTATAATGATTATTCCTTTATTTTTAACATATTACTTTTAATTTAATCATATTTCTTCATTTTTTCTGATAGTTGTTTCTAAATCAACTAACAGTTTTTATTAAATTCCTATTACATATATGACTTGATTTTTTCTTATTCTTAAGTAATTAATAAGGTCTTCTCATCTTATTCTTACTTGATAAACTTATATTTCTTTGCATATGTCTTGTAATCATGTTATTTATGATCATTTAAAAAGCAGTTTTTGCAATAAAAAGGATATGTTGATTTCTATGAGATACAATCATTATGCATACAAAGATACTTTTAAGGTTTTTGATGATTATTACATTATTAATATTTCACGAATGATTTTTCTTGTGCCTTAGGAATACTTGGTAAAGGCATATTAATAAATATATTTGATAAATCAGATAAGGAAAATTTTAAGTCTTTTATAAAATTAATTCTTGCTGTGATTTCATTAATTTGGAATTATCTTTCAATATTAGATTATTCTTCTGCTTTTTAATAGTCTACTTCCTATTAATTCGCATTAATCAAGCAATAATTCAAAAGTGAATCAAGATTTTATTATTATAATATCTATTATGCCTCTTTGATTTTTGATTAGAGTTTATTATTTTGTTATTCTATACATTCTTTTATTGATTTTTTCTGTTAATCATTCCAGGCTATGTATGTTTGATTCTAATCATCTAGAAACTATTCAAGTTAGATTAATTCTTTAGTATTTTTTTCAATCATTTATTCCAAGGATTGGATTTACTTATTACAATTATCTGTTGCTAATGAGTAAATTTCTGAAAAATTTTTGGGTGTATGTTTTGAATGTGATTAACAATAGCATTAGAAACAAAGCATTTAATTACCTTGAATTTTAACACATTCTGGCTGGATACAAATAAATTCACCAGTTCTTTATTAGCAATTAACACACTTACTCATTTTATGAAGGTATTTAATGAAAAGATAATTTAAAATTTAATAGAATTTCAATATTAAACTAACTTAAATAGTATTCTGATATCTATAATCCTAGCAAAATACACTAATGATTTTTTATTTTTTTACAGCAAACGAGATAAATCACTTTTTTCATTATAATGACCTTTTTCTATGTTATGAAAATATGATGATATACATTTTTTAGTCTTACACAAAAAATTTTTATAATAGAATTAAAGAAAATAAAAATAATTTTTATATTATGGATTGAAACAATTAAATTAATAATCATTATATAAATTGTTATTCTTAAGAATCATAATTGATAAATAAAATAATAATAAACATAATCTAATGAAACTATTCATAGTCAAATATTCTTACTTTAATAACTCTTTATGAATTCCAATAGAAATCTCAAATTATACAAAAAAATTCAAAATAAAATTACCATATAGTGGTTACAATCATTATTTTAATCTGATCATTAAAATTTGAAGATTCAATGGATTGTATTAATTATTTCAAAAGATGAAAAACACATAACTACTATTTTGAAAAAGAAATGGATCGATATAAAGAAATATCACAAATAAAAATTAATATTCTTTCAGAAAAAACTTATCAAGGGGCATATAATCAAAATATATAAGAGTCTTCATTTCATGATAAAATATATTGGGTAATAATAAATAATATTATTATATATTTTAGTATTGGATTGTTAAAGAAAATTAAGTAATTAATATAATTTTTTTTATATTTATGCAAACTACAAATTCAATATTCACACTAGGTTCTTAAATTTATTGTCAGGTATCCAGTTTATAAAAATGTTCCTTAAAATTTAAAAACTGGCTCCATATAGTTGATTTAGAGGCCTAATTCTTTTCAGTAGTCTCCACTGACTGAGACTATGAGTATTGGATTTGTGGTTGGTGCATAAGAAGCTTCTTGGGAGTTGTGTTACAACTTACCAACCAATTACAATATCTGATAAATTTTAATATTAAAATATAAAAAGAGAAATAAATAAAAAACCTAATTTTTAATTTTTATTTTGTAATATAAATTATGAATTATTTTTATATTGAAAATACATAAAAAATAGGATACTCTCTTATATTTTCAAAGGTTATTATCCTTAATGATTATAGGAAGATTATGTTCAATTCAATTAATACTAGAATTGATTAGTAAAAAATTTAATTTAATTAAACAATTTTGCAAATGGTTTATTAAAGATTAAGTTATTTGGGGTAATTTAGGTTATGTAGGTTTAACTCTGTTCTCAAAATTAAGATAAAAACTATCATTAGATTCAATTTTATTATCACTTTTCTTTATACATTATTCCTAATGAAAAAAGTTTTGAGTGAATAACAATGATAAGATTTTAATACAGATGGGTTCATTAAGAGTAATTTTAAGATTTCAATAATGTTTTTAATTGACTTCAGATCTGTCTATAAATAATTATAGATTGCTTTTATAGCTAGTCATAATTTCATTAAATAGTTCATTTATCATTTATCTTAGAATTCCATCTATATTAAATTCTATATCTGTTTTCATGTTAATGGTTTTAGATATTGGCATTTATAAATTATTTATTGTCTTATTCATTTAATTTGACTATTTGAGGTATTGAATTATTGACAGAGATAATAAATTTATGTATTTAATCTCTTCTCTATTTCTCCTCTAAGTCTTTAATTTCTATAATTTCATTCCTTACCAACCTTACTTATAGCATATACAATTATAAAGAAAAGTCTTTTTAAAATATGATATTAAACTTTCTCGTCTTAATGATTAACACATGAATTCAATTTATGTATTTTATCTATATTTTGGCCAATAAATTTAGTTTTTGAGTAAGTAAGTCTTTGTTTAATAGTTAATCTCGTGTTTGATGTAAATTTTAATTATAAATTATTAAAGTAAGTAGAAATATTCATAAAACCTCGAATTATATATTTATTCTTTACTAATAAGAGTGTGAGGATAGAATGTATTTTTGATTTTGTAAGGTGTTTTGAGATTTTATTTAATATTATATATTGTATTTTGTATTTATTAGGAAAAGGTGAAACTCTATGGATACAATTAGTTTTTCTAATTGTTATCAATGAATGACGACATATTTATTAATATTCATTGTAATTAAAAATATTGCTATTTAATATTGGACTTTAGAAAAAATTTGACAAAATAAAATTAAGTTTATTATGATACCATAAGTTCAAGAATCTGATTATCTTTACAGCATTCCAAAGTCATTCTCAACAAGAGCTATTCATACAGGATAACATGCTGAACCAATTCATGGTAGTGTTAATGTTCCCATTCACTTGAGCACCACATATAAATAAAAGGCTCCCGGTTAACCTTATTCTAGTTTTGATTATACAAGATGTGGTAATCCCACTAGGGCAGCATTAGAAGAATGCATTGCAGATCTTGAGAATAGCAAACATTGCATAACATTCTCATCTGGATGTGCAGCAATGTCTTGCATCATCAATATCTGTAAACATGGTGAATAAATCATTTGTTGTGATGATGTATATGGTGGTACTTAAAGATACATGAGAAATTTCACTGTAAAAAATCATGGAATCGAAGTGTTGTTTGTAGATATCACAGATCCTGAAAATGTGGCAAAGGCAGTCACTGAAAAAACAAAATTGATTTGGATTGAAACACCTACTAATCCAACTCTTAAAATTGTAGACATTGCAGCTGTTTGTAAAATAGCAAAAGAGAATAAAATATTATCTGTGGTTGATAATACATTTGCTACTCCATATCTTTAAACTCCAAGAGATTTGGGAGCTGATATCACTGTATTATTTTTTAATCTTATAAAAAAAGGTTAACTCTGGAACCAAATATATGGGTGGACATTCTGACGTCGTTTTTGGATCTTTGACTTGTAATGATAAAGAATTGTATGACAGATTATTCTTTTCTGCTAAATCACAAGGAGGTTGTCCTAGTGTTTTTGATTGCTATCTCATTATGAGAAGTTTAAAGACTTTAGAATTGAGAGTTAAGTAGGCTACTAAGAATGCATACATCTTTGCTAAATATTTGGAAAGCAATCCTTTGGTAGAAAAGGTTATTTATCCTGGATTACCATCTCATCCATAACATGAATTGGTTAAAAGATAATAAAGAGGAGGAGGTGCTATGATAAGCTTTTATGTTAAGGGAGGTTTTGAAGAAACTAGTAAATTATTGAAAGCCTTAAAAATATTCACACTTGCTGAATCATTAGGAGGAGTTGAAAGTAATTATATATTAGACTACTTATATTAGGTTTAATTGAAGTACCATCAGTTATGACACATGGATCAGTACCTGCTGATGTAAGAAATTAATTGGGAATTACAGACAATTTGGTTAGAGTATCAATTGGTATCGAAAATGTAGAGGATTTAATAAATGATATGGAAGAGGCACTTAAAGCATCACATTGAATATATATTAAGTAATGTCATATATACACAAATATTATTATTAATTAGTAAATCTATTATTAATACTAAATTAAAGACGATCACACTTACATATTTGTTATAATAAACTTAATGAATAGGAATTAATATAAAATGGTTATCAATTCTAATAATGGATTATAAATAATTCTCTATATATAATCATATAATCTTATTTGAAGTGATGTAATTCTATTTACTTTTATTAAATCAGGATTATGTAAAATCTCTTTTAAATAATTTTGATTATACTTCCATATCATTATAATAAATTTAATATCTCTCACATGTATCCAAAATAACTAAAAAATAATTACAATAATGTCTTCATCCAATAACATATATGTAATTATTAACTAATATATTACTGAAAGCTTGTCTTACTTAATTCATTTTGAGGTTAAATAAAATTTTATTACAAACTAGTAGTTTCATCATCACTTATTTCATTCATTTATTTATAGACTCTTCCATCTTAAAATAATAGAGATCCTTAATATATAGTGGTAGTATGAATATATTCATTCATTTTTATGAATTCGAATCTTTAATTTAAACTTTATTAATTTATAAATTACATCCTTCTATTTAAAAAATGAAAAGCTTAGAAATCAATTCTAATTTAAAATCTTAATCTACAATGCTAAATCCTATCAGACTCTTACTAAACATTTAAATAAAGACACTACTTTTTTATTATCTAAGTTCAAAATTGGGAAATTTCTCTTCTTTCACCTAATAAAGTTTGGCTTCCAAAAATTAAATTCAAAATTTTATATACATATAGATTTTTTAATCTTTTAATATTAGAAGGAATGTTAGACAATTCTAATCCATCCCCTCTGCCCTTCTAAAAATCAATTATCATAATCCCTAACTTCCTTATTTTAATAATAAATTGATAATGATTTCAAAAGCAAATAGTTTTAATTCTAATGGTTATAAAATAGTTAATTTTGAAATCTTGATATATTCATTTTATAGGTATTCATAATGATATTCTCTTCCAAATTGTATTAAAATAATGTTATTACTTACATCTTGATCGTCGTAGTTTGATCCACAACTTAAATACACTTTGTATACATTTACCTATATGCATACAATATTTATAAACTACTAAATACATTCTAATAGTTTTAGAATCTCATTACATATGAATTCATCCTTTACTGTATTGTAACTTAATAAAACAAAAAAAGTATTATTTATCTGGAATTACTTTCTATATTGATTATTCTATTTTATTAATCTTATTCTTTATTAATATAAATTTAAAATATTTAGAGATGTAAGAAAACCATATGATTAATTTTTATTGCTACATCTATGTGTTTTAACAATGAATTCATTAATAAATATCAGAAGAAAACAAGAAAAAGATTCACAACAATTTTTATACAAATGATTATTATGAACCTTATAAGGAAATTATTTAATTTTATACTTATCATCCATAACTTAAAACTGCTTTAAAGTTTGTTAAAAATCCTAATAAACAAATATATATTTAAAACATAAAAGAAACCTTGTTAATTTTGATATGAATAATTTTTGGCAAGATAATATTAAATTTGACAATTCTTTAATTAGAATTCATACTTAAATTTGAAAAGACTCTATTAATATTATTTTGAAGATAATTTATTCTAATAGGGATTTGAGACTTTTATAAGGTTTAAAGTGTGTTTGTAAATTTATATTTTAATTTAGAATTTATATTTAAATATTTAAATCATAATTTATCAACCATATTCTACTCCAACATAGATGACCTGAATGTAGTTTTTTATAATAAGTTCTATTTGTATAATGTTGATCTTTGAATGAAACTTAATGTAAATAAAAAAAGATTACACTGACATTTAATTATGACACTAACATAAGCAACCTTATTAATTTGTATAACTTTCTTTTGAGTAAGATAATCAATTTCAAATAGATTATTTAATGATGATGTAATCATACTGAATTACAGTTGTGTAAGTATTTATGCAAGACTTGGTAAAATATTAATTTATACATATGAATCATTATAGAATTATTTATATGAATACATTTGAGATATTTAGGTTCAAGCAAGCAATGGTTAAATATTATTACACAATAAATGTGATAGATAATATAAGGTATACATATTATATAAATGATAATTAGATTCTTGCTAATTTATGAATTAATTAGTTTGCATGAATACTGGTAATTAACATAAAATATATATATATATTTTTAAATATAATTAATATATGGATCAGAGTATGTTTGAGTAATTTGGGGGAGATGGACAGATATCAGATTTGATAGATTAATTTTATTATAAGGTTTTATTCGATCAAAGTTTGAGAAGCATGTTTTTAAAAGCAGACATGACTAGGGTTAGATTGTAATAAAAGACCTTTTTTGCTTAAATGTTTGGATGTATACATACAAAATACACTGGAAAGTATAATTACTAATGAATATACAGAGATCTAATTGAAGTGCATAAGAATTTGAGCATTACTGATCAATAATTTGATAGATTCTTACATCATCTTAAATGTATTTTAGCCGACATGAATAAACCGTAAGAATTGATAGATGAAATATTGAAGAAAGTCGACAGCCATAGAAATTTGATTGTGTTTAAATGATATATTCATTATTTTTTTCTTCTATTATCGATGTCCTTAAAATTCTATTCTTCCAATTACAATTTGGCTCTATAAAAAATATAAAATAATTTATTACTTTTATGCGTCCTCCATCTTTTGACTTCTCATAAACAAAAGATCATCTCTTCTTGTAGTATCAGATTCTAATACTTCTTAAGGTGATATCCATAACTTCTTTTCTTCATCTATCTACCAAAATTTCTCTTCTCCAAATGTCAATCCTTCCAACCATGATCCAATCCCTTATTATATAAGAGTCCTATATAAATATATACTCATTATTACTCTGTTTTATTTCCATTTTCATCAATCTTCACTTCAAAAATATCTACTTCTACAATGTCAAAGATTTTGGCTTATTCCTATGACTTAAAGAAAGAAGTTAATTTGGACATCATCCCTTCAGCATTGTAATTAAATGTAATAACTGATTTCACACCAGGTCCTTCTATTATCATCTTGCCTTGCCAATTTAATATTCGATCTCCCATCACCAATCCAGTTATTTCCCTTATATTGATATTTATAACTTAAATACATTGTTGGTCTCTATGTACATTTATATACAGCACCATTATTGAATATTATGGTTTATCTACCATTTTAAACACCTGTTAATGAATTCACAGTCTTATGTACTTATATTTCTAATCTGTCATCTCCATATATTTTATAATTATTTCCCTATATGTAATAAAAACAAATTGGTGGATCAAAAGAAGTTTATTCTGCAAAAAACTATGTGCCATCCTCTTTCACCAACTATACTCAAATATACTTTAAAATTACCTAAAGTGTCTCTCCCACTAATGGATCTAAAGGTGATTTCATTTTTGTGATCTCACCATTACAATGCATTCCAGATATCTATAATATGATTCCAATTCTTACACAATAAGCTGAGATATATTTAATTTATTCAATTGGTGCCAATTGACTACATCTTTCCAATAAATTACTAAATGTATGTCCTCTAATTTATTTAATGTTTTTATTTACAAAGCCACTCCATGTAAAAAACTCATATCCAAAGACATAGCAATTGGTTTGCTAATTTACATCAATGATCCAAAATTTCCTGTTATGATCTTCCCACTCAATTATTTAAACACACTTGCTGCCACTTTCTAGGTTTCAGAATTCTCTTCCCCAAATGATAAGTTAAGACCTCCTAACGTTATATTTATCAATAACTAACCTTATTAATGAGCTGCCTTATGTCTATTTGCTGAAGATTGTTGAGCTTATTAGCCATTTTGATTTTCATTCTATTTTTTAAATCCAAACCACATCTTATTAAAAAAAGATTTGTTATTAATAATATTATTTAACAATAATTAACAATATAATTTTTGAATACTAATATTATAAAGCAATCATTTTAATTAATTTAATTTATATAATAATATCATAAAGATTTAGAAAATATATAATATTATTCATTTCAAGTAATTGTAAAATGCCTTTTCAAATTATTTAATATAATATTTCTTTTATTAAACTAATTATATTTCTAATTATAATTTCAATATATTATATTCTTCAAGTAACATTTTATCATGATATAAGCACCTTTATATTTAATATTATTACTACTAAATAAAATATAGCTTCAATTATTGGAATCATATTAGGGAATGAATATTATTCATATTTTTAATTAAAATTAGAAAATAAATTTAATTGATATAAATATGAAAAGATTCATTATGCTAAGATTCTATTTCTAAGTGTTTCATATTTATATATATCAATTTTACTATGAAAATATTAATTAATGTACAAAACATCAATTATATATTATTACTTGAAAACTTAAAATAATATAATACATTTTATTAATAGATGTTCTAATTTGGTATATTTTTATTTTTGGAAAATAAATTTATGAAGATTAATTCAAGAATTCATTTTGGTATATTTTTATAGAAATAATCCTTAATAGAATATATTTTAGGAACAAGACTATTCATTATTTTATGCTCATTCAAAAATATATTCAATTTTTACATTAAAGTATTTTTTTATTTAATTATCAAATATCATAAATTTGATGATAAAATACTGTTAATTTCATTAATGGGAGGAGGAAAAATATATCTGTATTCACAAAACAAGGCTATAAAAGGAAGATAACAAATTTTCATGCCATAAATGTTTAGACTGGAAAAAATCAAACAATTATATAAAGAGCATGAAGGAAGTTGAAGAAGAGGCAAAATAAAATATTGTGAAATTTGTGGAAATGTAAACCAAAATAATAAATTCTAATAATGAAATGAAGTAAAAATATCTAGAATCATTAACTGAGCTTTGTCAGAAGATAAATCAATATTTTCAAAAATAATAAAAGTCCGTAACTTCCTTAGTTGAACAATAAAATCAAATACTAACACAAAACATTAACTAAGCTAATTCACTTTTAAATGAACAATCTGTTTTGGATTCTCAATCAATTGACAATTTCATTATTTTTACAACTTTAAATGAAGCAAATTAAAAAATAATTGAAAATAACTATAATAATATCAATAAATGTTTAGAAAGATAATTTAATTATGAATTTGCTGAAATCTAATGTAAAGTAAATTAATTTACAAATTTGGAATTTAAATTTGATTCTATTCCAAAATATGAAGTTGAATAATTCAAAATTTTAACTGTTGATAAAGAAAAAGATAAACTACAATATTGCAAAGACCACTAAATGGAAAAGAACTGTATTTGTACACATGAAGATTGTTTGAAAGAGAAAAAAAAAGAATATCTTTGTTTAGGATGTTCAATGAATTCTCATAGTTAACATTTTAAAGGTAATTTTATAAAAACTGTAAAAAAAATAAAGACTGAGCAGAATGAGAAACTGAAAATAATTAAAGAATAATATGAAATGCTTAAATAAGAAGTTGAAAACAGAATTGATAAAGAATTAACAACAAATTAATAAAAATAATAGGAAAATTTTGTTAATTCTTAAACAACAAGAGAAAATCTCAAACAATTAGAAGCTCAGATTAAAATTAATCCTTTCAATTAAAAACCAAATTACACATATTATAATATTGACTAGAATTTATTATCATATGATTAAGATATGATCAAATTAGAGTTTTAATCAAAATTAGATTAATTGGAATAATTAAAATAACAAATTACAAAATAAGAAAAGAAGAGTTTAATTAATAATACCAAACTACTGAAGAGCAATCATTAACTTATAAGTAAGAAACATTTAAATTAAAAAAATTAGTGTAATAATATGAAATTTAAATTTCAGAGTTATAAAATAAATTAGAAGCTAATTCTAGTGAATCAATAATAGCAGAAATCAAAAAATCTTAAAAATTATTGATTGAGGAATCTCTTAAATAATCATAAAAGTAATTTATTGAAGGAGTAAATGAGATCAAATAGTAAATATAAACTTTTCCAAAAGTTGTTACTGAAAGTAAACAATTTAGTTCTCTTTAATCAGACTTGAACAATGTTATTACAATTATTAATAAAATAAACTAACAAAGTTTATAGATACCAAATTCACATTAAGAATTAAAAAATTCAATTAATGGTTAAGAAGGGATAAAATAATAAATTACTAATCTATCAAATTTAAATTAAGATCTAAAAGTTATGTTTAAAGGGATGAATGAGATCAAATCATCCATTTTAAACATCCCAAAACTTGTTCTTGAAAGTAAACAATTTAGTTCTCTCTAATCAAACACAACAGATATGATAAATCGAATAATTTAATTGACCATTAAAGTTTCAACTCCATAAATTGTTTATTAACCATAATAAATTTTAAATAATTAATAAGGGTTAAACGAATAGCCTATGGGTGCTGGTAGTTTTCAATAAAATCAGGGCTTCCATTATTACTAACAGAATAATAGCAAAAGATGAAATATTGATTGAGCTAATTATTTAGAATTATAAAAATTATATTATGAATAATTTCTTGTAATCAAAAATGATAATCTTTTTTCTCCTATATTAAAAATTGAAGATAAGCCAGTTCATCTTTCCATCTAGCACAAATATGCTAATAAGGTTGAGATATAGAAATAAATAGCAATTAATTTAGATTTTGTCAGAAAATATCAATAAAAATTAATAAAAAATTATTAATATATCTCATATATCAATAATCAGATATTAAATTGGAAAAATCTAAAAGCAGTTAAGGATATACTTTAAGCTGATATGAGATTCATAAGAAAAAATAAATTCAATTAAATCATACTCAAATGAGTGGCCAATCTAATATGTAGTTAGATAAAAGGATATCATAATAATTGTTAGTATAATATAATGGCCAACATTATTGTCTGAGCAAACATATTTTGAATAATTAATAAATCATAAACTATAATTTTGATAAAGTCAAAATTCTTTAACTCATCATTAAACAAATATGTATTTTTCATTTAATTTCTCTAATCATTATTTTACTTTTGTAGTATTTAAAGTTTTATTTAAGCCTTAAATAGTGATACAATGAGAACTTAATATAGATAGTTTCTTTTAAATGATAAGCCCTCCTAAACTTTCATGAGTTTAACCTTTACCTAACTTTAATAAGATACTAGATGAGTTATTCAACTCTATAATACAAGAGAAGATTTGAAGTGTAGCTTCTGAATCAATGTATTCTTGATTAACAATTATTTAATTTAATTTACCTCCTATAATAGTTTAGGAATTATCTATCATATCTTATTTATGAAACCAATAAAAATTGGTTTCTCAATAAAAAATGTAATTGCTTTAATAGTTCGATAATAAAAAGACAACAAAATAAATCTCAGCAAGCTTAAAAAGTAAAAATCATAAATTATTAAATCAAGTTTTTAAATAAATACTCCTAATATATTAGAGTTTCTATTCATGATAATTTTAGACTTTTTAATAATTCATTAATGTTATCTTTCAATTTATGAAAGATTAGAATTTTATAATATTTAAAAAAATGAAATATTGTTTGTTTTGATTGAACAATACTTAGAAATTTTAATAACAGAATTCATGAAATTAATACATTTACTAAAATGTGGTTTATAATTTCTGAAATCTAATCAAATGTGTGTAAAATAAATTTAAAATTTATCCTAGAATTCAATTTAGTATTTAGAAAGATTGAATTATCATTTAAATAGATAACTATAATCATCTATAGTTTGCAGTAAGCTAATAAATAAATTAGATCAATCATAGATTATTTTTAGATGTATTTCTTCATGATTTAATCTGAATTTTAATTTTCATTATTTTATTTATTTAATTACAAATCTTTTATTTCTATCATGAGTAAAATATGTTAAAAGCATAAAAAATACGAGGAAAAATTTATCTGCATTCACAAAACAATACTACAAAAAGAAGGTAACAAATTTTCCTGCATCAAATGTTTAAACTGGAAAAAATCAGACGATTACTTAAAGAGTATGGAGGAAGTTGAAGAAGAAGCAAAATAAAATGTAGCCAAATATGTAGAAATGTAAAGCAAAATAATAAATTCTAATAATGAAATGAAGTAAAAATATCTTCAATCATTAACTGAACTTTATCATAAATTAACTCAATATTTTGAAAATTAGTAAAAGTCCATTACTTCCTTAGTTGAACAATAAAATCAAATACTAACACAAAACATTAACTAAGCTAATTCACTTTTAAATGAATAATCTGTTTTGGATTCTCAATCAATTGACAATTTCATTATTTTTACAACTTTAAATGAAGCAAATCAACATCTTATTGAAAATAAATACGTTTCTATAAATAAATATTTAGAAAGATAATTTAATTATGAATTTGCTGAAATCTAATGTAAAGTAAATTAATTAATAAACATGGAATTTAAATTTGGTAATATTCCAAAATATGAAGTTGAATAATTCAAAATTTTAACTGCTGATAAAAAAAAAGTTTAATTTCCATATTGCTAAGATCATTAAATGTAAAAAACTTGTATTTGTACACATGAAGATTGTTGTAAATAGCAAGAATAAGATTATTTTTGTATTAGTTGTGCTATGAGTAATCATGATTCACATCTTAAAGGTAATTTTATAAAAACTGTAAAAAAAATAAAGACTGAGCAGAATGAGAAACTGAAAATAATTAAAGAATAATATGAAATACTTAAATAAGAAGTTGAAAACAGAATTGATAAAGAATTAGCAGCAAATTAATAACAACAATAGGAAAATTTTGTTAATTCTTAAACAATAAGAGAAAATCTTAAACGATTAGAAGCTTAGATTAAAATTAATCCTTTCGATTAAAATCAAAATTATATTTTTAATAATATTAATTAGAATTTATTATCATATGATTAAGACATGATCAAATTAGAGTTTTAATCAAAATTAGATTAATTGGAATAATTAAAATAACATATTTCAACAATAAAAGAAGAAGAGTGTTAATAATAATGCCAAACTACTGAAGAGCAATCACTAACTTTTAAATGAGGATTAATTATTTTTGAATAGTAATTATTCTTAAATCTAAAAATTATTATTTTCTTCAAAAACATTTTCAATTATTTTTTAGAAATATATTTGAATTAATTACTAATTGATTGAAAAATTCTTTTAAGAACAATATAAATAATTTAAAGAGATCAAATAATAAATTTAAGTTTTCCCAAATTTTGTTAATTGAAGTAAATAATTTAGTTTTTTAAAATCACAATTAATGAAATAAATTCTTAGATTTCAATCAAACCAACTTTAAGATAAGAATAAAAACTTCTAATTATGGTTAAGTAGGCATAAAATCTTACTGTCAATTTTATACAATATAATACTTAGATAGATATTAAACTGAAATAAATTTTTAATTAGAAAATTAACTTTAAAGATTTAATAAATATTAAAGTAAGCATCTATTAGAAGATAAATTTTGTTTAATTATGGTCAAATATTATTCACACATATTAATCCTTTCAAAAATGCCTATGATTATTTATTAATCTATTATATATATCCAATAATTGACTATTAATATATCAATTAATTTTAACTGCAATAACAAAAATTTGTCATGAAAAATTGTTTAAGATTATAAAATAAAATAATGAATAATTTCTTGCAAATATAAAATGATTATCTTTTCACTCTAAAGTTAACAGTTTTATTCTTTATTTGTTTCTTTTAATAGGATATAATAGATTAGTAAGTTCCTCATCTCCTATAGTACCTAAAGAATAGTTCTTCAATTCATATATTTCTTTGGGCAGAAATGCAGTAGTAATTAGAAATATAAAAAACATTGTTCATCTAATTTGATACATGTATTAAATTGTGTTTTATTATTTTCAAAAATCTAATCAAATCTGTGGAAAATAAATTTAACATTTTTATTGAAATTAACTTTAGTTTTAAGAAAGATTCAAATCATCTTATCGTAGTAAAACAATTATAATCTATATTTAGTATTAAGCTAATTTCTTCAGGCATAAATCCAAAATTTATTTTGTATTTATTTAATTAGAAAATTTCTTAATTCTATCATGAGTAAAATATGTTAAAAGCATAAAAAATACGAGGAAAAATTTATCTGCATTCACAAAACAAGACTACAAAAAGAAGGTAACAAATTTTCCTGCATAAAATGTTTAAACTGGAAAAAATCAGACGATTACTTAAAGAGTATTGATGATGTTGAAGAAGAAGCAAAATAAAATGTAGCCAAATATGTAGAAATGTAAAGCAAAATAATAAATTCTAATAATGAAATGAAGTAAAAATATCTTCAATCATTAACTGAACTTTATCATAAATTAAATCAATATTTTGAAAATTAATAAAAGTCCATTACTTCCTTAGTTGAACAATAAAATCAAATACTAACACAAAACATTAACTAAGCTAATTCACTTTTAAATGAATAATCTGTTTTGGATTCTCAATCAATTGACAATTTCATTATTTTTACGACTTTAAATGAAACAACTTAAAAAATTATTGAAAATAAATATGTTTCTATAAATAAATGTTTAGAAAGATAATTTAATTATGAATTTGCTGAAATCTAATGTAAAGTAAACTAATTTACAACGTTGGAGTTTAAATTTGATTCTATTCCAAAATATGAAGTTGAATAATTCAAAATTTTAACTGTTGATAAAAAAAAAGATAAAATTCCCTATTGCGAAGAACACTAAATGAAAAAAATATAAATATGCACATACGAAGATTGTTTAGAAGAGCAAAAACAAGAATATCTCTGTTCAGATTGTGCTAAGAATAATCATGAATAACATTCAAAAGGTAAATTTATAAAAACTTTATAAAAAATAAAGATTGAGCAGAATGAGAAACTTAAATTAATTGAGGAGTAATATTAAATCCTTTAATAAGAAGTTGAAAACAGAATTGATAAAGAATTAACAGCAAATTAACAACAATAATAAGAAATTTTCGTTAATTCTTAAAAAATAAGGGAAAATCTTAAATATTTGGAAGCTTAGTCTAAAATTAATCCTTTCAACAAAAATCCAAATTTTATTTATAATAATATTAATTAAAATTTGTTATCATATGATTCAGATATGATCAAATAAGAGTTTTAATCAAAATTAGCTTAATTAGAATAATTAAAATAACAAATTACAAAAATAAAAAAAGAAGAGTTTCAATAATAATGCCAAACTACTGAAGAGTAATCACTAACTGCTCAGTAAGAAGCATTTAAATAAAAAAAATTAGTGTAATAATATGAACTTTAAATTTCAGAGTTATAAAAGAAATTAGAAATTAATTCAAATTAATCATTAATGATAGAAATTAAAAATGCATAAAACTAATTGATTGACTAAACCTTCAAAGAGCAATAAAAATAATTTATTGAGGGTATTAATGAGATTATATCATAAATTTAAACTGTTTCAAAAGTTGTTACTGAAAGTAAACATATCAGTTCTTTGTAATAAGATTTGAAAAATGCTATAACAACAATTAATTAAATTAATTCATAAAGTTACTTGATACCAACTTTATAATAAGAATTAAAAACTTCAACTAATAGTTTAGAAGGAATAAAATCATAAATTACTAATCTAACTAATTTGAATTAAGATTTAAAAGTTATTTAAAAAGGAATGGATGAGATCAAATCATAAATTTAAACTGTTTCAAAAGTTGTTACTGAAAGTAAACATTTCAGTTCTTTGTAATAAGATTTGAAAAATGCTATAACAACAATTAATTAAATTAATTCATAAAGTTCCTTGATACCAACTTTATAATAAGAATTAAAAACTTCAACTAATAGTTAAGAAGGAATAAAATCATAAATTACTAATCTAACTAATTTGAATTAAGATTTAAAAGTTATTTAATAAGGAATGAATGAGATCAAATCAGAATTTTAAATTGAAAATAAACATATCAGTTCTTTGTAATAAGATTTGAAAAATGCTATAACAACAATTAATTAAATTAATTCATAAAGTTCCTTGATACCAACTTTATAATAAGAATTAAAAACTTCAACTAATAGTTAAGAAGGAATAAAATCATAAATTACTAATCTAACTAATTTGAATTAAGATTTAAAAGTTATTTAATAAGGAATGAATGAGATCAAATCAGAATTTTAAATTGAAAATAAACATATCAGTTCTTTTTAATCAGATTTGAAAAATGCTATAACAACATTTAATTAAATTGATTCATAATGTTCCTTGATACCACCTTTATAATAAGATTTAAAATATTCGGTGTAAGTTTAGGAAGAAAAAAAAATAATCCCCAAAGCCAAGTCGGGATTAAAATTTAGTTGAAAGTTTTTTATATAAATCCCATATATTTAATGATTTAATTTCAAATATTTTTTTTAAGTTAAAGATATAATAGATAATATCGTTTCATTTCAATCAACTTAATTAACCTTATACTTTAGAATAAAGTGAAAACCTAGAAAATAAAAATCTCAAAACTTAATTAAAACAATTTGTAAATTCAATCTACTCTACTAAGTATAATTTAGAAAAGGAACCATTCTTTTTTCTTATCACTATAATTTGAATGTCAAAACGCTTGACCTATTTTTCTAATTATTAATATTGATGCCTTTATTAAATAAAAAATATATAAGAAATCCATCGGGTTTTGCTAGAAACAATTAAATAGATAAATAATGGGAGGTGAATCCATGTTCTAAACATCCTTTTGAATCCAGAAAATATGGTTTGAGATTCTTTGCTTCAGAAAAATTAGAGGAAAATATTTAATTTTCTTTGTTATTAATAAAGAAAAAACAAAATGTAAAAAGAATTTCCATAGTACAAAATGATAGATAAACAAGCTTGAGGAAGTAACGAAGAAGAAAAAAAGAAATTTTGCAAATAAGGACTTAACAAAAAAGCAAACTGAAGAAGCTACTATAGAAGTAAAAAATTTATTAGGAGATACAAGAAATAAATGGATGAATAATAAAGAAGCTTTTTGGATTATTTATAAAATAATGATCGGAATCCTTTGAATACTTTTTTCTGAATTCTTAGTTTAATTGTAGATGCTTGAATTAATTTCTGCATATGGTAGAGATATGAATAATATAAAGTAGAAATCTTTGTCACAAAGAAAGATTTTCTAGAGAGACTTCAAATAAAAACCTTAGACCCAAAAGAAAAGTGGTTTGGATTGAAAAAAATTAATTAAATCCTTTATGAAATTAATTGAAAATTTTTTTTAAGTAAAATTATGAATGATGTAATTTCATTCTTAGAAAAATTTAATAATCATTTGCATTATAAAAAGTAGATCATTATAAATTTGAAAAATAGCTGGTAGAATACCACTTTTTACCAACCTAAATATATAAATCAGAAAAAAGTGAAAATTATATTAGTTTTATTAATTTTCATACTCAAGATATTTATCGAAATTATACACTTAAAAAATATCTATATGAAGATATCTATTATCAGAAAATTGAACATGAAAAGCTATAAAATTATTAATATTATGTATCAAAACTTAGACCAAAAATGAAAATTTCATTATTTAACAATGTTAAATATTTACAAAATTAATAATTTCTTGCAAATAATAAAATGATTATCGTTTTTCCTCTCATTCTTATTTAGCTTTTTTAATAGAGGTTTTAGACGTTCTTTCCTCTCGCAGCACAACAAAAAAAATATTTAATTTTAATTTGATGAAAATGCAAAAGTCCAAAAATATATTATATGCAGATGTATTATTCCTATTTATATAGTTTTAACTTGGATATAAATAGTAATTAATGTAAATTATTTTTTTTAAGTAAAAAAATATTAATAAATAATTAGTAATCCATCAAAATCTATCTCTAATAAAATGGAAGAATATTCAAGTATGAAATACATAAACAGTGAGTCTTCTAAGAATAAATGTTAAGCAGAAATTAGACACAAGTGAAGATAAATGAATAGTAATCATATTAAAATAGTATGACTAGATTAGAATATTTATTAATGGTTTTCCAATATTAGTAATAGTTATGATAAATAATCAAATTCTAAATTATGTTTTAAAAGGAGAGTAGTTGAATAAAAATTTAAAGTAACAAGACATCAAGTTTATTTGACTGATGAAAATCTTACTAATATTAACCTTCATTTTATTATTATGCGCTTAGAAAAATATTTTATTTATTAATCATAGCCAATTTTATTTTCAATTTGAATATTGCTCAATTCTATTTTATTCTCAGGTAATTCATAAAATGCTTATAGCACATTCAACTTAAATATATTGTATTTTTCACTGTTCTTTCTTTTAAGGTTAAAATTATTAATTTGATGAAAAGGAATAATAAATTTAAATGATTAATCAATCATAATTTACTAAATATTAATTCTGCACAAAATTTATCAATGAAATGCATGTCTTATTATTTAATCAATTAATTATGGTTTTTTTTAAATAAAAATTGAATGTTCATTTTTATTCCATTTTAAACTGAATATTTAATTGAAACTCTAATCGAAAGATCAATAAGAATTTTAAAACATTAATAATAATTTACATGATTCAATAAAATAAGAATATTTTTTATAAAACTTATTATGAAACATCATGTCATACTTTGCTTAAAAAATAAAAAATTTGAAGCTTATTGACTTAATTAGAATGAATATCAAAACGGAACTACTTTTTTTCAAATCTTTAAATACATCTAATCTTGTAATAGTTATCATTAGATTAAGTTATAAATTTACATATCAATATATATTTATTTATACTATATACTAAAAATTTTTTATATTTTTATCAGTTTGAAATAAATATTGGTTAAATAATAATCTTAAAATAAGAAATTGTTTAATTCTAGTTAGATAGAAATAGGTTCCTCATATAGCTTATTATTTTACAGATGAGATATCCACATTCTGAATTGATTTATTTTAATGATAATATAAATTAAAAGAGTATACCTAATAATCTCATACTTTATTGATTTCCATAAAAGATGATTCAATTTATGTTTAATTGTTTTTTATTTTAAATTATTTAATTGATAGATATAACAAAGAGAAGATAAAGAATACAAATAATAAAAATATCCGTTGTATTCTTTTTGAGAATATTATGGCCAATAAAATTCTGCATAAATTAATGCTTTTATCAATCTATAGATATAATGATTATTAGTCCATTAAAAATTATAATTTCTAATATCCTATTTCAGACAGTGTCTCTCATTTATCTATCTTTTTTTAAGATGGATAACAATTTGAATTTTCTTAGAAAATAATCCTATTTTTGCTATACAATATCTACCCATTGTGTAATAATATTTATTATAATAAATTTATCTAAATTCAGATATATATGAGTTCTTAAGAATATGAAGGTTTTAGGTTAATAGATGTTGATAGTTTTTATTTGAAGATTAAGTAATTTTAAGATGGCTAAGATTTTATTATTTTGAATGAGTCATGCATTTAAAAGGTAAGATGAGAATTATTAATATATAGATGGCTTAAAATGACTAATGGATAGATTGTTTAGGTGATTTAGAAATAGAATTAAAAGCAATACTATATGACAGAGTTATCAATATATCTAATTTACCTTAATATTTAAGTCAAAGATTATAACCATTCATTATATATATTATGAACAAAATGTATTATAATTTCTATCAATTAGAATATTTGATCATAAACGATTGAAGTTGCAATGTTATCTAAATGAGATCTTGCATTTGATATAGAAATTGATAATTAAGAAATGGAATATGTATCCTACTTAATTACTTGAATTCTTGAAATTAATTCATTATAATTCGATGATAGAATTCTACAATAGTAGAATTTCAGATTTAGAAGTTTATAAATCTACCATCAATAAGTTCTATTATGAAAGATAGAAATATGGTATAATTAATTAGGCTGAGAGTTATCTTAATTAACAGGAAGTTGAAATATTTTATCCACTTCAAAAGGAAGTTCTCGATCAACGCCATTTAGACAAGAATGTCCTCATATTCTCACCATTTCAACGTATGCAAATTCATTACTTTTATAAGAATGGTGGTTTTGAACTTCTAAATGAATCTTTTACTAATTTTACACTCAAACAGATAGAGGTTTTATGTATTTAAGGTTATTTAAAAAAATATATTGATAAATAATTATATATGAATTATTTTCAACATCTTAATTATTAATAGATTGCTTTTAAATTAACTGATGAAGATATCAAAAATGCTAGCAAAGAAAATATAGAATAATTTAATTTATATATACAAAATCTAATAGATTTTAAGAGTACATAACAAGAGAGATAAAAAGAAATAGAATAAATTTAAATGTCCATATATTTGTAATGTTTTCGTTGTTCATCACTTCAGAAACGTATTTTTGGTAATTAGCATAAAATGTATTTTATTAGGATTGTAATAACTTTGTAAAAAGATTAACACTAATCATAGTAATATTCAAAATTACTAGAACAATTAAACACTCTTAAATTTTCTAATAGAGAATCAAGTATTTTAAGATTTATTTGGAGAGAAAACCCACCTTGAATTGATTAAAGGTTCATTTCCTTTAATTAAATTTCTTTATTAGAATAAAAGTATAAAAGGAGAAGAATTAATTAGTATTTTAAGATTGGCCAGAGGTAGACATGAAACTTGGATTAATATAATTTCAACAATCTTATAGGATCTTGCAGAAATATTAAATTTAGAAGATATTTAGATAATGTTATAAAATATATACTTAAATTAAATAGGTTTAGATAGTCTAAAATTCATAAAAAGTTTAGGTAAAAATAAGTATTTAAATAATTATTCTGAAGATTAAGACTAAAATATTATTGATAATAGGTATAAAAAATAAAAGCTTAATGCTGATGATGATTGTAAAGTGATATCATATGGAAATTTTAGTGATTAAAAATAAGATAGAAATCATGTTTCATAAATAATCTAATCTTAATAGACAATGAGACATAAAGAAGAATAAATTAAAACTTAAATTGTTGAATACTTATTAAATTTAGTACATGATTAACCTAATAACATTATAGGTCAGACTGCATTTGAAATTGCAATTGAACTTATATGTCATTAATTTCAATTTCTAAGAATCTAATATCTTAATATAGCTATAGAAGCATTAAATTCTAATCAAGATTAATTATCAATTTATTTTAATATGATTCAATAAATTATTCAATCCTCTTATCCAATTGAACAATTCAAAAAATCTGATGAAATTTTGATTTGGATGGAGGAGAAATATAATTTAAAATTAAATTATTTAAGATTGATGTTAAGATAAAAATTAAAATTTCTCATAAAAGAGGAAAGTGTATATTTAAAGGTGATTATTTAATGTGTTAATTTCTATAAATTTTTACATAAGAATAGTAAAATTAATTAAATTGAATTATAGATATTATGGAAATTGCTTGTAGAAAATGCAAGATATTTAGAAGAAAGAGATTTATTTTTTGATTGGTTTAATGAATAATTAAATTTAGAGAATGATGCAATGGAATGGTTATTTATTAAAATAATTAAATAAAATCATTTATCACAATCAATGTTAAGATGTTTGATAAATTTGATTCTATATTTTAATATAAAATATAAGGTAATTAAATTATTGTATGATGATGAATATCAATTATTTGATCATAATCTAATAGGTCTCAATATATTATGGAAAATATTTCACTCTCAACCTGAATTATATAATTAACTCTATGATTTCTTTATTAAATTATTAAAAATGAATCAAAAACCTAATATACTAAATAGTTTGAAATAGTTATATTTAAATGAACTCTTTTCATGTATTCAAAATCCTACTTCTATCTAATTTGTAATACAATTATTAGAAGAATTTGAAGGATTTAAAATTATTGAATAAGAAGAAAAGATATCAATAACAATTCTTAATAACTGTTAAAATGCCTTGAATCCAAAAAAATAAGATATTCAATTATAATGTAATTTATAAGTTTACCAAGCTAAATAAATAATAGGATAAAAATTAAATCCTTAAATGAGACCAGAAGAATTTGATATCTTTTGTAGAGGTTCCTTATTTAAAGATCAAAATACACTTAAAGATTACAAAGTAAATTAGAATTTGACATTCACAATTTCAAATAAATATGATTTTTATTAAGAAGATGATACTATTTAATAAGAAAATTAAGATATAAATGAGAAAATAAACAAGATTTAAGATATTGTTAACATTTAAAATAAACAATTTATATTATCAGTATTAAAGGATAAGAATTTCAATGTAGATACTACAATAGGAGAATTAATTGATCAAGGTGATTAATTATATATCTAATATCAATAGAAAAATATAAGTAAAGCTCCTCCAAAAAAAATAGAAACAAGTACTTCTTTTGCAGCAATAATTTCTAATTAATATATAGATTAATTATTTAACTTATTGAATTACAACAATCAATAAATAAATGCTAAAATTTGGAGTATTTTATAGATGATTCCTTGTAATCCAAAAGTATATTAATTGATTGAATAATCACAAAAGGATTGGAGTAAATTGTTAATTGATGATAACAAATATAGATTACAATATCACTTATAAATATTAAAGGAATAATTGCTTTTTGATTTTGTAGAAGATTAGGATGTTTATAAAATATTGAGATAAAATTTCTTATCTAATGGTGGTTTACAATTATTATTAAATAATCTTGGTAAACCTATAGAAATAGTACTTATTATATTAGAGATATTTCAAATGTATTTAAATAGTCATGCTATTAATGAACTTAAAGATTATAATTATTCTATGCTTCTTAAATTAAAATCTGTAGATTAAATTATTAGTTTATTTTCTCCTTAAAATTAAATATAAGATAATCAATTTTAATAATCTAAATCATTTTAAGTATTTTATTTTTGTGAAAAACTTGATTTTTAAATCAACTGGGAGAACTTGTTAAATAATTTATTTAATTGGATAGAAATTGAATAATGTTACACTATAATACTCTGTTTACTTTATGTTAAACCTAATTTATTGAATTACCCATTTCCAATCAATTAATTGCTTAATTAATTGAATAATTCAAAATTAGAACAAAGAAGAATGGCAGCTATATTTATACTTACATTAAATGATATATGCATAAAAAAAAGACAAAATTTCAGCATCAAATACTTACCAATACTGATACAAGGACAAACTGAATATGAAGAGTTGTTTATTGTTATTGCAGAATTAATAGATTAAACCTATGATATATCCTTTTTGTAAACTAAAGAATTAGTACTATAAATTATAGATTTCATAAAAAATAGAGAAATAAATGAATCACCATTTATTGAAAATGAGGATAAAGTCTTATAAGGTAATTTATTATTATTAAAAACTTTATTAAATAGGGATAATTAATTATCAATTAATTTAATTGATATTGATTTCTCTAAATATATTTTTGAATGTTTGTTTGAAATGAAGAACAATTATTCTATTTATCCAGTATATAAAAGGAATAATACAAGAAAGAGAGCTTTTGATTTATTATTAGAATTAAGTAAAGTCTAAAATCATTTAAATCAAATTCTATATTTAATTTAAATAAATCAACAGAAAAGACCTAATTTAGAAGAATCTAATTTTGATTATGGTATAAAAGGATCACATGGATATGTAGGTCTTTAAAATTTAGGAGCTACTTGTTATATAAATTCACTTCTATAGTAATTGTTTATGAATATTCATTTTCGAAAATGTATTTTAGATGTATAAATTCTAAAATAGAGCAATCATAAAATAAGAATAATAAAAATAAATGATGCTAATACTAATTAAAATATTAATCTATGTTAAGATCCATTATATTAGTTATAATAAGTTTTTATTCAACTTTAAGAATCAGTAAAATAATATATTAATCCAAATTAATTTATAAAGACATTGAAAGGTTTTGATGGATAATAAATTAATCCTTTAATTTAAGAGGATTGTAATGAATTCTTTAATTTGTTAACAGGAACATTAGAAGAATATTTAAAACCTACACTTTAATCTAATTTAATAAATTAAAGTTTTGGAGGTACTTTTGTAAATGAAATAAAATCATTGGAATCAGATTGTGATTTTAAGAAAGAAACAGAAGAACCCTTTTTAACTGTTTCTGTTGAGATCAAAAATAAAAAGAGTTTATATGAAGCATTAGATTTATTTGTTAAATCTGATGTTTTAGATGGTGAGAATCAATATTTTTGTGATGAAGTATAACGTAAAATTGATGCTGAGAAGAGATGTTACTTTATAAAATTACCTAAAACATTTATTTTCCATTTAAAAAGATTTGAATTTGATATTGATACTAATACTCGTAATAAAATTAATGATTATTGTGAATTTCCATTAGAAATCAATATGTTCTAATGGACTCGTGATAATATTGTAGAACATAAATAATTAAATGATTTTACAGATTATAAATATGTATTGAAAGGTGTTCTTGTTCATACAGGAAATGCTGAAGGAGGTCATTACTTTTCTTATATAAAAGATCATAACAATTAATGGTTTGAATTCAATGATAAATTGATTACTCATTTTGATGTATAGAATTTAAGGGAGAAATGTTTTGGAGGTAATTAAAATAATGAATGGGGTATATAAAATAGCAAGAATGCATATATGTTATTTTATGAAAAATAAGGTGTGATTTAAGAAAATAAATAAAATCATATAGAAATTGAAATTGAAGATTTATCAGAAAATGAATAATTTTTAAAATAATAAATTAGAAAAGAAAATACTAAATATATAGAAAATAAATTATTTAATGCTTAAGAATATGTGAATTTTGTTTAAACACTTGTATAAAGTGGTATGAAGAATTATCAATTAGAAACAAGTTTAGAATTACTTTAATTATTTACTACATTCACTTTTTCTTAGTTTCTAAAGAATAAAGATATCTTTTAATTTAAAAATAACCTTAAAATTCTCAATAATTTTTATAATCAAAATAATTAAGCTTGTGTATGGTTACTTGAGTATTGGAGATGTAATAAATAAATATTGATTGAATGTTTAATTGAATATGAATCAATTGAAAGTCTTTAATTGATAAATTTCGTCATTGATTAGGCTTAACTATTTGATCCTTTTAAATTATAAAAATTCTTTTAGTTTTATTTGAGTGAATTATTACCTATTGTAAGAAACAATAACAAGAATAGAATATGTTATTATAGAGTGATCAGTTATTATTTAGAAAGGACTGATGTTTTATTTAATTAGATATATTAAGATCGTTATTTCTATATATTTTATGAAATTTTAAAAGAGAGAATACAATAAATATAAACTAATAATTATTTCAAAATAATATTATAAAATGAAGATTCTCTTATTATAATTTGTGAGATTATAAGTAAAATAATTAGATGTTGTGAGACAATTGGTATGTAATCCAATAAAATTTCTCCAACATATATATAGATTGGATTATTAAATTATAAAATTGATTAATTATGGATTGAAGAATTGTTTTAATAAAATTAATTCAGAAAGTATATCTTATCCATGGTATAACATTAAAATTAATTGATTTTTATGATTCAACATATATGTTGGAATGATTAAAACATTAGTCAAAAAGTCATTTAAGAAATTGTTATGTAAATATTGGATGATTAAAATTAATGGTAATAGTTGGAGAAGATAAGTTAAATATTAATAGAAATCTTGAACATAGAAGATGGATTATAAGAGAATAGAATTAGATGGATATTCTAATATGAAAATTTTATGGAATCATCAAAAAGAGGTACAACTATATTAAATACTATCTAAAAAGATGATCTTGATTATGTTATAGGAATTATATGTATGTTAGCTGAAATAGGTAGTAAAGTTATTAGTTTCTCTCAATATTTAAATACAAATAAAATGGATTTCGAATATTTATTATATAAATTAAAAGATATCTTATAATAATAATTTAATCACTTTTAATATCCAATTTAAAAGATGCAAACAGCCATAAAATAGGTAATTTATTTTTTTATCATTAGTTTCAAAATATCTTATAATTATAATTTGATATCAATATGGATGATGATAATAGAAGATAATTAGGAGAAGAATCTTTAGGTTAAGATAGTAATTAAGCACAATATGATTTAGAAGATACTAATCAAATTTCTGAATGATTTAAAATATATATATAATTAATAATATAAATTAAATGGCATCTGCTTTTCCAAAATTGCCAGGTTTTGTACCCACTTAAGATATAGATGTAATTTAATAATAATAGTTTGAAATTAGAAACCAAATTTCAGAAAAGTCTCTTCTACTAAATAAGAATAAAATAGAGATATCAATCATTTACCTAATAAGGAATATGCAGTACCTCGTAAATAACCAATACAAATACCACTATAAACAGGAATGTTCAATCCTGATTATATGAGTACAACTCATGCTATGCATCTTCCAAAAGTATAAAAAACAGTTACACTCTTAGAATGTAACTAATGATTCTGAAGAATTATATTAACCATCTTGGGTTAAAATGGATAGACATGTTTTAAGATTTAGTGGATATTTCAAAGAAGCAGTTGTTGAATCAGCACTTGAAAATTATAGAATTCGCAAAATTACTATTTGTTACTATCTTGAAGATCATTCATTAAGTATAACTGAACCCAAGTAAGAAAATAGTGGAGTACCTTAAGGAGCATTCTTAAAAAGATAAAAAGTATAATTTATTTTATTATATATAGGTTTTACGTGCTGATGATTCAAAGACCTTTATACTTCCTCAAGATTTTAGAATTAATTAAGATATCATTATTTATGGAAAGACAATACGTTTATATGATTGTGATCAATATACAAGAGAGTTTTATGAGGTAGTGGATGTTCTTTAATCTCACTTAGTTATAAGGAATACCTCAAGAATCTTCTTTTGTACCACAGTCTGATTCATTTGAAACCAAGACAATGACTAAATTCATTCCTTAAAAAGATACTGTTATGAAAGATTATTTAGAACATAAATTAGGAGGTGGTCGTGTGACATCCTAAAAACAATTTTTAGAGAATGATAGAAAGGTTTTTTTATTTAATTATATAATATTTTAGGTTCTTAAATTCTATGTATTCTCAGATATTGAATATATTCTACATTACTATTTAGCAGATGATACTATAGAAATTAAGGAAATCAATTCAGCTAATTCTGGAAGAGTTCCATTCCCAATGATGTTGAGAAGATAAAAATTACCTAGAAAATTTTCACTCAATCAACCTGGATAAACATATGCTGAAGATTTCATTAGACCATAAGATATATAATTTGGATAACCTCTAATCATTTATAATCGCAAATTCTAAATTAATGGTTGTGATTAATTTACTAGATCTTATTATTTTGAAAAATTTAATGTAGATTTTCCATTAGGAGGTTAGGAAGAATATGTATAATAAGAAAGATCAAGTAATAATAATTTAATAATAATTTATTTAGATATTATTATACCTCCTCATAATGGTATTGGAGATGAATAAGATTCACTTGGATATATTTACAGATTATAACCTATACCACCAAAGAAAGATTTCTTTAAATGGGTTGATAACTAAGTAAATCTTAGATTTTTAGCTATGTTCAATACAACTAAACCAGAAGATAAAGATAGAGTATTTGTAATAACTTTCTTTTTAAATGATGATAGTCTTTTAGTCTATGAACCAACTGTAAGAAATTCTGGTATTTGATATTCTAAATATTATTAGGAATACCTGATGGGAAATTTTTAGAAAAGAGAAAGTATAAAAATATCAATAATAACAATGAATTTTTCACACCAAATGATCTTATAGTTGGAAATGAAGTTATAATAAATGGTTGGAGATTCTAATTGCTAGATTGTGATGAGTTTACTAAGAAATGGTATGCTCAAAACTTCAAATGAGATTTATTAAATAAATAATTTTACACATAAATTAATGTTTAGCAGTTAAACAGCATTTATTCCAAATGCTTAATCTAGATATGTTATATCTCCAAAATTAGGATAATCAGTTAATTAGAATTTGCAATATAATCATTAACAATTAGAATAAGAAAATAATAATTCAAATTCATCTGAACATTTACATCTTCATTTACATCATTTAACTAAACTTTATTTTATGATGTTATTATGCTATTTCATTGCCTTATTTAATTTAGTAGAATATTTATTATACTAACTAGATTGATTTTGAATCCATGAATATATTCTTTAATCAAAATGGATATTTTCTTTATTTATTTTTAGGAGCACTTTTATTAATATCAATATTATCTATAAATATAGATAATTCAATACTCTATATTATATTTTTAATAATATTCTACTTTTTATTTGCTTGTATAAAAGCATTGAATAATATGAATATAACATTAATGATGATATTCACATATGGAGGATAAGTATTAGCCTAATTTTTGAGTGTCTTATCATCTAATAATGAGAAAGATATTTAATTACATCAATAATCTTTATATATTTTAACAAGTGGTTTGATAGTTTTTTAATTGTTCATAACTTGTTTTGATATTGATTTCTTTAAAATGATTATCATTTTAATAACAGGCATTATTTTTGGGTATGTTATTATCAATGATTACTTATGTATAGATTCTTTTTGGTGATTTCAACAATGAGTAAAGATTCCAAATTTAATGGAAATGCTTTGCCTGAAAGCATTAGTATTTATACAAAAATTTTAGTATAAATTCTAAAGAAAGCTTAATAAATTGCCACTCTTTATTACAAAGATCCTATAGAGATGGAAATAAAATTAATTGAAAGAAATAAAAAGATTGATGAGAATGATTATAAAATGATGAATCAATGTGATGCCAAGAATTATCAACATTTGTTAATTAATAAATTAAATGGTTTAGATGGATTGATAGAATTAAGTGATGGCACTTTCATTTATAAGAAAGGAATGATTTAATATTCCAATTCTAAATTTGAAGAATGCACAAATGTGGCCATAATGAAATTATAATGATTAATAAATTATTATAAAATAATTTTGGCCCAATTCTCACTTTACAATACAACTAATTCTAAGGGGATTAAAATATTAATCGATCCATTCCTATTTCAAATTTGGAACTTCACCATTTCTCATAGCCACAATTTACATGAACTAAGATGCTATCTTTTCAACATGTTATGTATGTTATGCAGCATTCTCTTTTTTTCGTATACTCATATTACACATTCTAGTAGTATAAGAAATACCTTTATTATCAAAATACTAAGTAATCTATTGATATGCTTATCTATTAATGTATGCAAATCTCATTTTCAATTCTTCTACCTCTTAAGTTTCTTTAGGTAACATGAAATGATAAGATAGAATTTAACTCTATTTAATCTTTATCTTATCCATTTCAGTAACCATCTCCCATTTTTCAATTGGTTCTGTAGTAAAGTATTTGTGTTTCTTTTTCATTAAATCCTAAAACTCTTTTAAATATCTAGATTAAGCTTTATTTCTATTAGAAATCAATTCAACACATTAATTCTACATATCCCTTTAAAATCTAAAGAACTCATATAAATTTTCATTTAAAGTGTTAGCTAACTTGTTTAAATTGACACCCCAGTCTACTAAATATTCTTCTAATAAAGTATATACAAATTCTAATAAAGGAAGACTACCAACAATATTTTTTAGATTAAATGCTTTTGTAGCTTCTTTTAATGAACCAATGCTGCCTGCTAAATTCTTAACTTTAAGAATAAAATCCTTCATAGATTATACAAGAAATCTAGAATTATCAGTTAATTCTTTATAAATATCATTAGTATTTAACATATAACTATTGATAAATGTTATTATTACTTATTAATATCCATGAAATATTTATCCATCATTGGATTGAATTCTAAAATGACTTAACCTTCTTAATTAGCATAATCAGTATATTTTGTTGGTTATTTCAAAACAGTAGAAGCAGCTAATAATTGTTTAAATTTGATATCATCTTCTATAAATAAAAAACCTTCAATAAAATCAGATTATCTTAATAGATGATTATTTAGAATAGCACTTAAGAATTATTCTAACATTTTGCATCTTTTAGAAATGTGTTCAGGTGTGAATTTTCTGAATAGAGTTTTTGCAGGAAGTGGTGGTATCAAACTATCAGGATATTATTATTGTAAGGATTCTTATAACCAATAAAAGTGTTCGACTCTTCTCCAAACATTAGAACCAAATTATCCAACAACAACACAATAATTTACATAATTAGGTGTAAATGTATTACCTTCTATTATCTTATATTCAGCAATTCTAGGTTATATAATAATTTAAGGATTTTCAACATAATATAATACAATTCTATTAGGAGGTAATTATTTGCATGAGATTGTCTCTCTATAATTTTTTTCATCATTTATTATCACATTTGGTTTAAGTAGAATCTCTTCTTCTATACTCATTGTTCTTGTGATATCTTGTATTTTTACCTTGTCCTTCTGAATTCATCATGCTTTTTTTCTATCATTAATTTAACTTCAGCTTCTAAGGCTTCATAAGTCCATGAATCAATTAAATCAAATTGTTCTCCTTTTACTTGATTCAAATGTTGAATTAATTCCTCTTTAGGTATTTTCTCATAAAGGACAGCTGAAAGCAATAAATCCTATTTTTTGAGTCTTTCAAATGTTAAACTCATTGAATACGCAAATTTTAATATTCCATAAAACAATAACATATGTATTTGGATACATTTAATATATAATTTTATATTCATTAAAATTTACGCATTTTTATTATAAAAACTGAATAATCCTCTTTCTAATTTATTATTATTCTGACAATTTAAATAAATTAATGAAACAATCCTTTTAAATCAAATCAGATATGTATTTATTATTATATACTTTTAAGATAACTTTGCTTTAAAATTGTGTTTTTAGGATCTAGTTCGGTTGGAAAAACATCTATAATTAAGAGATTCCTTAAAAATGAATTTGCAATGAAATCTATGAGTACTGTAGGAGTAGCGTGTGTATTAAATTTTGCTTTAGTTAAGGAATCAAAAGTAATTACTATAAACAACCAATAAGTAAAGGTGTAATTATGGGATACTGCAGGATAAGAGAGATTTAGATCTTTGACTAAGAATTATTATAGAGGTTGTGATGCAGTAGTGATAGTTTATGACATATCAAATATGAAAAGTTTTGATTAAGTAAATGGATGGATAGCTGATTTTGAAGAGTATATAATTAATTAATGCAATTAGTAAATGTGAAAGACCAGCAATAAAGATATTGTTAGGAAATAAAATAGATTTAAGTCGAGAAGTGGGAATTGAGTTGGGTTAACTATTTGCTAGAAAATAGAAATTATTATTTAATGAAGTATCAGCAAAAGAGAATATTAATATTGAAAATGTTATGATAAAGTTAATAGAAATTTTAATTGAAGCAAGATAAATAGATTCTGGTGATAAAATAGTAAGAAGAGGATCACTTGTAGAAGGTAAATCAACAAATGGAGACATGTCAAATAGTGGAATAAGTAAATCTACAAGACCTATATCATACAAACCACCAGAAAAAGATGTCTCAATATCTGATACTTCTAAATTATAAGCTATTAAATCTGGTGGTGAAAGTTCATAAGAAGAATCTCCTTATACTTCTGGTGCTGTATTATAATAGACATCTCCTCCTACTATTATTGTTACTCCACCTGAAGATGTCAATGTTATTAGTCAAGATAATAATAATATGTGGTTATGTGATTCTAAATAAAATAAAATGATGAAAAAGAAATCAAATTGTGTAAGTACATTAGCTGTTCCTTTAAAATTAGTACATCCAAGAGAATCTTAAATGATTAGGGATGAATATCTATTAAGACATAATATTAATCAGAGTTGTTTCTGTTCATGTTGATTATATTTTAAAATCTCTATTAATTAATTAACAAAGAAAAAAAAAGATTTAAAAAATTATTTTAAATAATATGCCAAAGGGATAGACAACAACAACATAAAAAGCATAAAAGGCTGCTAAAAATACTAGAGTTGCAAAAAAGGTTATTAGAGCTAGAACTCATTTCCAAAATAGATTTCATACAACTAAACCTTTGGCACTTGAAAGAAAACCTAAATTTACAAGATTGACAAGATAATTAAAACCAATAAATAAAGGTTTAGATTTTTAAAATGTCCTTAAACATCCACTTATTACAGAAAAAGACATGAAAAAGATGGAAGATGAAAATACTATGGTCTTTTATGTCAATTAAAAATCAACAAAACCATAAATTAAAAGAGCATTCTCTAAAATTTATGATGTTAAAGTAAGAAAAGTCAACGTAATATTTAAATGCCTATATTCAGATCTTAAATACCTTTGGAGGCAAAAAGAAGGCATACATTAGATTAGGAGGTGAAAATGATGCACTTAATTTGGCCAATAAAATAGGAATCATTTGAGTGAAAAAGTCATATTATATTGCATAGTAAAATATATATATATATTATTATTATTATTATTATTTATATTATTCGTTAAATTTATGAACACTACTATCCGTAAATTATATACTTTCAAAAAGAAATAAAAGAGTTTCGATAAAACTTTTGGTGTTAAATATGTTCAAGATATACTCAACAATATAATTGTTTAGAAAATTGACTTTTCAGTACAATCTGAAATATGCAAAACTGAAGAAGATCTTGATTTAGATGATTTAATCATTAATGAAATCTCAAAAACAGAAGGACCTGAAGAAGATATTCAAATAAATGATGATTTATCACAAAAATTAAATGATCTAGTAAGTCCCAGAAAAAAATTAGTTACTTTTGATTCAGACAACTATAGACTTATTTATAGATTAAAGAAATCTAAATCCAAATTAATTGTTGTACCTTGTAAAGTATCTAAACGAACATTTAAAATGACAGAATAAGATCTCTAATTTCAATAATTATTTGATTAATCCACTTATTAATTTTAACCTCCAAATGAATTAGACTTTTTAATACCTTTTAATGAATTTTATCAGAAAATAAATGAAATCGTGCTTAATCAATTGTGAATAGATATTTTATTAATATTACAAACTTATATACTAGTAAAATCTAAAATAATAAATTCTAATCATCTAAATTGTGTAAATTTATCAATCTTCTCTATGAATATTTATATATTGAATTCTTACCTAAACTTATTTTCATGTTAATTTATTGTAAATTAATAATCCATTTAAATTAGTACGATAATTGAATTTGTTAATTTATTTGAATAAGCAAAGCATTTTTTGTTTATTAATTTATTTGTTCATTTATTTAACTCTTGTTTAACTCTAAATATAGAAAGATCAATAAGTTTAAGTTGAATCATATATTTAGTTTTTCATTTCAAATTGGAAGTACTTTCCTTTATTATCATATATTTATCATTTGATTAGATATTTGAATAGTCAAATGGTATTAATATTTTTTACTTGATAAATATTATGAGATTGATCAAACTTAATTAAGTTAGATTAATTCTTATACAATAATACATAATATCTATCAATTAAATAAAACTTCATTAGTTTAAATATAAAATGGAAGCACTTACATACTTCTCTACAACCATGCATGATTATAGGCCTGTTATGCTGTATATCTCTCTCGAGATAATCGTTTAACAAGATTTTCAATGAAATCCCTGAGATCTCTAGATGCTGTGTATGGTATCATAAAGCATGCCTATATTAAAGATATTGATACTGTTTTCATCAATTCTTATTGATTCTCTTTCCATGGAGGTTTGCCAAAACAAAGTTCATAAGTTAATACTCCTAAACCCCATATATCTATCTTTTTATCATACATATCACCCTCTAAGATTTCAGGAGATGCATATATCAATGTCCCACATTAAGTTTATCTGTATTCATCTGGTGAATATACACAAAATGAGAAATCTGCTAATTTGACTTATCCAAAACTCAATAAGATATTGTCTGGTTTAATATCTCTATGGATGACATCCTAATTATGAATGTACATTAATGCAAAAGTAATCTATTAAACTAATTAAGCTGCCTCTTTTTCAGTGAATTTCTTATTTTATTTAGTCTATTAAACAGTATTCAATTGTCCATGAGAACAATATTCTAATACTAAAACGATTTCAGTTTCTAAGCAGGTATTTTATTAATCTTACAAGTTTAAAAGAAAGTATACAATCTTGTGATATTGGGATGTTCTAATAGATATTAGATTTTGATTTCCCAAGCCAATTAACCTTACATCATCTCTTTGATTATTAATGCTTTCTGTATGACTTTTAATGCAACCAAGAATCCTGTCTATATCTAAATTGCCAAAAACACTTCACTATACTTACCCACACCTAATCTCTTGATTATCTTAAAATTCTTATATTTTGGCATCTAATCTTTCTCTAACTCAGAGTTTACTTATATCTTTATAAATTTACTAATATCCATACATTTTGACTATCGATTTTGTTGTTATTACTTATAACACTTATGTTTTGGCTCTATTCTATTGGAAATGTAATTTGTTCACATTTTTTTGGAGTTAAATATTCAAGTTTGCTTTTTAATGTCTATTGTTGCACCATTGATTTTTGAGAAACAAGTAAAGGAGAACTAACTAAGTTCTTAACATCTGTATCTGTTTTTATGATGCCTGTATTAGTATTTGATTATGGATATCTTGTCTAAGGATCTGATGGTCGATGTCCATATGTATTTCTTGATTTCTATAATACAGAATCAACATAAGAGAGTATATTTGGATTCTATGGAGGAGTATTCCCTAATCTAGAATAAGGTCGATATGGTTAGTATGGATTATTCATTCAGTTTTTTTCACTTTGATTAATATAAAAATTATACTATTATCAAATTGATTAATTCTAATTTATACACTCTTTTAATTTGTATTAACAAGCGACATGATAATTTTCTTGTAGAATAATGAATAATTATAACTAATATGTCTTATTATCTCTTTTTTTTAATAATACATATTTTTTTTTATTATTTATAGAATTCTATAGATATCATAATATATAATATCTCTATTATTTTTAAATACTTACAATATTATATTTAATATTATTTTATTTTCAAAGTATTATAATTCTAATTGATGATATCAACTTTTTTAATAGAAACTTTTACTTAAATTAATTATTTATTTAATTAAATATATATAAATCAATTAAATTACTAAAATGTTTATTCAACATTTGTAGGATCTTCCTTCTCTTCCCTCTTTCTTTTTATATGATTCATGTACCAACCAACAATTATTATAATCAATACCACAATTAAAGTAACCAAGATCCAAATCCATGTATTGGAATCAGAATCCATTTAATTAATTGTAAAAGTAGATCCACCAAGAGGGTAAGCATAATCTTCACAAATTACTGCAAAATAATCGTAATTATCTCTTGGATCTATTTTTATATAGAAAGTAGTGTAATAGTTAGCAAATGTCATTTTATTATAACCAGATTAAATATAATCTTTTAGTCTCTCTTCACTAGAATAATAATATGAACTCAATTTAAGAAGCTCTTTATCTTCTTAATGGCCAATATTAATTAAAAAGTTTGCTTATTTTAATAATGATCCATCTCTTTATAAAACCATAGGAATATCGATAATAAGGAATCCATTTTCAGATTTATACTTTAAAGTTTAATTGTTATATGTCATAAGAGAGCTAGCCTGTAAATCACTCTATTGATATTATGTCTATGATAATTATGAAGTTATACTGAAAATCTGTATTGAGGAAATATGGCTCCACCTTTTGATCCATAAGCTATGTATGTTACTGAGGGTGCTGAAAAATTTTCACTCAAATAATCATAAAAGAAATATGTTCCAGGTATAGGTTATAATTCAATTAATTTTCCATCTTCTTTGACTCTAGCAAATTGAATTGGACCTTGAAATGACAAAAATGAAATTTATGTGCCAAATGTAGATTTAACAGTGAAATTCTTCATCTAATTTATTTCTAGTACTCCATATTGATCATCAGAGTATGCAAAAATAACTGTGATGAATAACAATATATATTTATTAATCATAATATTAAATTGATTGTAATTTTTAGAATATTTTTCTAAATATTAATGTCACTACATGTAATATTTTTCCATATGCATTCAAGTGAAGAAAATCAGAATTTACAATACTATATTATACCATAACATATAATCAATTAAGAAATTATATCTAGAATATGTATAATAGATACAATTCTTATACTTAATATTACCCCATTACAATTACCATAATGCATATATAATAAAAAATAATTATAAATGGTAGTAATATTAAATATACTTGATTATAACTATTAATCATAATGGATTCTTGTTAGTAGTTTTAAGGATACATTTATTTATATAGAGGTATGACCTTTATTTCTTACTTCATAATAGATCATTATTTGATATTTAAATCAAATATAATTATCAACAATCCATATTTGATTCTATCAATCTCTATAATAATTCATAAATTCAACTATTTATCTTTAAATAGAATATTAAGATATTTAAATAATAAAAACTTAAAATTCATTGTTAATAATTCATCCTGAAACTTTTTTTCAAATAAGATTACATTATAGAAATCAAATTGCCTAAATCTAAAGTTTTATATTTTATAAATCTAATTCATAAATTTTTCAATCAAAAATCATTTTAAGGAATAATACTATTATTTAGATTATTTAAATTGAAAAGCATATGTTTAGTACAATTATTGTGAAATCATACTTGAATACTATATATTCAAAATACTTATCCTTTTTGTATTACTTGATTAATATTTAAAATTTTGAGATATATAATTATATTGTAATGAATACTTTCATTTTACATATTCAATTTCCAAAACCTGAGGCTTCTTTAAAATTTCTCATAACTTAATTATCTGAATTGTTATCCCATTAAGCCAATTCTATACGTTCCTACATTTTATTTAGGGTCTCTTTAAGCATATCTGCAAATTCTAAAGACATGTCATCAATCTTCTTTCTTAATTCTGCAATATCCTAATCCTTCTTCTTCAATTTCTCCTCATAATTAGCTCGATAATCAGTTATCTACTATTCTTTGGTTTCTAGAGATATATATATATATAAATATTTACTAATAACTTCATCCTTTTCTTTGACAGTAGCATTCAATTCATTGATATCTTTAAGTAATTCATCTTACATTTGCTTATACTGTCTATTCATATCTGTACTGATATTGAATAATTTTTCCTTTTCTCCTTTGAAGTCCTTATCCATACTTAAATATTTTTATTGTAACTGCATCTCTTATGTTTTGGAACGATCAGCTCTCATTTATTCCTCAACAATTCTCATTTATAATCTTTTGGCTTCAAAATCAAGCATCGTAATCTTGGCTGCATTGTTTTATGCTCCATCATCTTTCTATTTTTTAGGAGGCATTGTTATTTATATATATAAACTATAATAATATATATATAAATGATTTAAATATATAATAATATATTAAACAAAAAGGATGTAAAATGTATATTTAACACAAATAAATATATATATATATATTGACTGTTATATTTCAATGTTTATGGTGTTTCCTATTATATATTCAAATTATACTTGCTATGCTTTCTTGATTTACTCCTTTCTTTTTCTTTCTCCTTATCCTTCTTTTTCTTACTACTCTTTTTCTTACTCTTTTCTCTTGAATTCTCTCTACTCCTTGATCTCTCCTTTTCTTTCTTATCTTTTAACTTCTCTCTTTCCTTCTCTTACTCCTTGTCTTTTGCAATATCCTCCTTAAATTCTTACTTCCGAGCTTCCTCCTCTAATATCTTCTCCAATACTAATCTACGCACCTATAATTTCTGCAATTCTACTCTAATTGTTGAAAAACCTTAATGAATTCTTCCATCTAAATGTGTTCTAATAAATAGAATAAGACTCAATATATACTTGACTTTGTTTTCTGTTTCATAAAGAGATTGTCTAGCTCCACAAACCTCACAAATTTTATATGTTTTAAATGGATTGTTTGTACCCTCATATGCAAGTAATACATCTTCTCTAGCCTTCTTTAAATTGTCTGCCTCCATTATCAATCTTTCAGATTCCTCTATCTTACCTTATTCCCCCATCTTTTCACTTTAATCTGTTAATAGATTAATCTATCTTTCCATATTGTCAAGTCTATCTTAAATTTCCTTAGGTCGATCAGCCACTTATAGTTTACTTGATTATTCAACTTACTCTTCATGTTTGGTCAATATCTTGTCTACTTCCTTCAACTTATCTTGGATGTAAGCTAATATAATTATCAGGTTCATACTAAACCTATTGCTTCTTCTATGTATTTCTTTTCTCTTTATTGTTTCTTTAAACTCTTATCACTATTGAATTCATTAATAAAAAATTGATCATGTCTCTTATTGCACTCTCCCTCATGATCATACTTAGTATGCTTCCAAAGATCATTAAAACACTTAGACACTAGTATATTCTTGCACACATCTTCATTCCAATAATGAGCATCATTTTTCCTTTTACTTGCAACAACATTTCTCTCCTTTCCAAATAATTCATCGAGGATTGCTCGAGAATCTTCGCACATTATTTTGTTAATTTAAATATTTTATACATATATATTTTACCCTTCAAAACTGAATATTATAATAATAATCTCTTATATCTCAAATTAACTTTATAGTTGATTCACCAATTGCTAATATCTTATTTTAAATAATGCAAAAATCATAAACTTTAAATAATGGAATTTGTCTGCATTGATTATTCGACAAATCCCATTCATATAAGTTTTATTTCTAATTAATCACACATTTTTTATCTAAAAATAGACATTTATTAATTATGTCTCCCTTTATTTTGCAGATTTATGCTAATTTCAAATCTCTTATTATCCATTCCGATTGAGCATTTAAAAATAAATACTATTAAGAAAATCTAATTTATTTGATAATGCTTGGTCTACAATCAGCTATTAATCAAAATATACAGAAATACCTTTCTAAATCTATTAACATGTCATAACATCCCATACTTCTATCTGATTTTTATTATTTAGAACATACAATAGATCTGGATTTGGCATACCAAATACATCAGCATTGAATTACTATTAAAATTAAATCTTCAATAAACGTTTAATGTTTTCATCATATACACTAATGCCAGTACTTTGATTCTAATCATCGACTCTTTTAGGTGCAAAGAGATTGAATTATTGAGAAGGAGGATTAAGAAAATCATAACTAAATACAGAACGATTCTAATATAATTGACAACTCTTATATTTTTCAACTAACATCTCTAATTCATTATAATCATTGTTTATAAAGTTCCATTTAACCAGTAGAGGATAAACACTCTTTGAGATCTTGAGAATAAATTGTATAGTAGAATCATTAAGAAACATAACACTCTTTATTTCAAGATTATCAATCTCTTTTCTTCTCTAAAATTCTAATTTATTGTCAAAGGGATAGATTTCTATTTCTATATGAAAAATAACTTCTTCATCATAAAGTAATCCACATTTTTGAACAACAGCTAGAAATTATTAATTTGGACTTGAACAACAATGTAAGACTTATTTTACTCTAGCCTTATAAAAGAATTGCTTATCTAAATTAGTATTTAATATAATGAAATCTTTTTTAACTTTATGTTCAGCAATTATGATTTCTTAATTCATTGTAATTAAAGAATAAACACCAGGACAAAATTTTACTTCAAAAGTCTTTATTTTTGTTCCCAATACTATATTCCAACTTGTCACTACTGCATTCTTACTAATAGAAAATAGTTGATTATTTGTATAACATAAACCATGATGAATATCATCTTTTGATGAATTTAAAATTATTTAAACTACAGCTTATTTATTAGATTAGAATTTAGTAATCACAATTTATCCATTTGAAGCAAATGCTACTGAATCATATGAGATGGGTGTCCAACATGTTACTGCACAACCATATGTAGTTTATAGTTCTTCCAATTAATCATTTACAAAATCAATAATAAAGACTTCGCCTACCTTTTTTTATTTACCAAATACTAATCCATTTTGTAGCATAAGTAAATCATCACAATCATCAAATTTCTCAGATAACACTTTTTATAATTCAATTAATTTGTTTGTTTTTGGTTAGATATTATTATATTTGGGTTCCATTTAATTAGGTTTTCCTAAATTGGATGTTCTCCATAACATAAGTTCCCCATCTTAGACACCTATGATTCTAGGTATGTATATGACACTACCTTGGATTAGGATGATCTGATACACAAAATGCTGTAAGTGCTTATTCAATCAAAATTGTCTTTTTGTTGGTTTCAGGTTCAATCATCATTAAAATGTCTCCAAATATTAAATAGATTTTATCATAAACTGCCACCAATTAATAAGGCATATTCTCTATTAATCCCTTGTATTCTTTTTTCAATTTCATTTCCTTATCCCAAATTGCTAATGAATCTGATCCAGCTGTATCACACAAATACCCATTAAATGCTATAAGATTATTCATAGAAGGCTCTAAATAATCTTCACTAATTGGAATCTAATTCTTCAGAATGATATTACTTGATCGAATTATTAATCCTAAACTGAGACTTTCAATTCCAAATTTAATGATTCCAATGAAGTTTATTAAAATTATTGACTCTGTTTTTTATTCACATTAAACTTCTTCTTTTATGGTATATCAATACCAGGAGGTGGGCCAATTTCATTATCATCATCATCACCTAATCCAGGAGGTGGGTTCATTATTTAATTTATTCTTTAATTACAGAATAGGTACTTGTTATTTATATCTTATTATTAAATAATATTCATTATTTGTGATGTTTTTTGCTCTTATGATTACTTCTATGATGCTTTTTTCCTTTGCTCTTTGACTTCTCTTAATCATTAAAATCATAATTTGGTTATATTTCTCCAGGTTCTGGTTCATGCTCTTATTTCACATTTTTAGATTTTTCTGGTTCAACTTGACTAAGATCTTGTCTAACAGAGCCTTCTTCCTTTGATTTCTTTTCTTTTTTTTCTTTTTTTTCCTTCTTCTTTTTCTTCTTTCTTTCACTTTAATCTTTTTCAGATGTCTATTATTATTAAATAGGTTCTTCTTGAATTTATGTAGATTATTATTATTATTATTATTATTATTACTATTATTACTATTATTATTATTATTATTATTACTATTATTATTATTAAATCTATTATACTTATTACACTTATTAATTCACTATTGGTACAATAGGTATTTGTTATGATTAAGTTTGTTATTATTATGATTATAATTATTAAAGAGTTGCTACAAATGATTCATATTGTGCTTTCTTTTATTCTTCAACCAATCCTGCTAATTTTGGATTCTCTTGTATCTTTTAATTGATAATTGGTAACATTTCTTCATAAGATTTGTAATCAGGTAATGATTTTAATAATTTAATGTATCTTTTACACATCTTCTTATATCTTTTACTTTGAATGTTGGATGACTACTTAATATTTTCTTGAAAGTAACGATAATAATATTTTTTCTCATGAGATGGCATTTTTGTCCAAATTTAGTTATCAACAAAATAAGCTTCCACTTCTTCAAAGCTTACATTTGTTAACACTTTAACTCCCTTTTATTAAAGATGCATCTTTAACTCAGATTTATAAAGCTAATGGTTCTACTTTAAATGTGATATGAAATCCTAAAACAACTCATGAGGTTGTGAGCCAGGTTGTCCTAACATGCAAATAAATCTATCATCTTATTATATTGTCTATACAAATTAACCCCATTTAGTCTTATGTGTCAATAAGCCTTCTGCCAGGTGTTCCTATAGCAATTCCCTGAAATTGATCCTATTCTACCTATATTTAGAGATAATTGACTATCTCCATTATTCATAAAGAGGATTAATAACCTAAATTAAAAGATATTATACCTCTTCAAAGACACCAAGAGCATCAATTGGCAACATCTATTACAAAAGTCTATCTTAACTGAATAACTTTAAGCACTCATCCCAAGTGGAACTATGACTTAAGACTCCTATTTCTATATGTCTTTGTAACCTTTTTCTAAAATCTTCAGTGGTAGTTTTTCGACTCTCCTTCATCTACTCTTACTCTTGTTTATATAACTTATCTAAATAATCCTGGAATAAATTTTCCCTTTCCTTTTCGTCAGGTATTGCTTTCCATCTTGCATCTGTAACAAGATAACTTTATACTTTCCATAACTTTATGTCTGAAGAGAGAATCTTATGTTCCTCTAACATTTTCATGAAATCCTCCTTAGCCATACTTAATTTTGTCTTGTTCTCCTCCTTCTCTTATTTTTTCATCTCTTCCAAATACTGATTATAGATCTTCTTCTTATGACTTATACTCCCTATACATTTCCATCTTGAATCACTTTGTAATTGCTTTACGACTGAATCCCATTTAACACTTGATGTAATTTTATTATCCTTCAATAATTATGTGAATTAATCAATAGGATTTGGCGGGATTATATCCTCTTCCTCACCTGATCTGCACTAATATAATATATCCATACGTATATTGTTCTTCCTCTGGCTTTTGCCATTTACTCTCTCTTGTAATGCGATTGTACCAATAAGGTTTACCATCTTCTGTCAAGTATTGTTACCATTCTTCTTCTACTTCTGATTCTTCTTCTTAAAGACATTCTGGTTTCTCCCATTAAGATTACCCTGTCTTTACATTATAGTAATAAGTCTATCCATTAGCAGAAGAATGCTTTGACCAATATCCTCGTTCATTGTCTCCTTCTTTCTCTATGCTATCCATTAAATTATTTTAAATAATAATAATTTCCTGCATGAAATATATGAACTGACATATTTATAAATTCAAAATCAAATAATAAATGGAAAATTCAAAATCAGAAATTCTTCATTGGATCAATACTCTTCTAAAAGTAATGAATTTAAAATAAGATAGACAAATTTTACTAAAATAGAACAACTAGGCAATGGTGTAGCTTATTGTAAACTACTTAATATGATTGATCCAACTTGTTTGAATTCTACTAAAATTGTATTAAAAACCAAAACCCAAATTGATCATATTAGTAATCTAAAGCTTTTCTAATCTGCAATGTAGAAACTTCATATGAAGAAATAATTTGATATAGACAAGGTAAGTAAGTGTTACTTCCATGAAAATTATGATCTAGCATTATTCTTAAAGAAATAACATACCCTGAGATTCTCTGGTATAAATAAAGAAAACACATCTATCAATAATTCTATTATTTATGAAAATCATCCAAATATTCTTGAAGAATAATAAATTTCTAATGATAATTTACTTACTTAAATAGCATAAATAATGTAGAGTATAGAATCAGCTGAAACTAAAGTGTTATAAACTATTAATTTATTAAAAACCCATAATTTTATTAAAAAAAATACTTAGTTCATAGAAAATAAATCTCTTTATGACACATCTAATAACATATTTAATATATTTAACAATTAAAATATATTTAATACTGATACTCTATTCAAAACAGATTCTAAGAAATAATAATAATAATAAGAATAAAAAAATAATTTACTATGTGAAACTCCTGAAATGCTACTTGATCCTCATCTGAATAATGAAGATATATTAGAACATCAATCTTCGTCTAAATTAATTATGAAAATTTAATCATAATCAAAACTATAATAGGAAATTAAAAAAGAAACACCAAACTTTTGTGAATCCCCATTTATAAAACAACCATAATAAAATAGTCTGGCTGATTTTATTAAATCAGAAAGTAAATAATAACAATAATACATGCAACAATACTCTTTATAAAAATAATTGCAAATGTAAAATCAGATTAATACTAACCCACCCCAAGAATATCAATCTCCATTTCGAGACTAGATTATATAATTGTCTTCATAAAAAGAGATATTCAATTAGACTACAAATCCTTAAGTGTTTTCTTCCTACTAAAAAGAAACATCTTAAAATAACTCTGTGTTCTATTCATGCAAAGATCAAGGAGCAATAATTGAAGAATGATAATTATAATGATAATAATATTAAGTATAATTTCATTTTCTAATTTTAATCAAAAAATATAGTTTAATATATATAACTACCTAATCTATTTTATACTAATTAAATTAAATGTTATATATCAGATAGTAATTATTTATATATATATTAATATTTAATAATAGTACTTTTTATATGAATAAACTTATTTAAAATTTTAATTGATTATATTGAATAAATTTAAATTAATATGATAATATAAGAAATTATCTACTTATTGATGATTGAAAATAAATTAAAACATTATTATTCTAGTCTCATGTAAATAATTTAAAATTGTTTAATAACAAAAATTGATATCAAACTGTTATAAAATATAAATTGTTGAATATCATATTTACTAAATTTTTGATCATAATAGTTATTTTATAATATTATTAAATTTTTTAAGTATCTCTCTATTCTTATTAATCTTAGATTCTTCTTTAGTGATCTTAGTTTCCATTTATTTAGCTTTTTTAATGACATCTTTAGGAACACCTGCTATTTATGCTACATTAGTTGCAAAACTCTTTTCTGCAATACCTTCAATTAATTTGTATTTAAAAATAACTTAATCTTTTTCTTAATAATGTTACATAACACACTGTTTTATATTCTTAAACAATGCAAATTCATCCAATAAAATATGATAATGTGTAGCAAAGAGAGTCATAGGTTTGATTTTTTCTGATAAAAATCTAAGAACAGCTGAAGCCAATGCTACACCATCATATGTTGAAGTTCCTCTACCTAATTCATCTATTATAACTAAACTTCTTGATGTACAATTATCTAATATAGTTTTAGTTTCTTCAAGTTCAATAAAGAAAGTAGACTTTCCTTCTAATAATCTATCTGAGGCTCCAAGTCTACAGAAGATCCTATCAAAAGGAGTCAATGAAAAAGATTAGGCTGGTACTGCACATCCAATTTAGGCTAAAATAATAGATACACCAATTAATCTTAATAAAGTAGATTTTCCACTCATATTTGGACCTGTTAGTAAAAGTGTATCAATAGAGCCAGTAAATTTAATTGTATTTGGTATCCATTCAATATCTCTATTTTATAATAGACAAGGATGATATGCTTCAATCAATTAACAATCTCTTTAATTATCATCTTGATAAATTTATGGAAAACAAGAAACTCTTTATTCATTTGAAACTTAGGCTAAAGAAATTCTAAGAATAAAATAAATATAATATACAAACAATCAGCTTCTGAAAGATATGATATCAATTAAAAGAATTCTTTTCTATATGAATAAAATTTAGTGAAATATTCATTAATAAATGGTAATAATTTTTAAGATATTTCATCTTCTACTTTTCTTAATTAATGTAATTATTCTTCTATAAATGTAGTTTAAAATCTTTGATATCCTTGTCTTTTAGATGTAATAATTAATTCTTTTGGTTTTTAATTGCCTTCTAAATATTTTTCAGGTATTTCTAATTAATATCGTATTCTTGCATGAGTATAAACAATGTCAGGACATTTTAATTTCTTTTTCCACTTTTCAAGTTCATCTTAAAGAGAATCATAAATATCATTTAATTTATCTAATGTTTGATCATATTCTGGACTGACTCCTTTAACAGGTTTTGGTTCATTATCATCCATAATTAAACATTTTTCTAATTCATCAAGTGATTTTTTCAAAATTTGTGTATTTTATTTATAATTTAAGATTTCCTTCAATTTTTTAGATTTAAATTATTTAATATCTTGTTCAAATATTTTAAATACTTCAGCAGCTTATCTGATATTACTTAAAACATTTTTAATTTCTTTCAATTTAGTTTTACCTAAACTTTCACCTCCAGTAATAGGGACAGCTTTTAATTTATGAGAATGAATAGTATTGAAACATTTAATAATAGCACGTTCCAAATCTGGTAATGATTTAATTCTTTTTTAGAATTCAAAACATTTAGGTATATAAGTACATAATTCTTATACACATTCTTACCTTTCTATAATTAATTTATAATTTTATAATGGACTCTATACCCATTTTGTAAGGAGTCTTTTACCAGGATTAGTAGCACATCGATTTAAATAATCAAATAAACTACCTGTAGTAGTAATTTTAGTTTGAAGATTAACATTAAATATTTCCAAACTTTCTAAAGCTTAGGAATCTAAATAAAGATGAGTGTTATGAGTAAAATTGGAATCAAGAAAATTGAATTTACCTCTTCTGTAAACTGAATCACTAATTAATAGTTATCTTAGATAACATAATAAGAGATAAAAAGATTATACAGAATAATAATAAGAATAAAAGGTAGATTCATCATCTTCTTTATCTAATTACTTTTTTTCATGATAATATTATTTTTCCAATTCTATTAATAGATTAGGATAATCTTAACTTAATTAATAATTTTCAACATATTTTTCTTCTTTAATTTCTTATTTTGAATCTGAATATAATCCTTAATTTATATCAATATCTATTTTTTATTCAGATTGATCTTTTTAAGTAGGTACAACAATACCATCAAATAATTTAGAATTTTAATTATTTTTTCCTTTACATAATTCCATATATTCAATTTTTAATTATTTGAAGATGTATTCGCAATCTTTGAATGATTTTTTGTAAAGTATAATAGTAGGATTACATATATTTCTAAAATTATATATAATAATTAAAATTACTTGAAAATCTTTTCAATTTCAGGTGGAGTTTTACATAAAATGACTTCAACAGGTTTTGTATTATATATAATAGATCTAAGATGATTAGATTAAGCATCATCAAAAAATTAATCAAATGAAAAGTTATTAGTAGTACAATCAACAATAGAAACACCATAAACATATGTATGACCTTTTAAATTGACAGGTGCTTTTGAACATATTAATACTAATAGATTCCTTTATTCATAAGTTTCTGTGTCTCCTAAATCTTACAAAGTACCTCTACTTATCATTTATGTTATTTCTCTTCTTACTACTTCTCCATCTTCTTTATTAGCAACATCTGCTTTCTCCATTTATTCAATCATGATCACTTTATATCCTTTATCTAATAATGCTCTTTAATATATAGGTAATTGATTATCATAAACTGTTACACATGGTCTATCTTTTCCCCAAAATCCTAAATAACGATTGAACATTTTAGCAATAATAATGGCATCATTATACATTACAGCAATCCATCTACCACATCTAAAAAATACAATTGAATCTAAATAGTTTTTCTTTGCATTCCAATATTATCTAAACATAGGTGGTAATCTTTAATATTGATCATTTGGAATATCAATTGTGGATGGATTATAATTTGGTTCATCTGGTCGTCTTCCTTCTGAATCTCGAATGTGTTCAGGTTGCATAAATATGGGCAATGATTATTCAGCTAATTTATAAAATTCTTCATCTCCTTTGTTATGTTATTATTCTTCTTAATATGATTCTTGTTGTTGTTGTTATTATTATTATTATTCAATCTTTTTAGGTTGTTTCTTTTATCTAGTTCCCTTTGATTTTACACTAATATGTGATTGTTTTTTTTTGTTTTGTTTCTCATCTTCAGAACTAGGTTGAAGTTCAGAAGAAGATGATTCATTTTATACTTAAGGTATATAATCATCATCATTTTCATTATCAACTTTCTTTAATCGACGAGATGATCTTTTTCTATTTATGGATTTCTTCCTCTATTTTTATATTTCAAATAATTCATCATCATCATCTTCATTTCTATTCTTACGCATTTTTATTTCCTACCAAAATATTTCTTTAATTTAATTTTAAATTTTCTCTCCATCCTTAATGTCATCAGAAAGCAATAAAAAACCAATTGTCATAATTCCATAAACTACTATGAATATACGTAGATTAGAAATAGAATAAGTGGATTAGAGTGATGACTTAGAAGCATCTTCTGAAAAAATATCAGAATAGTAATCAGATGACCCTTTTTTAAATTTTGTTGCCTCTTATTCACTCTTTACCAATAATTCAGAGGATACTCAATTAGAACTCTCTTAAGTGCTATAATAACTTAATGATAAGATTTCAATTATTAAACCACCATCAAATCACTTATTAGACTTTCATTAGTAATTATAAATTAAAGAAAATCAAATAAATGAATTAGTAGACACTCTCAAATAATTACCAGATTCTAAACTCTTTTCTTGTATTCAAGATGTTGAAAAGTAAAACTATCTTCAAATTATCTAGACTCTATTATAGACTATCAGTTGATTTTCAGGAAGAATTACGAACTGCCTAAAAATTAAGAATTGTTTGATCTACATATATATATATTTTATATATATATATTTTATTAATATAACAAAAATCAATTATATGTATTTTACATTAAACTATTAAATTAATTATCCATTATAATATATTGTAAATCAATCATAATTTTAAAACAAATAAAGATGGTTAGAAAATAATAACAATTATGAATCAATTAATTTTCTATAAGTCTTATATGATGTCTTTAATTTTTTAATAAGATTTAATTAAACGATTCAGTAAAATTATTTTAATATAGTTATCATCATTATCATAAAATAGTAGCATGATTATTGTTTGGACTATGAGTCTATCTTTTTGAGTATAAGGAATTTTAAGTAGCATGTACTAGAACTGGTACTTCCACAAATTTATTCTGATTATAATCAAACATTTTAACAGTTTTTGATATATCTATATGTTAAGTATTTTATTTATTTTTCTATCCTTTCATTTTATTCTCATTATTATTACAAGAACTTGTACAAATCCCCATTTTTTATCTTAGCAATATTTAAAAACTTAATAAATTAATATATTAAAACATAAATATCAAAACTAAAAAAGTGAGGTATAATATCAAATTGCTGTCAGAGAATTTGATCTTAATCTTGATATTGTTTTTTTTTAATTTGGATTTTGAATTGCACTTTTAATCCTTTATCGACTATGTGTTGTACTACAAGACGGCATTCTTTTCAAAGGACTAATGCAAGTCGAATTTCGAGGTGATTCTTAATCTAAATGAATAAAAACCATCTAAAAACCTTTTAGTAATTCCAAAATGCGATGTTACAACTAAAACTAACTGTCGCAATCAATTATAGAAGCTCTTAGCACGAAATCATTTTGTATCAACATATCTTGTTTGAAAAAGTAAGGTACCTTTGATCATTCCCTTTTGTTCATAGGAAATCAAATTCTTCTGATACAATTAATATAGTGCATATAACACTTCGCTCTCGATTGCCATATGTATTAATTTATTATAATATATATAATTATACCCTAGATGTATTATAAGAAATACATTTAATTATTATTACATAAATGGAAATATTTTTTTATTGACCTCTCTTTTTGTTATTTAAAAATAAGGGCATGTATAAAATTTGGCTAATGTATTTTCTTAGTTGTGAAGGTTTAGAATAGAAATCAACTAGAAATAAATAATAATTCTTGAAATGAATGATTTATTTATTTTCCAAAAAATCAAAAAAAAAAGAAGTTAAATTCAATATCCAAAATTAGTCAATAAATAATATATTATTTGATTAAAAAAAATATGATATTCAGGAAGATAAAGGAATTCAATTACAGGCGGAGAGAAAATCAATAACTTTAATATATATAAATACCAAACAATTAAGTTCAACATAATTAAAATAATAATATCCAAATTTATTAAAGACAGCAGCCCTCACCTTAAATTTTAATTCAACATAATTCTTAATCTTCAAATTCCATTTAGTAAGTTCGAACATAACCTTATATGACTGCACCAAATATTCCTAAAAAAGTACCTTAATTATTTTGGCCCTATTTATGTTTATTTGTATCGAATTTGGGATTAGGAATTGCTATATTTGCTACCTAAGGAAGTGAAACAGCAATCATAATCTTTGAAGTTTTTAAGTAATTTTTATTCATATTACTTAGAATGCTATTAAACATTATTTCAGGAATCTACTATTACTCCAAATCAACAGATACCATTTTTAATGTACCAAGATGTTTCAAAATTTTATTTTGTATAATACTAACATAATTTTTTTGCAATTTTATCTAACTTCTAATATGCTGGATAACATAAGTTAGCTATTCACTCGAATTAGTAACTATAATATTATTAATTATTTTTTTATTATATTTTTATTATTAGAGAAAGATGTATGTATAAAGATGATTTTTGAGAAAGAAATAGAATATAATATTTTAATTTATATTATAAATCAATTTTAAGTTAGAATTTATAAAAAAAATTCATTTAAGTTCTATTTATTTTGGAGTTCCTATCTTTTTACCATTTTAATATTCTTATATACAAACTACTTGATATAGACTAAGAAATTAACATTAAATAATTTACTCCCTAAAATTATGATGTAAATCGACCCATTATCCATCTTATTTTCCTTCTTCATTATATATCCCTCCACCTCTAAGAAATAAGAAATCATTTATTACATGACATTATTCTCGAAACAAGTTTACCACATTCCACATTTTATTCCGTTTAAATACTCCCCCTTATATGTTATTTAACAAAATCTAATTGTTAAATCTCTTCATTACTTTGAAAAGTTAATATGCAAATCGATCCAATCTCCATTTTTCAATCCACTCTAATCATATTCTCCTCCTCCACTTTAATAAATTACTAATTATTACATAATTTAGCCCTCAAAATTAATAACCCACATTCCTTTTTTTTGCCCATTTTAATACTCTCCAAGATAAGTGATCTATTAAAAACTATATATTAAAACTAAATATACTCAGAGTAATTTTCATGTAAATCTATCCATCTGTCATGTTTTAATCCTTTTTCATTATAATTACCACCCCCACTTACATAGAAAAGAATATATACATAATCTCGTTATTTTTCATCATGATATCCCATCTTCCTTATTTTAAATCATTCTGATATTCACCTTTATAAATGATTTTGCATCCTCCACAGTTTGAAATAAAGTATTTTTCATGCAAATCAATCCACTTTCCAATTTTTAATCCACATTGATACAATCCACCGCCTCTATAATAAATGAAATAATATATACATTAAATTGGATTTTATTTATTTATTTTCTTTTTCAAGTTGAATTGCGTCCCATTTTCCTTCTTTAGCACCACCATGATATTCCCCAACATAAATAACCTTGCAGTAACTTTAAATTATAAAGATAGAATTATACTCTGAGAAATTTGGATGTAATTCTGTCCATTTTCCTTTTTTACGTCCATTCTCATTGTATGTTCCATTGCCTCTAAATATGATGTGATGAATAATACATATTGAATTATTCTATTTCTTTATGACCTCTATAAATAATATTCCATTTTTTAATTTTTCGTCCATTTTGATATTCACCATAAAATCCAACTTAGCAATATCTAATTTATAACTAATTTAACATACTCAGAAAAATCTTCATGTAAATCTAACCATTTTCCATTCTTTAATCCAAATTAATTATAATCGCCTCCTCCTCTTAAAATTAAATAATTATAATTACAAATAATTTCCATTATAAATTATTTTCCACTATCCACATTTTCTCCCATTATTATATTCCCCATTGTAAATGACTTAACATTTCCTTTTATATTATAATCACTTTTACTTTTTAAAATTATTATCTATATCTGTCCATTCACCTTATTTCTATCCTTCTTCATTATACGCACCTCCTCCTCTAGAAGAATTAAAACTTAAAACATACACTCTTTAGTTCTTCAATAAAATATCCCATTTTCCTTTTTTCCTTCCTTGATCATAATTTCCTTTATAAAATACTTTTGATTTTCTAATTATAATTTAATAATATAAATACATCCAAAAGTTTTCCCACAAATCTATCCATTTACCTTCTTTTTATTCCATTTAATTGTAAAATCCTCCAGCCTGTAATAATTCCCCTTTCCAATACGCGTTACATTGCGTTTATGTTGTGTCAGAAATAGTTTCCCATCTTAAATATCTTTACTAATCCAAATTACTACAAATTGTTTTCCTTTTCATCATATCTTAAATTGATTCGCTTATATCAGAATTAGAATTCATACATATTCAAAATTTCTCCATCTTTGATATATTTCACATTTTCACCTTTTTTCAGCAACATATAAAACTTTAGTTTTTATTGAACCCACCCATTAAATAAGTCCCTATATTCCTATTTCCCTAATTCCATAATAAGAAATTCTTGTTTAGCTCTTTCCTCATCTGATATTTAAAAAATGTGATGTATCATTTATATATAATAATAATAAAGAAATACTAAAATAGGATTAAGTTATATATCAATAAAGTATATCATTTAATTAATAATATTGAATATGATATCGATATTAAATAACATCTAATATATCATTTTTTGATTTTCAATATCATATGCTAAATTATTCCTCCTAAACTCCTTTTTTTGGCATAATAATTATTTCTTAGTATTATTTGTAAATTATCTAAAAGGAATAAGTATCAAAATTTTTATGTCAAAGATTTGAATAGATAATTATAATTTTGTGAACTCTATTAAATTTTTGATATATTTAATATGCTTTATCAAATTATCATTAATATTGTTTAAAAATATCAAAGTAGATATAATTTTTTAATTATATATAAAGAGAACAATTTTACTATAGAGAACAATTTATATTCAATTTAAACATAAATAGATAATATAAAAACCTAAATTTTGTGTAAATTATATTAATTAAATTCAATAAATTAATATTATCTGAAAAATTTCAATTTTTTCTTGATTCAACCTGTTATTAATAAAGAAATGATCCTAAAGAATACTTTTTTAGTATAACAGCAAGTTGTTTACTTAAAGAAACTAAATTCTGGGAAACATCAGAAACATCCAAAGATAAATTGATTGCAACAATGAATATAATAGCAGATATTGATCCTGAGTTTATTTTATAAGTGGCTTACTATGTTAGAAATCAGATGTATATCAAAAGCGAAAGTAATTTTATCCTTGCATTTTCTGCACTCCATCCAAAGACCAAACCATATTGCTCAACATACATGTGTCCAACTATGTTAATACCTGGTGATTTAATTGAAGTTTGCTAATTTGTTTAGTTAATTTCAAATTAACTTAAATCAAATAATTAATTGGATGGATCTACTAATATTCGAAAGCAATTATTTTTCCCAAAATATTGTAAAAGCAGATTCAAAAGAAACTTACCTAATTCAATATTTATCAACTTGGTAAATAATGCTCTGATTGTAGCAGAAAAAAAAATATTAAGAAATATTAATAAATTCTCAACCCAGATATTAAAAATAAAATAAGAGAGAATAGATTATTGAGATTAAAATAAATTAGAGAAGTATTAAAATATTAAAGAAAAGATGTATAAGAACAATTTAATAAAAGAGCTATCTAAAGAACTAATTAAAGAAGAAAAAATATGAGAAATCATAAACATGATTACAAAATTTAGGAAAATTTAACAGTTTTTGATATAAACTTCTTACATTTAAAAGACATTATTAAATTTAGTCATGTAAATGAACCTAGAAGTTTGGTAATGTCAATTTTGGGAGCTTAATATCCAAAAGCTTAAGAAGAATTTGAAAAGGTATTAAGGCCAAAAATTAGAGCTGATAATATAGTTGTTTTAAGTGATTTGATGGTAACAAGGGGATTTTCGAAAGGCGGATAAAGAATATAAGAAGTCTTTTAGAAATACTTAAAAACAGTGAATTCAGACGCTAAACTCTTTTTTATGGATATATCTGCTTATGGATAATAAATTAGTTTTGGTGATGATCTCAAAACTAAAAATTGTTTCCTGATCAATGGAATGAGTGAAAATGTTCTAAAATACATTTACTATGCAGGAAAAATATATCAACTCGAAGATGTTGTGGCATTAGTTAGGAGTTGAAAGCCAAATAGCAAGTTTAAGAATTGAAGAACAAATCTTAGATAGCCAAACCTTAGTACATCAAAACTGAATGATTCTATCTTTATATATCTAGCAATTAATAACTAGCTATTATTTTGAATTTATATAATTTCTATTAATAATATATTAAATATTTTAATATCAAAATGCTTTTTAACTTTATGCTAAGCAAATAAATTGTAGCTTAGCATCCATTTAATTTTAGACTTGTTAAGTATTCCATTCGTCTAATAAAGATTAATGGAGAAGATTCTTATAAAAATGAATCTATTATAAATATATTTTCAATTCCTATTAATATAACTGATGGTTTAATTTGTTCCAAATATGATAAATTTGAATATCTAAAGCAAACATCTAAGTGAAATTTTTTTTTTGCATTTTAAGAGCTGTAATTTCAATTTCAATTACTTAATGATAAATATATATTAATGAAAATTTGCTTTCTACCAAATAACTAAAATTTTAATTAAAACTAACTTATAAAAAATAATCAAACATATCAGATAAAGATCTGGAATTTTTAATTAAATTTTCTTATCATGACTAAAAAGTATTGTTATAGACTCATTCATTAATAAAAGTTCATAAAGTTGAATGTATTTTTTTTATAAAATATGTGTTAATATTTGATCAATAAATTGTAGTGTAAACGATTTCAATATAGATTGAAATATAATTTGCATTAGAACAGTAGCCTTTTTTTTACTAAATTTAATATATATATGACATTTTGATAACAATCGAATTAATCAATAAACCAAGAAAAGTTAAATTAGATTTGTAGTGAAATGAAGATGAAGTATAAGTGTATTTATGAATTATTATATTCAGAGACTAGTACAGAATGAAATATATTAAAAAAGGTTTTATCTCGATTTAAAGTCAATCTTCTCATAAATTGGCTTACTAAAATGCACAAATAGGTAAATTATTGATATTCATATATTAGAATTAGATTACTCATTACCTAAAAATACTGTTGAAGAATTTATGGAAAATTTGTCCTCTCCATAATGTTTTAGGATCTTTTGATCATGTAACATCTAAATATTTATAGATTTAAGCAGAAGTAATGGTTGCCATAATTGTCTTTTACAATAGATAGCTGGTATAAATTTTTTTTAGTGATTGAAATTTGAAAAAAATTATACATTTTTTCGATAATATATTTAGGAGTCTTTATTTATGTTTTTCCTTCGCAGAATTTTTTAATTATAATTCTTATTAATTTTTGGTAGAAAACAGATGTTTATATACCTAAATCATTTTGATTTCTGATCTGCTTGTTCTAATCAATTAATAAATTTATAATATATATAGACAATAAATAAGAAAATATACTTTTAAAATATAACTAAATAGAATAATTTAATAAAAAAATGGAAACAAAATTTTATTGTTTACCGATTGTGCTATAATAAATCATTTATTTCCATTTCCTATTTTATTTTTTAGTGCATTGTAGTATTCTTTTAAGAAATCAATAGCAACTTGTCTATCCTTAACTTGTTTTAAGGATTCTCCACAATTAAATATACAATTATCAAAAGAGTTAACAGCATAATTATAATCGCTTGCAGTTTCATTTTGACAATATAAATACCAAAAATGAGAAGGTTTTTCCGATCCACACTTCTCACACATAATTGTCCCTTAGTTTGTTTAATAAACATTTCCTCCACAATGATGTTACCAAGTTTTAACTTTCTTTTTTTTGTTCTTACATTTACAGTCGTCCTAACAACAAGAAAGTAGCTAAAGAACTTTTTTTTCTTTTTAATGTTACTAAAGAGCTAGGAGAGAAAGCAGAAAAACCAATTCCTATTGCTCTTTTTTTTGACGTTATTCTTCAATAAATTCAAGAGCTGCTAAGCCAGTAAGAAGAGCTATTAATTCTTCTTCTTTTTTGCTAAAATAAAGTATAATAAATGTTTACTTCATGTATAAATATCTATAAAATTGGTAAAAATAATTAATATTGAATTTAGTTTTATGATTTTGTTATTTAAGATATCTTATAAATTTTATTCTATTATTAGGATTTATAAAATTATAATAGTTTATTTTTTTCAAATAAAGGTTATTAAATATTTACAAAGCAAAAGAATAACATTATAATTGCTCATATATATTTATTCTATTAATAAATTAACCACGTTTATTATTTAATTTTATCATCTAAATTTGATTTATTATCTTATAGTAAAGAAGATTATTTTTTTATGTGGAAATGTAAATTATATAAATATTTTAATAAATTTATAGTTTTCATATTAAATTTCTTCAAATAATAAATTTTGTAATGAGAATCATAGATTGGTTTAATAAATAATTTAACTTTTTGGGAAGTCTTATAAAAAACAAATATTTATAAAATTTCTTAACTCTGCTTCTAGTATTAGATTTTATTAAAGGGCATCTAAATTGTTGCATTTATATATTCAAAATTTTTTGAAATATCCACTTAAATAGAAAAATTAAGAAATATATGAAATTATTTATTTTGCATATAAAATATTTGTCACTTTGGTTTTATTCCAAAAAATTAATCATACCTCTAGTCGATAAATACACTTGCTCGTCGATTATACATTTATCCTGTTGTAGATCCCTGCATTTCAGCCAAAACTTAAAGGAAATTTGCCAATATATGATGAAACTTAGCAGTTTCTAATGCTCTCATTTATCCCATTCTAACAAATTTCTTAGCATAAACTTTGATCCTAAAATCAATCATCTGATTAATTTCATCTTACAGTTAATGATTCATAAATGCATACATTTCCCTTACTTCGCTTACTTGTTTTGTCTCATTAGGTAACATGTATTTAAAGGCTTCTCCTTTATTAAATTATAATTCTTTGAGAGTTTTTGGAATATCTGGAGGTAATTCCCACTTTGTAGGATCACCTTTATTATATAATTATTCTTTTTTTTCATTTAATTTGTTCTTCAAATTCTGATATTTTTGTTGCAATTAATTCTTACTTTATAAATATTCATATGCAGTGGATTGTTTTTTTTTATGATATCTAAAGAATTCATAAAAGTTTTCCTATTTATATTATTATTATTAATTACTTTGACATTTTTCATTTAAAAATTTACTCCATATTACCATCCAGTTACAAATTTTGATAATTCTTAATATACTAATTGGATTTATTCAATAGCACCTTTGGATTTAGTTTATTTAATAAAACTATCTGTAAGTTTATCCAAGGTGTTAAAGTTTTCTGTAATTGCCGTCAATGTATTACTTAGGTTTTCTAAATCTGTACATAATTTATTAAAATTATTTCCTGTCTTTTTATATATATCTTATGAATTTTTTAAATAATCTGACAAAGAGTTTGAGTAATTTTATAATTCATTTGAAATTTCTAAAACACAAGAACCATTAATCATTGTATATTCTTATGGTTTAGTTGGTCCTTTTGATTTTTCATATTAGCTGAATTTCTCTTTCAATTTAGCATCATCACTAATTTCTAAAAAGTCAGAAAATAAAGGATGAGTCTTAAATAATGGATGATATAAGCAATTCTGTAAAAATAATTCCATAATTCTCATACGCTTCTCTAAATAGGCTGCACCTGTCTAGGATTTTCTATTATGTATATATTTATTAATAATACAATTTCTTTCCAGGAATTGGAGGTATCAAATGACATGGGTACGTCATTACTAATATTTCTCTCAATTTTTGAAAATCAGTAAATCTTCTATTAACAACCCATCCTATTGGTTTTGTCTCAACTTTAAATGAAATATAAGATGATATTATGCCATCAGATTTACTTATATATTCACTCATGATTATTTCCACTTACTTAATTTAAAATCATATAATACTTTATGTGTATTCTCCATAATATAGTCTGTTAATTTTGTTCTTCCTGGCAATTAGCATTATACCTCTGTAATAAAGTTGCTATCATCTTAAATTTTCTGGATCTAAAAAAGTGAATTGGTGGGCTATTGACTTAGTTACTTTTAGTCATTTTATATGATCTACTAATTTTGTTATTGCATCTCTTTTTAACTATATACTTTATTAAATCATTTACTCTTCTTTCTTGATGAAATCTTGAATTGTTTTTTGTAATTCTTCAAATGTCCATAAATCAATATCTTGGCTTCCATTTTACTTGATTTATTCACAATAAACCTGGAATGCAATAGTATCATATCCTGCATCAACTATTTAAGACATCAATATATCTTATTTTCTCTATCTTTCTTATTCTATGTCCTACATTTTATTAATAATATTAATTAATCGTTAATGATTCCATCTAAGACACTAAAAACCTTATAATCAACTAAGACATTATATCAAAAAGACTCTCCAAAAATGAAAAAGACATAAAGTAATTATGTATTATCCAATAAAACTTAAAGTCAAAAACTCAAAACAACTGGTTACAGAAATGATTCAATTAGATTAAACAACTCTATCAATTATCTTTAAGAGAATACAAAAACATTTCATTCATCTTTGTGTATTCCTTTCAATATAGACGAAACATAAAATAAGAATGAGATGTTGATTAAAAAGCAATTAATTAATGAATTAAATAAAAAAATATCTCAATTAGAATTACATAATTCAGGTTTACAATAAACTAACCATTAATTGCAAAATGATATTTTAATACTTAATCAAACAATAGAATAAATTTGTAACCAACTTTAAAAACAGAAAGAATTATTTGAAAGTTAAAAATTACAAATAAATGAACTATAAAATAATTTATCTCTTAAACAATAAGAATTATAATAATAAAAAAATGAAAACTTTAAATTAATAACTTTTCTCAAAATAAGTAAACATAAAAATGGAAAAGAAAATTGTCCAGAATCTACTCAATATGATTATTAAGAATAAATTAATTTGTTGAAAGATTAAATTCATAAATAAAAATAATCATTTTCATAAACAGAATCTATACTCTAAAATTAAATTAAAACATTAACTTCTTATTTTAGTGAATTCTTTTTTAAAACCAATAGTCAGAAAAAGTAAATAAATTAATAACTATCATCTCAAAATGAAACTGATGTTTTCTAATTATAATTTAAAAATCTCGAAGATGAATTAGTAAAATATGATGAAAAATTTTAATCCTTTTAATTAACTTTAAATAAGTTAACTGATAAATAAATTAATACAGCTGTCGAAAATGCTAATCTATCAAATACCAAAGAAATTTCTAAACTTAAATAAATAATTTAAATATAAAAAAAATAAATTGAACTACAACAAAAAACTATATTGAATTATCATTTTGAAATTTAAAACCTTTAAACTCTATTATATNAACTATATACTTTATTAAATCATTTACTCTTCTTTCTTGATGAAATCTTGAATTGTTTTTTGTAATTCTTCAAATGTCCATAAATCAATATCTTGGCTTCCATTTTACTTGATTTATTCACAATAAACCTGGAATGCAATAGTATCATATCCTGCATCAACTATTTAAGACATCAATATATCTTATTTTCTCTATCTTTCTTATTCTATGTCCTACATTTTATTAATAATATTAATTAATCGTTAATGATTCCATCTAAGACACTAAAAACCTTATAATCAACTAAGACATTATATCAAAAAGACTCTCCAAAAATGAAAAAGACATAAAGTAATTATGTATTATCCAATAAAACTTAAAGTCAAAAACTCAAAACAACTGGTTACAGAAATGATTCAATTAGATTAAACAACTCTATCAATTATCTTTAAGAGAATACAAAAACATTTCATTCATCTTTGTGTATTCCTTTCAATATAGACGAAACATAAAATAAGAATGAGATGTTGATTAAAAAGCAATTAATTAATGAATTAAATAAAAAAATATCTCAATTAGAATTACATAATTCAGGTTTACAATAAACTAACCATTAATTGCAAAATGATATTTTAATACTTAATCAAACAATAGAATAAATTTGTAACCAACTTTAAAAACAGAAAGAATTATTTGAAAGTTAAAAATTACAAATAAATGAACTATAAAATAATTTATCTCTTAAACAATAAGAATTATAATAATAAAAAAATGAAAACTTTAAATTAATAACTTTTCTCAAAATAAGTAAACATAAAAATGGAAAAGAAAATTGTCCAGAATCTACTCAATATGATTATTAAGAATAAATTAATTTGTTGAAAGATTAAATTCATAAATAAAAATAATCATTTTCATAAACAGAATCTATACTCTAAAATTAAATTAAAACATTAACTTCTTATTTTAGTGAATTCTTTTTTAAAACCAATAGTCAGAAAAAGTAAATAAATTAATAACTATCATCTCAAAATGAAACTGATGTTTTCTAATTATAATTTAAAAATCTCGAAGATGAATTAGTAAAATATGATGAAAAATTTTAATCCTTTTAATTAACTTTAAATAAGTTAACTGATAAATAAATTAATACAGCTGTCGAAAATGCTAATCTATCAAATACCAAAGAAATTTCTAAACTTAAATAAATAATTTAAATATAAAAAAAATAAATTGAACTACAACAAAAAACTATATTGAATTATCATTTTGAAATTTAAAACCTTTAAACTCTATTATATAAAAGTGAATATGAAAGTATTACTGAATTTAAAAGAACCAGTGTTAATAATAATGATTAATTTATCACTTAAGAATTTGAAAATTCACCAAATGATGAAATGTAATATCAATTATTTCTAATAATTTAGTTACCATTTAAACGATAGTTAAAGTGACATAAAGCCAAAATGCTTTTTAGATAGTATTTAAAATACCCTCTAAAAAATTTAGGTCATTACAGAAGAAAGCACTTTTAGATATTGATCATATATTTATGTCGTTTAATATTCATTACTATTTGGTTTTTGAGTGAGGTTATAATCATTTTACAAAACTATTAATTTTGAAACTATTAAGATAGAATGTAAGAACTATTTCCACATTTAGATTTATATGTTTGAAATCTGCGAATGATAAAATTCCATTCATAGCAATTCTAACCTTTTGTAATAATTATCTAATTTAAATGCCATTTTTTTAATTCTATTTATAATATTAAAGACTAGTTACATTTCTTAATTGTTAATGAATTTCGTTAATCATTTATTAAAATAATTCTATTTCTTTTTTCCTTCAATATATGAATCGAATATTTTTCAATACTTTTAATATTTTTTAAAATCAAATATAATTCTTATTTAGTTTACTAATATATCATATTGTAGTTAAAATTAACAATTTTGTTATGAATCATTTTAAGGATGATTTCAATCATTAGGATATTTTTTTATCGATTCATTATTATAAATATGTAGATGGTTGATATTATAAATATAAATAAAAAAAGAATCTATAGATAAACATTTTGATAATAAATTAATTTTGATTATAGATATTGGATCTAATTAAGCATGATTAATTTGTGGTGCAACTTTAATTTTATAATGATAGATAATTTATTATTTCACATATACATTGTTCTTTTTGCATATTTTTTTTTTATTTCATCTCTCTTTTCTTTCTCTTACAATTTGATTTATTATTCTCTTGGTAAAGATAATATCTTTTATTTTTCCTTTTGTAATTTTTCTGTTTTCTTTTTTTATGCTTCCTAAAATATATCAAATATATCATATACTTCAATTTTCTTTTATTTTTCATCCCTAGATTTAATTTCTTCAAATTTAACTCTTTCTTCTTCATACTATTATCTAAAAGTTTATGATAATTTAAAATTTGCTATTTTATCTACAATTTACAGCATCAATTAAATGAATTCTGTATAATCATGTAATGATTCAATATTCACTAATGTAGCTCTAAGACTATATGGACTAAAATATTGATTATATGAATTATTTACTTTGGTAAAAGTGTTTTTTAATCAGTAAAATGAATATTTTAAATGTATTTGTCATATTTCTTTAATGCTTAACATAATTTTGAATCAAAAATAGTAGTCAAAGGTTCTTTCCCTTCACCAAGTGTGACAAGAGTTAAACTATAAATATATAAATGAATTACTTATCATCTATTTTATCTATAGATAACTTTTCACAGAGATACTTAAGATCAATATTAGATTCTTTGTATGATTTAGCATCTCTTTTTTTGACCAAAGCAAAACAAATAGGTTATGGTGTAGCTGCTAAAGGTATATCAATAGTGATAGAATCTCTTTCAGGCCAAATGAATGAAAATAATAGCATTGATAATAAATCTTATCGTTTCTTTAGATCAATAGTGACAGCTAGACAATTTAAATTGTTTCTTCCTTAAGCTATAAATCTAAGAAATAGAGATGTGAATATTTACCCAAAGGAATTACTTGAGATAGATTAAAGGAGTGGTCCATTTTCTTTGTTTGTAACACCAACATAAGTGAAATTTGTTTTAAAAAAGTCATAAGTTGTTGATGCAAATTTTAATGCAAGTTTTTTATTGGTTGCATTTCCTGTTATATACATAAAAATGTAAAAGAGGAATAGTAAAAATCCTATGCATTCATAAGGGTAATTGTGTGGTATTTATTTGATAAATGCTACATAATCAAATGCAATCTATGTTTAATTATCTTCCATTTGATAAATATTTTATCAATTAATTTATGTATATTTGCAAATATATTGATGAATTAGTGTTTATGGTAGAAATAATTTAAATAAAGAAACTCAATCATTTTGAGATTAAATTAAAATAACAATTAAAGTCTTGTCTATGATCAAGAAATTTAATTAGAACTATAACCAACGCAAATTTTGATTCAATTTTTTTTCAATAATTCCCTAAAAAATTTGATTATTTAATATACAAATTTCATAATTTACCTTATTAATGATATCTACTTATAAAGTATATATTTATGAATAATAATTTATTGTAAAAATCAATTATTTTATTAACATTAATTATGCATAAAATTTTAAGATCAATAAAATCGTTCAAAGGTTCAAGATTTGCAAACAAATTACCTACTTATTTAGAAAGGTTATAATAGTAGGAAGAAATGGATCGTAAAACAAATTTAGATGTCTTAAGGAGAGAAGTTTTTAATGATTCAATATAATTACCTATCAAATTTGCTGCCTATTATATTACTAAGTATATTTAATTTTATTAATAGCTAATAGACTTTTTGGGCTGAATTAACAAGATCTATGATTGATGCAAGCAATCATCTAATTTTATTTGCAACCAATTATATTAATTATGGTAATTTTATCATTTATTTATAAGGGCCTAATAAGTAATTTCCATATGGAATAGAGAAAGTAAAACATTTAGTAGCTTTAATTCCATCTGCCTTGTTTTTATACTTTGGTGCTTCTATTTCATATGAGTCATTTCTTAATATTTATAATTATGGTCATTATGTTGGAGAAATACATGGCAATGCATGGGGATTAGCTGTATTCCTATTTCATTATTGGATAGTTATATTTACTATCCATAGGTATAGAAACAAGTGTAGTTTTCAAAAATATAAGAGATGCATAAGCTGTAGATTCAAATAATGAAACTAAAACAGGATTGTTTAAATAATTCTTATCTGTATTTTAAAAGAAAGATCCAGTCTTATAAGCTATTCTTTATGAGAATGCTATTACTTTGGGATCAACTTTAATTCCTTTATTGTCTTCTGCATTCACTTTGATCTATCCAACACATGCATTTGAAATAGTAGGATCTTTGGGAATTGGTTTAATTTAATTGTATTATTAAATGAATAATATATCTTAGATAATTAGCCTATCATTTAAGTGCCTAGAATTTAAGTTCCTTAATGGGTGAATAATCTATAAGTGATCTGGAAGTCAAGAAAATATTAGAAATTATTAAATAAAATCAATATGTTGAGAAAATATAAAATGAAAAGGCTGTTATGTTGGGGAGTAGAAAATTTAGATTCTCAGCTGAAATCACATTTAATATTAAAGTAAATATATGTATTGAATAATTTAGTAAATAAATTAAGACACTGAATCTAAATATCTAGAAAGATTTGATAAAGTTATTTATAGTGAATCCTATAGAGATAGAGAGGAATATCTATAAGAATTATTAAGAGAAATATAAGAATATGTTCTTGCTAGTTTACATATATAAGTATATGTATAAAATAATAATGTAGATTCAAAAAATAGAAAGTGCAATTAGAAATGAATTCCCTAATTGTATACATTTAGATTTTGAAATTAATAACAAATCTTTGGCTGAAACCTATTCTATTGATGATGGTAATTGGTTATTTAGAGAAACATTGTTAAAATCACCATTTAAAGTTGAAAAATGGATGCTTGATGAAGTAGACAGATTAATAAAGAAAATTTCAAAGAAAAAAAACGAAACTTATATTGAAACGTAATAATTATTTTAATAATAGATATTAATCCTTATGTTCATCAATTTAATATAATCAATGGCACGATGTAGAAGATGATGATGAATCTCTAAAAATTATAGAGGATTATAGATTTGAAGAATTGTAAAATGAATTAAAAGGCATAGACTAAATATTGTAATTCAAAAATAAATCTAAAGGATAATGAATATATAAAAATAATAGCTATTAATATTCATATCAAAATGCGAATACTTAACCTTCTTCTTAATGTACAAAATTTTATCTATCAAAAATTCTACACAATTTAACTCTAATAATCATAAGATTTTAATAATTACAAAAATTTAGGAGTACTTAATAGATGTATTCCTTTAAAAGAAGGTAATTTAGGAACTATATAGGCAAAGTAATAATATGTATGACCAATAAATGCACCAATCAAATTGGATTGGATAGACCTACCTGTTACAATGTTGATTAAAATGAAGAACCAAACCATGTATTACGCTTTGACAGGTATTATGAACATAACTAAAAATTCAAAGTATATTGTTACATAATAATGGTCTTTCTTAATTTTGTCTTCCCCAAACATACATAAGTGCTTCTACAAAGTATTCAGTTAGAGAATGCTCATTTAACCAAAGTCCTATTGAAGTAATGGTGACAAAATTCAATAACAAATAGTATAAGTAATTTGCAAAACCTGGAAAAGTATGTTATTCCAATGATGATGAAATTGATTAACTAAAAGTTTTGCAATTTATTTTACAAAAAGAATAATTTTAAGACAGTAATCAAATCTAATTCACCAAAATATAAAATACTAGTCAATATTCTCCAAGGCTAATATAAATAATTTAAATACCTAAAACGATTCCAAAAATGCTAATTTATAATTTAAGTAGAGATTGGAGGGCTTTAGATATTACACATAAGTTGCATAACTCAATATGATACTGCTAATTACTATGATTCTAGTAAGTGGAGGAATATCTAGAATATATTCTAATACCATCTTATTAATTATTAATATTATCAAAAATTCAGTCAAATATTCCAAACTCTATAATTTTCTTATTTTCTATGAAAAATCTATGTAAGTTTGATTATTTTCAAAATTACAAAATTTGATGTTGAGTCTTTTGACCTTTAAATCTCTTTTATAATTATTCTACTTGAGCCAATACAGAGTTATATTAAATAATTCCTAATTCACTTAATGTTGTTTATATGTGATAAAACAATGCTTTAAAATCAATACAGAAAAATGATATTATAAAGATGATAGAAATTAACTCATTTTTACAAATCTTAAATAATATAGGTCTTGTTTTTTATGATAATCATTTGGAGGTAGTTTTAAATTATAATGAAAATTAAATATATAAATATATTATACTAATAGGATCGTAGAATGTTGAATTATTCTTATTGTTTTTCTTCTTTTATTGATTATGCAAATATTATAGCTTTGGCCTAAGGTAATAAGATTGAATGAGGATTTATTTTTGATAATGGAATAACTTCGTTTTATATTGACATTAAAGCGCCTTCAAATAGTTTCTTTATATTTTATTTTTATTCATTTATCTTCATTGAAATTTGAAATTGAGAACCAATGATGTATTCATTTATAAAAATTATTTAATAATAAATATTTATTAAAAATGAATGAATAAGAGAAACTTGTATCACCGATAACATAGAAAATCTCTGAAGATGATGTGATTAATGAGAAAGACGTTCTTTAATCTCTTTCTTATATTAATTTTAAACTTCTTAATGTATATTAATATTGATTACTTTAGACATTAATACTATAGAATAAACAAGAAAATAATGTAATTATTCTATTCAAAGCTTTGTTAACTATTTTTTAAGAATCTGAAAATTGGATTCCTAAAAATATAAAAGATTGGTCAACTATCTAAAGAACAATTGGACATACATCAAAATTTATCCAAATGTTATAAAATTTTAAAAAATATTACATAGCAGAGTCTAAAATATTACAAACTTAAGTCTTATTGCAAGATGTTCATATTTAAAAATTATCTAAAAGAGCAAATAATTTATTAAAAATTGTTAAGTCGCTTCTCCATTATTATAGTAACCCTTTCAATCAATCATTATATGAAGACTCTTAATTAACTAATAAATTTTATAATGAACCTCCATTAAGTCCAATCAAAAATACAAATCTTATAGAACAAGACTCAGAAATAATCATATAAGAATTAATAAAGAAAGAAAAATTTAGTACAATTCCAAATGAGAATAAATAATCATGTCAAATAAACAAGATAAGATCAAGAAGTCCTACTACAGCATCTTCAGGAAGTAAGAGTCGAACTATTCAGTCATGCTAACCACATAGATTGTCTATTCCTGTAAGCAATCCTCTTAGATAATAAAGTAGTTCCCAACAGAAATCCACATTTACTATCAAATAATATAGCAAAACAATTAATAATACATAATCTTTAAAGTCTAGTGGAATTTATTTTAGAGAAAGATCATAAACTAATACCTAAAATAAATTTGATCAAATTGACAAATCCCCATTGTAATAAACTAAATAATAATGTATAAAAGATTCACTATTTACAAAAAAACCAACTTTAACAAATAATAAATGATTATATTTTTTTTATTTTAGTATTATTTCTAGTGAAAAAAAATATCTAAGTTTTTTTTATTTAAAAACAAGATTAATATACTACATTAACTTTAGATTTTGGATTTATTAATAAATATTTTAAGCTTATTTCACATTTTTCTATTGTATTGAGTTAGGAGAAGAGCATATGGAGGCATAAATATAATATTAACTACATATAAATGTTTTTTATATTTTTACATTTTTGGATAGGGCTATATAATCCAATATTAGAACAACATTGTTTTTAATAGTGATATAAATATGTATTTAATTTCTATTATTTTAGCCAATCTCATTTTCTGAAGCTGAATAATTTGGTGAATCTATAGAATATATGTATACTGTATTTATCAATTTCAAGCTATTACTTATTAAACTTTGTACTTGGAATATATTTAAAAATAAAGATGAATAAAATAAAAATAGGTTAATAAATATCCTTAGAAATATTATAATCAGAAAGTAAGTAAATAGCTTATATTTTAGAAACTGAAGTAAAGATTATAATCTAATCAATCAAACTTAGCACTTTTTAATAATAAAAATCTTTGAATAATTATTTTTTTAGTTATAATAAGAAAATTATAAATCTTAAATACTATTAATGCTAAGGATATAAAATTTCATTAAATAAATACCAAATATTGCTTAAAAGATGTAAAAATTGTAAATAAAAGTTGTAATGCTTTATTCCATAATATAATCATATAATATCACTTGTATATTGCTTATTGAAATTTTTATATTAAAATATATCTGTTTAATATATTTAATTATTTTTAATAATATATACTATAAAAATATTAAAATTACAATTATATATAGATCATAAGAATTTTATGTGTATTAGTTTTCATTTTAGCATTTCTTATAACAACTCATCTATTTCTAATAAACTTTAATCACAAGCTGATCCTCTTGTGGTTGCTTTCATTGATGCTTTAACAAAACTTTCATCATATGGATTTCGTATTTATGGTGTCATGTCAGTTATTTTATATTTTATCTATGTACTTTGATTGAATTATTCGTCATCACTTATAGTCTTAGAATTTAATATAGAATAATCTACTCCTAATAATTTCTATTCCTAACCTTAAATAAATATTTTCCAAATACTTCTTCATTATTATCTGAATGTTTTTATGGTCGGAATAAAATACATAATTTTATAATGCACCAAATAAATGATGAAAAAACCGATACTATAAATAAGCATAATAACACTTCTTTATAGTGTAGTTTTATCAATATTTATTTGACATTCTGGAACTCTTATTTATATGCACTCTGCTTTTCTTCACTCGACTTATCAAACTTTGGAATTGTATAATTTTATTTTGGAAATTCAGAGATATCTTCCTCAATTAATTCTTGCTACAAAACTAAATTTGAATCAAACTCTAATCTTTCTATCTAAAATGAGCTAATCTTTTCTTATCCTATTAAAGGTTCTTCTATTAATTATAAAATTGAAATTGGTTTCTGAACAATTCCAATATGTTTTTTTGGATGCTAAATCCTACAATCAGAAAATGAAATATTTTGCATTATCATAAGAACAATGATCATCTTAAGCTATGTTTATTTATTAAATAAACAATTAAAATAATGATGATAATCTTCTATAATTTTGATTAATCAATAAAATAAACAAAGAAATAAATATAAATGTTCCTTAAAATAAATACTTAACAAATACTAAAATATAATTTAAAAATAGGATTATATAAGATTATTTCTTTTTTGACATCGTTTAAACTAATAATGTCCTTTTTTAATATATAGAAAATTTTAAGTAACTCTTAGAAATAGACTTATAAATAATATTATTCAAATATTACAAATAGTTCTAGTTAATGTAATTAAAATTGATAAAATTATTGATGATATAATTAATTTAGAGAATAATAATATTTTTACATAAAGTTATTATTATTAGTGTTTATATATTATCTTTTAATAGAAAATATTTATATATTATAAAATTCTCAATTATAAATTCTAATTATCTTCACATTATTTAATAAACTTAGAATCAATAGATAATCAAATTCTCTTAAATTAATAGAGTTATATGATATTTCATTATTTATTTTGACAATTTATTATATTAAGTAAATTTAATTTCTCTGAAAATACTTATTGTTACTTTCTAAACAACACAATCTAATTGAAAATTTTAATATTTATATTCTTCAATAAAACTTTGGATTTAGATTAGTTCTTCTTTTTAACTTAGATTGCAATTTTTTAAGATCTTAATTGATGATCATTTTTATATTAATCAAAATAAAACAGGACTCTAATTACTTGATAGACTTAATTTGTAAACAAGAAGATGATAATAATTAAATATATGATTAAATAATATCAAAGGATGAGTCTTGTGAAATGTTTAAATTTTCTGATCTCTTAAATTTAATACTTAATTTTGATTATATGATTTCTAAAAAGTTTTAGTACTCTTGTATATTTAAAAAAATATATAATATAGTGAGGATGTTAATTAATAATTTGAGAACTATTCATTCCTTATTTTATTTTTTTAATGATAAATGTTCAGTAAATTTGTGAAATTTATTATTTTATTATTGGGAGATGAATGATAAAATCATAGTAACAATATGCTTTATCTATTTTCAGATGAATTCATCAGTATATTCCAAATAAAAATACAAATTTCATAGTGATAAATAATTTTGTACAATAACTCTTTAATAATAAGAGTACAAACTTTCAAATTTAAGTATTAATAATATTCATGATTGTAGACAGAGAAAGGAATTCTAAAAATATAACTAAATAAAAAGTATAGAAATTGAATAGAATCTCAACCATTCATATAGGAATAATAGAAATAGTAAGTTTTAAGGAGATAATTATAGATTGGGAGAAAATATTGAGAATATAATGTATGATTGGAGTCATGAGAAGGTTCTAATTTCCAAAATGTAGATAGAACAATAAACAGAATGAAAGATGAGTAATGAGAAATGATAGACATATCAAATTGGTGTTTATGGTGTTCGATTAGGCTTAGAAGTAGGTAATAAAGAGAATTTTGAATAGTAAACTGAGATTATTGAATAAGAATATTTTAATTGAATTCATGAAAGAAATGAATGATTTAATTAAAGTGATTAATTTTAATAAATCATCAATGAGAAATCATATTGTGTATGGTTTTAATTTGTGGTAAATATGCATGAGTTCTAGAAAATGCTAGTATAGAAGCCTGAATCTTAGGTTCAAGAAAGAATTCGAAGAAAAATGAAGGAAAATAATTATAAATTTAAATTGTTGTTACAACTAATTAAATAAATATAATAATTTATTATTTTTCTTTTTTTGATATTCAATAGCAATTAACATTAATAATCAAGAATTAACTCGTGGCAACATCATACCATAGGGTGGTTAGTAAATATGTTGTTGAATTTGAAGAGGGTATTGTGTTGGAGTTGGAGACACAGGTTCATATTCTTATTTTACGTGGATTTATTATTTAACTTCCAAGAGTTGTTTGAATATTAGTTGTGATGCCAAAAATAAATTTTAAATAGTTGTGTAATAAAATGGATTCTAAGATTCTGCAGCCTTCTAATATTATTATGTTAATGTAGAAAATAGTTTTTAACAATGCTATTGAAGAAGAGATCGCTATTCTTACATCAAATTAGTTTAGTCTTCCTTTGAAGGTTGTTTGTCAATATATATCTACATAAATTTATTTTAAATTACCTGACTAACTTCCGATGATACAATAGGCTCAGACAGTTAGAAAGTGAGAGGATTAATAATTTAAATCTTTAAGATATTCTCTACCTTAAGCTTCTTCTTTCTAGTCTCTTTCTTACCTATCCTTCCCTCTTTTTCATATGCCTTTTGTATTGTTCGTACAGTACAATATTTTAGCTACAACCTATTCGCTACCTAAAAATATAAATGATCAAGATATCATATATAATGGTTAGACATATTCATAAATTTGGTATTAAATTGATACCTCTTATAAAGAGAGCTTGTCTTGTAAAAGAAGTTTTAATACTAGTCTTCTTTCTTCTTTATTAATTTTCTGGTACTTTCTACTTGATTTAACTTAAGCATCCTAATTTTCAGATTTAGTCATGAGGTTAGAATCTTTATTTTTATTATATATATATAAAATTAAAAATCAATACTTATTAAATTTGAATTAAGATTTATTTTATTATTTATATATGATTTTCTTTTCATCATATAATTTATTAAAAAGTCATTCAATACACTTCAATCAATAATTCAAACTCTAACATATTCAATGAACTTAACATTTCATTTTATATCCAAATAATCATTCATTCTATTAAAATATAATGCATTTTCTAATATTAAAACTTGAAAATTATGTCTAATTTTTATTCATTACACTAAACATCAATTTTAATTTCTCTTCCAAATTATATCATTCAATAATTTTTATCATAAAGCATATCAAGAAGGAAATTTATCTAAATTACTTAACATTGATTTTTAAATTGTTACATCTATGACCACATTAATTATTCATTTTCTGCCTAAAAATTAGTTTCTTAATTAGTTATCTCTCCAAACCTTTCATAAATTGTATAACTCTTGCTTAGTTCCAAATATTTATTATATTGTTTTTATAAATTCAACAGGCAAATTTTATGAATAAAACAACTAACAATAAAGTGAGCATATTTTCTTAAAAATTTCATATAAAAGGAAACATTACTCTATTTCCTTTTAATTATATTAGTTTATAACCCAATATTTATTATTGTTACATCATTTAAATTATAATCCTGGAAGTTTCTTTTCTTTATAAATTCTCCAGTTCTATAGTATAAAATGAAAGAGTTTAAGCAATCTTAATATGAGTTCATATAGGCATTCATTTAATTATTCTCTTTCATTGTTTGATTTTATTTTTGAGCAATTAAATGAATTCATCTTTTCAACATTATTTCTTAATAGATAACTCTTCTGTTTTGATTGATGATGATCATAGTTCATTATTATTGAGAAATTAACATTTTTTTGATTAGAATGCACATGTTTATTTTTACCTGATCTTAAACATTCTTTCTCTATTTTGTTCTATAATCAATAAATATAAATCTAATTGCATAGATAATTGAAATCTAATTAGACTTATGGATAGAAATTATGCCTGTGAAGTCTGACAATTGCCAATAAGAAATTTAAAAATAAAATGTTCTTAAAATAGCATAAATTAGGATGATTTAAAATTATGAACATGACGAATTATTATTTTGTTTAAATAATCAAAAAAATATAATGATGAGTATGTCTAAATAATCAATCGATTTTCTTCATCATTGTAAAGAATTCATCCAATGAAATTTAACCATCAGAATTAGAATCAAATTCCTATACTACTTATTTCCACATTTCTTCAGGTATTCCACTAAATATCTCTTTCAATTCATCTATAGTTATACTTCCACTTTTATCCTAAATAATTATATCAAATACTTTATCAAACATACGAAAAGTGACTTACAATCTTTATTTAGATAATAGCTATTATCTATCTATAGTTGCTATAACAAACTCTAAAATTTAAATCTATATAACAATATACCTGTATAATCGATTGATCCTGAATTATTCTTATCAACTTATTAAAATATACGATTAACTTCTTCAGCAGCTTCAATTGGTTTCATAATTTTTGAATATCCCACTAATAATTCTTCTTTACTCAATTTTCCATCTTAATTTGTATCTAAACATTAAAAGATCTTTAACAATTCAGCTTTTTCCTCTTTTGTAGCCAATTAATTAACAATAAATTTAAAAACAGCCTCTTGCAATTTTTGTTATTCTGTAAATTTTCTCATATTTGTTAAAACTTTTGTCATTAAAGGTTTATCAAATTCAGTTGGATTTGTAAATTTCTTAATCCATGGATCATTTAAAGCTTATTGGGCACTATATCTCTTACCTGAACAATAGTTTGATAATTTAAATACTAGGATCAAGTTAAAGCATTTTTCTAATAAATTCTTTGGCCTCTTTTGAAACTTCTTCCCATTCTTAAGTATCAAATGAATAAACACCTTTTGAAACTTTCTCCATAATTTTATCTTCTGATTTACCATCAAATGGTGGATATCTTTAAATAGATAATTAGTTTTACCCACATAATAAAATATATAAGATTACTCCACATGACCATATATCACATTTTTCATCATATTTTTTTTTTAGAACTTCTGGTGCAATATAATAAGGTGTGCCTAATTTCTAATTTAATTTTTAATTAGGAACAAATTCTTTGGATGTTCCAAAATCAATAATTTTTAACATTGAATTTTCCTTTTCAGATTCATATAATAGATTTTCTGGTTTCAAATCTCTAAAATAAACTATTTATTTATAATTTACCTATGAACAATCTTTTCATCATGACAATAATTGATAGCAGATAATATTTATTTCATAATTTCAGCTGCTTTTTTTTCTGAAAAACTACCTTCATGTCTAATTTTATCAAAAAGTTCTCCTCCAGTACAAAGTTCTGTTACTATGTAAAAGAATCCTTCATCCTAATAAAACTCAAAAATTTTAATTATATTTGGATGATCCTTTAATAGTTATGAATGATTACTAATTTTTAAAGCATTTTAACTTCATTCATTAATCTCTCTTATTCCTCCTTACTTGTTTGAGATTTATGAATAATTTTAACAGCTTTCATGAGGTTTGTACTCTTATGGATAGCTTTTCTTACTTCCCCATATGCTCCTAAAATATATATTATAATTTATATACCACTTCCCAAAGGTGGATTCAAGAGTGTATAATCTTTTGTAATACGTCCTAGCTTTTCGCTTGTGATAATCAAATTACCTAAACAAGATTGAACTTTAATGTAATATATTAGATTTACCATCATTAGGTTAAAGTTTTTAAGGGGAAGAATTATCTGTTTCAGGTTTATTACTAGTGTTCTTAGTAGCTGAATTATTTTGAGAACGTTTTCCAGAGCAAGAGCCCATAAGTTATTATAAATAATAAAAATAAATGGGTACTTGTAGCTAAGGATAGAATATTGAGAATAATAAAGGAAATGATAGAACAATAACTAAATTGGTGGGATATTTTTACAGTATTCCAATGCAACAACATCCAGACATTGATAGTTTGGTAATTACAAAATTAGAGAGATAAAAAATAATTTCAAGAGGATTAAGTAAGAATCTCATTGAAGAAATCGTATTCTTTCTAAATTCTCGAAAGATAAGGAATAGTGAATAAGACAATTTACTTGATCATTTTAATTATGTATACAACTAATCATTTAAGAAAATGAATGACTTTAATACAAACCTGGGGAAAATGATATTGATTGTAAAACTTTTATAATAAGATATGTAAGACCACCATCGAAGTCTTATTATGTTTTAAGTCTCTTGAAATGGGAGAGTTGACTCCAGTAGATGTATGGTGGGTAGAAGATCATTTTTTATGGAGGTATTGCCAATTATAAGATCAGTATAAAGTAGAATATGACAATTTTTTGGATTTCAATTATCTAATCAAATTTATGTATCTTTTAAAGGAGTGCACAAGAATTGAATTGAAAAAGATGAATTTTGAATTAAAATAATTGATCAGTTCCATAAAGACTGAACATTAATAATTATAATAAGAAATCCCAAACACAGCTAGAACTGTAGATAGTTTTAGACCATAACAAAAAAGATTAGATACATTTTGAATACTTATATTCATTAATCAAATTCTGAAAACATTTTATATCTTCCTGGAACAGGTGTGACTTTATTTATTTCAAAAGGTCCTTTCCTTATAGACTTAATAAAAGTTTATTAAACTGCAGATCTCATCCCATTCTTAGGGTATATACCAGAAGAATTCATATTATCCAGTGAATATTTTCCTGGTTCAGGATAATTATTTACTAATGAAGATTTTTAGAATGTACCTCCTAATGTCTTATATCATTCTTGATCTTTTCCAACGATAAATGCTTCTGAATTCTGAAATTTAGAGAGTGGATAAACTCCTTTTGATATAATAGCTTGTTCATATTCATAATTGCCAGGTCCTTTTTTGATAATTCCTTTATTCATATACCTAGAGTATTAAATTTCTGAAAAGATTGCGTTCTTTACCCAAATGTAAACTTTTATCTTCATTTAACTTTGCTTGGAATTTAATAACGATTTAGAGATGGAGTGAATTTAGTTAGAGTTGTCCAAATTCCTTAAAGCCAAATATCTTCTCTGCCTAAAGCAGATTAAATTCCTTTCTTTTCTTCAATATTCAATTCAGCAAAATTCTTGATATCATATTTTTTTGATGTGGGAACTTATTTAACATATTTAGTGAAATCATGTCTACGATGTATTTGGGATAAATTTACTTTTATCCATAACCAATACCAGCCATTCTCTTGCTTAAACTATCAGGAAGGTTGTACATAGATCCATTATTAGAGTTGATTAAAGAGAATACATTTAATTAGTTGAATATGTTTCACAAGAAACTTTGGAAAATGTGTATCTTTATTTTGAAATAGAATTATTGTATGGTTCATCATATATACTTTTGGAAGTATTCATGTTTATTATTTTATATTTGTATATATTTAGATATCTATTTTTGATTATTTTATTTAACTTATTATCAAAGTATGAGTTAGGAGGAGTAACAAGAGGAATCAAATAAATATGGGAAAGCAATGTATGACTATGATTAATATATTTTCAGAAATGAATAAATAGGAGAATTAATGGAACATCTCGATAGAGAACATGACAGTGAAGATGAAGGCATGGAAGATTATAAAATTGGAGGTTATATTCATAAAATAAATATTAGGTTATCATCCAGTTCATATTGGTGAGATTTTACTTAATCGATATGTGATTATTTAAAAATTAGGTTGGGGACACTTCTCTACTGTCTGGTTGGCAAAAGATTTCAAATATGATACATATGTTGCATTGAAAATTCAAAAGAGTGCTTCTCATTATTTGGAAGCAGCATATGATGAAGTATATAAATTATTTGAAAAATTAGGTTGAAATTCTTCAAAAAGTAGCTTAGAATGTTCAAAATCCTGTTTGGATTCAATCTTTGAAAGAGTATTATGCAGATGTAAGATGATATTATATAAATTCTTAGTAAGGAAGGACATCATTTAATAGAGATGATACTCACACTGTTTAATTATTAAATTCATTTGTATATAAAGGACCATATGGTCATCATTTTTGTATGGTTTTCGAGATTTTAGGTGTTAATTTACTAGAAATTATTAAAAGATATGATTACAAAGGAGTAATGAATTGATTTAATTTTAGTGTCCTATGGATATTGCTAGAAGAATGGCAAAATAAATTTTAATAGGATTAGATTATCTTCATCGAATATGTGGAGTAATTCATACAGATTTGAAACCTGAAAATGTTTTATTATGTTTATCAGATGAAGAAATTAAAGATATAGTTGAGAATGGATAATTGACTTCTAATTAATTGTTTTCAGATAGGATTCATATCTATAGAAAAATGTTAGGAATTGATAAAATTAATGTTTAAGAACCTATTGTAAAAAAAGAGGATGATGAATTAAGTGAAAACACTACAAATTTATCTAAAACTTAAAAGAGGAAATTATTAAGGAAAAAAAAATAGAAATAATAACATGAAGAATAAAGAAAAGAATCTTAAGAAGTCTAAGTAGATTAAATTGAAATGCCAAAATCTATTAAGGAATTATTCTAATAACAAAAGAAGTAAGATATTTATTTATTTGATATAAGAATTTCATTTACTCAATAAAAGAAATTGCCAGATAATTTTCGTTTGAAAATAGCTGATCTTGGCAATGCATGTTGGATTCATCATCATTTTTCTACTTTAATATAAACTAGATAATATAGATCACCTGAAGTATTATTAGGTATCAAATACAATCCCACAGCTGACATTTGGAGTTTTGCTTGCATGATTTTTGAAATGCTTACAGGAGATTACTTATTTGAACCCAGATAAGGACCTAATTTTTCAAAAAATGAGGATCATTTAGCATAAATTCAAGAATTATTAGGGAAATTTCCATATGAATATAGTACAAGAGGTGTTAAGGCAAAAGTATTAAATAATCTAAATAAATAGAGATATTTTTTATAGAATGGATAAATGAAAAGGATACCATAACTACATTTTTGGAATTTACATAATGTTTTGACTGAGAAATATAGATTCAAATAAGAAGAAGCTTTATCATTTGCTTCATTTATGATGCCCATGTTACATTAATTACCAGAATATAGAACAACAGCTCAAGAATTATTAAAGAGAGAATTATGTCAGAACAATTTAGATCCATAATAAAGAAGATGTTTACTTAAGAAATATATAGATCAAATATTCTAATTTTAAAATTTTAGGGACTTAATTCCTAGTTCTGGTTGGTTATAATAGAAAACAGATACTAGAGTAGGACATAAAATGAATGAAGATGAATATAAGAAATATACTAAATAAAAGAGAGTAAATGAAGAAGCAGAATAATTAGATTAGGCTGTTGATGGTATATAACCAACTTTATTATCAAATTATAGAAGAGTATATAATTCTTATTATTATTTTTAGGCTTCAACAAGATCATATAATGGTTCTAATTCTTAGACTCCTTAATAAGATAAATTTAAAAAGTAGGATGGTAAGTATGTTGATCATAGAGTTATTGACAGATCCTTTACAGATTTAGGATATATTGGATATGGAGATGGAATTGATTTAGAATAATTGGATAGTACAGGAAATTGGTAATTTAGTTGATCTATGTGATTAATTGTACATGTTGATTTAAATAAATATTCTTTTGATTTCTATTATGATACCCAATTTTCACTAATTGTGATGGCCTTCGAATGCTCTAATATTATGAGCTGTGTTTATTACAAAGTTAGAAGTATCTATTACATATCCTTTTGTTGCTGCTTCAAATAATTCTGGATGATGTACTATTCCTTCCTATTTACAATTAATTATTAATATACTTTCATAAAATATATTACTTCATCTTATACTGTTGTACCTAATTCTTGAATATGATCAAGTTAACATGCTAATTCATATTTTAATTAACCTTCTTCTGTTAAATAGTCAGCATTATCTCTATCATCAAATTATTTGAAATCTGCTGTTAATGGATGAAATTAATAGGTTTCAACCCAATAAACATTTTTATCATTCGCAAGTGTTGTTGTCTCTATTTTAAGTATTTTTCCACCTCTTAATAATGAAAGTCTATGAATTTTATATTATAAAGATCTCCAATACCTAATTTAATAAGAGTTTTCTATTACCACATTCTAGGAATCCATAAAAATGATGGTGCATATATAAATAGATTATTCCAATACCATGCAATATCTAATGGGTTTTTGAACCAAAGATAAATTGATAAAGGAATTGCTGTCTCATAAAGAATATAAGGATATTTTAAGAATATTGTAAGATGTTTATGAGGATCACATGAATAGCTAATTATGATAAATTAATATACAGTAACACCTCTCCTATTCTATCAAACTCAATTGTATAAGTTGGTTTATATATTCTATCTGTTTTTACTACATATTGTGATTCATCATTCATAACTTATGCTTTATGAGCTATTGTTGCATTATGAAAACTCTTAATGTGATTCAATTAATAAAGATTCTTAATACCCAATCTTACAGTGTTTGTTATTCTTGTTAACATTAATTTAAAGATATTAATAATAATAATATTGTATTTCTAAGATAATAAAAATACTATATTCATTTTTATACTATTTTTTAGTATATTGTCTAAATATCCTTTCTCTTCAATTTAAGTATTGTCATTTTAATGATTTATTGTTAGATGAACACTTTTAACTATTATGATTACATTTATTCAATTAGATAATAATATATCCTTTTAATGTATCAAATATAAATAATAAATGAAAATTAAATCGTTTTTGAGATGTATCGTTTTTTAGTTAATAAATAAATGAAAGGAATTATTGCTATCATTCTTGCATTGGCTGTGGTCTCAAATGCCACCAGCACAAAAGATTAAATCTTAGCTCTCCTATAAACAGGAACAAAGGCCAGTGATGCCATTGATACAGTCTTTGGATTGCTAAATGATTTAAAACAATCTAACATTGATGCCTAATTTGCTGCTGACCAAAAGAACGAAACAGATGAATGGGTTGGTGCTTAAACCATTGAATAATTCACTAAAATTAAGACTCTTAACCAAAAATTGTTCCAATAAGCTATTGAAAATAGAGCTGAGTATGAAAACGTACTTTAATAAACTAAAAACTATTTGGCATGGAATGAAGCTAGAAGAGACTCAATTGCTGCTAAAATTGAAACACTTTAAGACAATTAATGTTTCTCCAACTAATTATTTGTTAAATCCATCAAGCACAATTAAGAAGCTTTGGAAGTCATTAGACTCCTCAAATAAGATGTTGCTGGATACATTATTAATGGAGATTCTTTTGAATTCACATAAGTTAAAGCCTAATCAGTTGCTGAAAAATTGAAGTAATACAGCAACTTATTCTAAGAACATTAAATCAAATCATTCTTAGCACTTGCATAAGAAGAATAAGTATTTATTAAAAAATATTATATTTATTAGGCATCAGAATCATCTGGACATGGATAAACATTAGCTGAAAGAGTTTTGGGTGTTCTTGAAGGATTAGAAGCTGAATTAGCTGCCTCATTAGAAAATTTGAAATAAAATGAAATCAATGCATCATGGGAATTAGCTGGATGGGTCTCATTATCTGAAGCTGAAATTGCCTCATTGGAAGTTGAATATGAAAGAAAATAAGTCTTTGCTGATAGAACTGCCACTGTAATATTTAATTCACTAATTAATTCTAGTAAATCTAAGCTGCTTTAGCATAATAAGCTAAATCAAAGATCATCTTATAAGAATCTTAAGATGCTTTAGATTAGGCATAATCTGATTTGGAAGCAAAGAGAGCTGATTATGCAGAAGCCAAAGCCAAAAGATAAGAAGAGAATGCCATCTTGGATGAAGTAATCATAATGTTCAAGAAATAAGTTGCCTCATGGTCTGGAAGATGATATTCTTTTTAAATACAAAATTAGTCAATATTACAAAATTAATTATTTTAATAAATATTTGATGTTATAGTCTTCAAGAAACTTAAATATCAATTATTAATTAGTAGATGCATTTAGCAATCAAAATCAACCAGATGTTGTGTCTCTCTTCATTTATTATAAAGCAAACATTTATATTCCTTATGAATCTGTATAAATCTTGAACTCTTTTGAATCAGCATCTATATATTTGCATTTTTCATTTTGGCAAAAATGACATTTAGGATTTTTGAATTCTAATGCGCAAATATGACAAATGTAATTCATACAACAATTAGATGCCAAAATAACTAATATAAGAACAAACTTCTACAATTAAAATAGCAAAAGCAAATTGGACATGAATGCTAAGTTCTTTCTGTTATTATATTATTAATAGCTATATCTTTAAGTGGATGGATAGTTTTTATTTTTTTACTCTTATCATAGTATACACCATCAAATTCTTATAAAGTATAAAGACTAGGATTCTTATGATTCAATTTCAAATATTCATTAACAGTGTTATCTAAAATCTTTGTTAAATTATGATACACATTTAATTTGTAGTATTTGGTTCTTATACTTCTTGAGTATTGCCACAACAGAAATATTTTTCAAAAAATGAAACTTTCCTTGTACTCTATTAGTTCTGAGCCATATATATTAAAAATTTATTATTAAATCTAAATTTTAATTAAACAATGATCATATTGGATTTATATTATCTTTAAAATTAAAAAGGATATCTAAAGAGTATAATATCATAACATTTTACTAATAGAGAGGATAAATCTTATAAATTAATATATTGATAGGTATGAAAATGGATTTTAGTAATTAAAACAGGATTTTTATATTTTCTTAAGGCTGATAGAATTGAGGTAAGAATTAAATCAAAAATTCAAATGTAAGGAAAGTACTTTTTTAGTAGAAATGAATAAATAATTAAGTATGAAATCATAGGAAATAAGAAATCATTTATTTAAAATAAAACAATGTACTAACAACTAATTAATTAAATATAGATGAAGTATATTTGATAATGATGGAATTTAGTTACTTTAATATTAATTTTAATCGATATTTTAATTCAATATTTAGATCATCTTATCAGCAATTTCATCCTTTAACGCTTGTTACAAAGAATAAATCTTATTTTGGATTTTCATATTGAATATCTTCATTGGGTTTAGCTTTGACAATAAGCTTTTTCATTAAAAAGTTTTACTGAATATTATTTAAATCTTAATCTGTAATTTGACCACGAATACCATTAAAAAGAGGCTATAAAATAAAGATTTAAATTTTACATTTTTTGATTTTCTAAATGGAGAAATGAGGGATGCATCTACATGACTAGTATGTACTACAGAAGATTGAGTTTTAATTTCACATGTATTCTCAAATATTTTTATTAATTTAAAAGTGTTTGATTTCATCTCCTTCATATTTTGATTTATATTTTATAGCATTCTACCTGATATCTTATTTAAATCATATTTTATCTCTTTTTATTCATCTTCATGTTGTTATGTAATAATATCATTTTTATTAGGTAAACTTTTTGGAGTAATTTTATTTTAGAATTACTATTCATATTCTTATTATATAATTGGAACTGTATTGAATGATTATGGTATATCAGTATATAATTTAATTTTTTGATTAATGTCCATTATTTGTTAGTCAATAGACTTAACATTTTTAGGTGATGGTTTTGGAGTATCAAATTTAAAAGAGATTTATCTATCTGATAAATTTTTATGTTTATCATCTTTTTCTCTATTAGATTTCAATGGAGTGGTATATTGAATTCTGCTTCCGAATCCAGGTGTTTTTATAGGCATTCCACTTGAAAATGCAGGTGTATTAACTCCTGACATTAATTAAACTTTATTCTGTTTAGGTGAAGGCAATATAACTGGTTAAGAATTAATTCTATGATGAGTAGATGTATTCTTTCCTAAGTTGATCATTTATTTTTCAATCTCTTCTAAATTAGAATCAGGTTTAATAGTTAACAAATAGAGTTAATCAAGTTATGCTTTCAATTTAGGTTCTTTAATAAAGTTAGAGACAACATAGATTAGATTACGTATTGCTGGTCGTATATCCATAATATTAATTGCCAAATTAAGAAGATCTGATTTTCTATATTATTTTTTCTTTTAATTAAAAATCCAGTAAGAGGATTTCATTAATATAAATCTTCTAAATGTATAAAGAAATGAGAAATAATGAATACACTTGTATTTTATATACATATGTAATAATGTTTTATTATAATAGTACTATTGTAATAGATAATGAGTTTTATAAATTAATATTTAATGAAAAGCGTAGAGCAGTTATTTCCACAATTTTAAGTTATCAATATTGTGAGATAAAATACTTACAAGAAATCAGTGATTGTAAAACGAAGTGGATATAATTACATGTTGCGTATATTTAATCTTGAAGGAATTCCTAAAGAAAGAGTTTAATCAATAATAAAAATCCTTAACAAATTATCTAATCATAAGAATCCTCATATTGTTAAATTTTATGAGGCATCTTTCGATCATGATATGACATACTTGGGGTATTGATAAAAATTAGAAGATTAGCATTGTTAGTGAATACTTAGATAAATAATACGAATACCCTTTGAAGGAAGTTGATATTTGGAATATAATTTAAGAAGTATCCAACATGTCCTATATAGTTATCATTTGCATTACAATAATTTCATCCAAAAAGAGTCCATGGCAAATTATAATTGTCTAATTTATTTTAAAGTAAAGGTAAGACCATTTTGGGTGAAATGAATGTTCTCTATTATTTACATAAATAAAACTATCAGGATATATATTTATTAGCACCAGAATTTATTAAGTCTCAAATATATGATCATAAATCAGATATATGGATGGCTGGTTATATGCTATATTAGATGATGTTTAAAGATCCACCTATCATAGCTAATAATGTTGATATTTTACATAAAAAAATACTTAAAGGAATATAATTAACATATAATCCAAATTATAGTCTTAATTTGAATAATTTATTAAGATTAATGATGTGTTATGATGCTGAACTTAGACCTAATGTTGAATAAATTCAATACTTTTGTTAACAAGCTTAAATATCTAATGAAGAAATCAATATTAATAGAATATTACCTAAATTCAAAGTAGATAAAGTAATATTACATAAAAAGAGAACTGAAAAGAAATAAGAACCTATTTAAAATATTGTATATTTAAATGAAGATCAATTTAAATAACCATATTTCCCACCTTCTAAAATTATTAAATAAAAAAGACTCTAATTATCAAAATAAACAACTTCAGTCATGGACTTTGGTCCATCTCCAAAAACAACTTATTCTGTTTAGTTACCAAAAGTTCTTAATTATTAATTTAGTAAATTGAAAGTTAAAGAGGCTAGTACAGTTCCTGGTTCAATTGGAAATGCTGAATAATTAGAAAAGTATATATATATAATTTATTAATTTAAGATTGTAAAATAAATCTCAAATAAATAAATTAGAATTTGATAATCTTTTTCCATAAACTAAATAAACTTTACAAACATAGAGAAGATCTCCAAATAGAATTCAATTACAATAAGAATTTTAAAATAAATAAAAGAGTTAAAGAATATTTAATTGAACATTAATTTATCTTATAATTATAAAATTTCATTTCCTATGAAAAAGAATTTCTAAAAAGAGACTTTACTTTTTAATGTCTAATCACATAGATCTGAACGATCAAGCAGTTCAAATATCTTTTAAGAACCTTAGTGCAATAGTATATTGATTTGTAATTTATAGAAAACATATTAGCATTGTTAACAAAAAAACCAATTAGATGTGGGAAATACTCTAGTTAGGAAACCATAATATGTGATATGAACTAATCTCATCAAGAATAATCCTAAATAAAACAAAAAAAAATTGAATAACTAAAAAATTAGTTACAAAGATTAAAATAGAATTTTGATAATTAATCAAAATAAAAATTGAATATATCTAATGTCATAGATAATACAATCTAACAATTGCTCTAAATAAAAGAATGGCTCTAAGTCACAAAATATGAAGAACCTTGGTAAGAGATTATTCAAATGGAGAGAGATATTTATTTAAATGAAGATAATATTATAAAATCCATGCCTCTTCCTCATTTTAATGAAATATTACTTCAACATTAATTATGTATATTAGAATTAGCCTCCCAATCATAAGCAATTTAATAATAGAATTTTTGGATGACATAAATTCATAGTTTACATGAAACATTTATTTAAAAGAATCATATGATTTTGTAATTACTAAAACCAAAAAATTAAGAAGATCTTGAATAATCTATAGAAATTAGTGAAGAAGATTTTGGTCATTCTTTTGGAAAGAAATATTGATTAATTGTAGTATAGAACAGATACCTTTATAATATAAAATTAATTGATATTTTATCATTTCCTAAATAATTCCTTAATAATGTTGAAATCTAAAGAGTAAAGAAATCAATAATAATATAAATCATGTTTTAAAATATAATTTGAAGACAGATTAGAAATTAACTTATTAAATATATAGATTTCCATATACAATATTTATAATTGCATCAATCTAATTCTTGATCTAATCTTCTCTTTCCCTCTTATGTTAATGTTAATGATACTATAAATTTCACTTTTTTGCCTTCATTAATATCTAAAGTGAATGAATTAATTTTAGTTATTGTTACAATACCTCAAATATATATTCAATGAATATACCTTATCTTTGTAAAGTATCAGCCACTTTTACGCTATTTTTAGAAGCATCTCCAAGTGAATGTAATTCTACATTGCCAAACTTTTTTAAGAAGATTTTTGCAACAAAAACTTATGCTTTAAGTGACTTCTAAATTGATACTTATAAATGATTATCTTATGGATCTAATTTTTATTTTTATGTCTATTATTATGGTTAATTTTATTATTATTATCTGTCCATTGATATATAAATAAATATTTATTTGTTTTTCTTAATATTTTCATTTCTTTAAATTATCATAAATAGTATTATGAATAATCTATATAAAAAACATTACAATAGATTTAAATTTGATTAATTATATTAATGTAAAGCTCAGATCCATAAGAATAATAGAAAATTTAGAATTTGTCTCAATTTTTAATTTCATTATAGAATACTTTAGTAATGAATTCTTTATGAATAGATTTATAAAATGGATTAAACCCATTAAAATGAAGCTAAAAGACTTGATGATTAATTAGTTGAATTGAAGTCATTAAAAAAATAAATAAAACATAAAGAATTATGAAGTGATTTTTTTAATAAAAATTAATATTATAAAAAGAATTAGAGGTATGAATTATTTTAATAAATTCGATATCATGATCCTCTTTCAATAATTTTAGATCTAACTCTGTCAACTAAATCTAATTCTTATTTTCTGACTGAGGTAGCTTTTTCATATTCTGAAGCGAAATCATTACACATTCTAGTTGCACTGTCAAAGATTTCACCATTTCTAACCTTATTATATTAAAATATCAAATTTACTTTCTTTCCTCTTGCACTATCAATTATGGCTGATTATTAATCTTAACAAATATCCATAGTAGTAATATGATCTCTTAATTTATTTTCTGTTCTCTTCAAATTATTGTAATATTCAACCAAATGAACTCTTCTGTCATCATATTCTTAAATGGATTAATCTTCTTCTTCAGAAATCTTTTATAAGTTAGTATATAAATTCTATTCTAAATTTTATAAAAGTTATTTAAGTCTTTCAAAAACTTCAATATATCTATTTATTGTTTAAATAATATATAATACCCTCCATTTTATGTGAGCATTTAAGCAAAGATAGTTGAAATTTAACTCATGATATTAGTTGTCTTTAATTTGACTGCATCTTAAATCATTCTCAAAGAGATCTCTGACATTTAAGCCAATGAAGCACCTCCAGATTAGAAACTATCTAAGATTTTCAAACTTTCTTATATTGATCTTAAGGCATCAATATGATCTTGTTTTTTAGCATTATAATTTTAAGCACCTGCTTATCTAATTGAATCTAAGATCTTAATATCAGTATCAGTTGCCTAATGTGATAAATATATTTTAATTACTTTTTGACTATCCAAATTGTTATCTAATTCAGCATCAGCCTTCTTTTTTGAAGTTGAACAATTTTCATATTATTCAGTTGCTCTATTCAATACTTATTCAGCATCTTTAACGTCTTTAGTTCTTAATTCTAATTCAGCACTGCATTGATTTCTTTAATCTGTGTATAATTAATCATGTCTGATTTATTCTGAATCAATAGATGCTCTTAAGCTATCCAAAAAGTTGACTGCTGTATCAACAGAACCACCTGTAGTTAATTTACTTTCTAATTCTGTCAAAATACTAACCAAGGATGGCTTACTCTTACCAATAATTGGATATCTATTGTTAATATAAATAGAACTCACTTGTGAATGAGATCACCAGCAAAGGCATTTCCTACTAACAATAACACTAAAGTCACTGCAATTACTTTCATTATTATAATTAAAATAAAAACGGATTAAATTAAATACTTAAATATATAATCATAAAAGTTATTAATAAAATAAAATATATGCTTATTATTAGAGTACATCATTGTTATTTACTTATTTGGTCTTTTAATCATTGAATAACCACCATTTATTTTATCGTTTACAATAAGAATAATAATGACCTTATTCTAAAGATCCAGAATGTACAATTATTCCAACTAAACTGNTTTCTAACCTTATTATATTAAAATATCAAATTTACTTTCTTTCCTCTTGCACTATCAATTATGGCTGATTATTAATCTTAACAAATATCCATAGTAGTAATATGATCTCTTAATTTATTTTCTGTTCTCTTCAAATTATTGTAATATTCAACCAAATGAACTCTTCTGTCATCATATTCTTAAATGGATTAATCTTCTTCTTCAGAAATCTTTTATAAGTTAGTATATAAATTCTATTCTAAATTTTATAAAAGTTATTTAAGTCTTTCAAAAACTTCAATATATCTATTTATTGTTTAAATAATATATAATACCCTCCATTTTATGTGAGCATTTAAGCAAAGATAGTTGAAATTTAACTCATGATATTAGTTGTCTTTAATTTGACTGCATCTTAAATCATTCTCAAAGAGATCTCTGACATTTAAGCCAATGAAGCACCTCCAGATTAGAAACTATCTAAGATTTTCAAACTTTCTTATATTGATCTTAAGGCATCAATATGATCTTGTTTTTTAGCATTATAATTTTAAGCACCTGCTTATCTAATTGAATCTAAGATCTTAATATCAGTATCAGTTGCCTAATGTGATAAATATATTTTAATTACTTTTTGACTATCCAAATTGTTATCTAATTCAGCATCAGCCTTCTTTTTTGAAGTTGAACAATTTTCATATTATTCAGTTGCTCTATTCAATACTTATTCAGCATCTTTAACGTCTTTAGTTCTTAATTCTAATTCAGCACTGCATTGATTTCTTTAATCTGTGTATAATTAATCATGTCTGATTTATTCTGAATCAATAGATGCTCTTAAGCTATCCAAAAAGTTGACTGCTGTATCAACAGAACCACCTGTAGTTAATTTACTTTCTAATTCTGTCAAAATACTAACCAAGGATGGCTTACTCTTACCAATAATTGGATATCTATTGTTAATATAAATAGAACTCACTTGTGAATGAGATCACCAGCAAAGGCATTTCCTACTAACAATAACACTAAAGTCACTGCAATTACTTTCATTATTATAATTAAAATAAAAACGGATTAAATTAAATACTTAAATATATAATCATAAAAGTTATTAATAAAATAAAATATATGCTTATTATTAGAGTACATCATTGTTATTTACTTATTTGGTCTTTTAATCATTGAATAACCACCATTTATTTTATCGTTTACAATAAGAATAATAATGACCTTATTCTAAAGATCCAGAATGTACAATTATTCCAACTAAACTGTAATTGATACCATAAAAAGTGGATTCAAATGAAAATTTAACATGTTGAATTATTTTGTTGTATTTTGGAAAAAACTTAAATCTTTTTAAATGAATAATAAGATATTATGGTAATTTAGTTATTTTTGTTTTTTTTATTGCAGTTTTTTTTTAATAACAATTATCGCATTTATAATCTTAAATCAATTCATCATTAAGAAACTCATCTAAAGATTAATTTATAGTATTTATTTTCATTAATGCCAAAGATAATGTTATAAAATCTTCCATTATTTAAGACTTTTTATAACAATTTTTACAAATAATTTCACTAACTATCTATCCTTTCAGATATTTATCAATAACATTCAGTAATTTAGTCTATTGTTATCTATCCTTCTTATTGAAATTATTTATTTCATCTTCCAAATTAGACAATAAAAACAACAAAAATTCTTATGCATCATGTTAATGTTTTGGATTGAATTTTTTGCTGATATTATTACGCAAAGAATTAATTTTTATATAATCATTTTAAGTATCTTTAAGTTACCTAAGAAATTCTTAATAATTTGTACAAAATGTCATATCTTATATATGCTATGTATTTATGCTGTTTAGTATTAAATTGTTAAGCTCTTTTATACACATCATACATTATAAACAAGAATGCATGTAACAATAATACAATTCATTCTTTAACCCTTTAATTGGAATCTCAGGATTTTTATCTAATTTGGGTACATAAGAAACAATGCTTATTTCAACTGATTTTGCCCTGTCAGTTGTAGAACTAGCATTAGAAGAAGGAGATCGAGGAATTTTTTCATCTAAGATTTCAGGACCTCCACTATATTCTTCAAGAAGGAACTTCCATACTGTCTCGTTTACCACATAAAAATCCACATTCCTCACTAAATTTTTCTATTAGAGTAAATCAGTATTGTCAATTGGACCTGGTAATGTACTCGAATTATCATATAAGTATGTTGTGTATTTTTATGCCCATACTCCATTCAATCTATACCAATCAGAATCACTATTCTTTTTAAGATCGACTAATCTTTTAATTAATTAACATTCCAATTCTCTTCTTGTGTTTCCTTAAGCATTTCTAAATGAATTTTATAATTTGAGTATTTGAGGAACTTCATTAGAATAAGATGGAGCCTTTTTTTAAGGGAACTAGGGAACCTGTTAATTTATAGAGCTGCTTAATTTATAACTTTATTACATTACTTATCTTCTTCATTCAAGTTTTCACTATTGTTATCAGTGTCTTTTAATGATTACATATTACAAAATTAAATAAAAACAATATATTATCAAATAAATTCAAATCATTTAATATATTTTATCTATTATGACACAAATATATATATTGCCATAAGTTTTAATAAGTACATACTGGTTTATATAACTATTCCATTATAACAAAATTGATATCTATTTATCTAGATATTATGTGAATATTAAATCTGAAATTTAAAAAAAAACTAAAAAAAACTAAAAGATGTTCTGAATATTATTTATTTAAAATAATATTTTATAATGTATTAAGTTTATTAGAAAAGCAATAAATTATATATATATTTTTTTTAAATTAAATATGAATCAAAGCTCATAGTGTTAACACATCGAATTAAATTGTTTAGGATCATTGAATTAATGAACTTCAAATATTTTCAATTCACTAAATTAATCATCATTCTCAATTTTATCAGCATACTCTTCAGATACATCGGTATAAAAATTTGATCTAATGATGCCTCTTTAACTTCTTAATAAGATAATTGTCTATCGTCAACTTTATCGCTCAATATATATAGTGTTGAAAATGATTGAAATAAGAAAAAAAATCAGAAATAATTGGATTAGCAATCATAAATTATTAATTACTATTATTCATTTCAGCTAAAACTTATAATTGATACAAAAATGCATTATATAAAATAGTATTGTAATTCTTATATAATCAATAATAAATTAAATATTTAAGTGATGTTGATATCAAAAAAGACTTTGGAAGCAATGTGTATTATTAAGGAATTTAATTTCAAATTTTATATCAAAACAACTTGAAAAAGCCACTAATTACTTAATTTTATTAGAGTGTAATTTTATAGTTTCATTTTCAATTAAATAATATTTTCTTGATTAAATAAAGTTCTAATATTATTATAAAGTTTAAATGTTTTTATCTCATGTTTAATCCAACAAATCTTATAATTATTGTGTCGATTGATTATTATGGAAGAAGTAGTAATATTTAAGTTATAATATGAATTTATCAATTAGATAATATATTTCTTTTTTATAATTATTTTCAAAATTTATTAACCAAATCCTAACTGTATGAATATTAAACCTTCTCTTAATAATATTTATATTCTCTTAAAGAAATATCATTACAATATTTTATGATATTCAACCCTAATTATATCAAATAAATTTATTATTTATTTTAATTATTGAAATTGATTTCTTAGATTAAATTAAAAACGCTTTAGATCTTATCTATTATATTTCTTGAATCATCTAATATTTTTTATTAGAATTTAAAGCTGTTAAGAAAATTATAAAGATTTGCTATAGAAGAAAATAAAGTGTATCATTTTTCCATTTTATTAAAAAAATATTTGATGATTTGCCTTAGAATAGAGTTGAAACACTCTAATGGATGTTAGATGATTTAATCTTGAAAGAGTGAGAGATAAGAAAGAGTTTAATAAGTTAATAATTTCGCACTATTTTATTCTTGGATTTAAGAACACTTTAAAATAATGTCTAGAAATAATTATTGTCAATTCTAAGGTGTTCCATGAGAATATAAGATTAAAGCAAGTACTATTTAATCTTTATTAGAATAAATTCTTCAATATCATTTTTAATAATAAAATTTTTTTCTTTTTCTAATAATGCTCTTATGAGGACATATCTTTTTTGATTTAATTATAATAAATAATAGGATTTCTAACAATGGATTAATAGTGGGAGATGGTTTAATAATGGGAGAAGATTCTTCAGGGTTTTTAATTGAATTAGGTCAATATTTTATTTTGTCAAATTATCCATTAGAGTAATAAGTTTCGATACAAAAATGCCCTTATAAATTAAAATTCATATTAAAATAAATTCAATAAGGGAGATAAGAGGAGATTACATATTGATTTAAGGTTTAATATTCATTTGAATTGAATTTGTGTTTGAAAAGGAGTGTGCTGTATGTAAATAATATATTTTTTTTGAATATTAAAAATTAAAAATGGCTTCTCATTTTTTCTAAAATTTCTCAACTTTTCTTTTATTTTTTCTTTTCTTATCTAATGAAAAATAAAATGATAGGATTACTCTCATCATCATCTACATCAATTTAATTGTTCAGCTAATAAGCTAAAGTTTCTTAGATAAAGGGTCTTTGGATATCAATAGGTTTATCAATAATCTTGGCATTAGAATTAACCATTTAATCATTAAGAGTCAATTATAAATGGACTGGAAGACGTAAAACCTCCTGCAAATAAGAGAACGATGAATACAAAAGTAAATAACTTGATAATTAACATTTCTTCAATACTTCCTCTTTAACGAAAATACATAAATTCCTTTAAGATCTCCATATTTCTTAAATTCTTAATAGACATTAAAACAAAAACATCTTTATCTAGTTCAACTTATATCTTAATCTTTTTAACTCTTCTTGGTTCACTAGAGGAAGATGGAGATTTTCTTTTGAACCACCATACTTATTTATTGTCGAATCTCTTGTTTTTCTTCTTTTTACTTATGTTTCTACTCTTATATCTTCTATAGGATTCACTACTATCACTCCTAGCTTTAAATTATTACTAAAATTAAATTTAAATTTTATACATTTCTTTTTAAAAAAACGTTCTAATTATTCTTTATCTAACATTATCACTCATACCATTAATGTGTGCATGAAGCACATAAAAATGTATTTTGAACTAACTATTAGACTAATAACGTTTTCCTATCTTATTTTTGAAAGATGATGAAGTAGATTAATCATTAAAAGAGGTAAGCTTCTTAATTGAAGTTTTATGACCAGGATCATTTCGACTTATTTCTTATTTTAAACCATCTTCTTGTAGTTTTTCCTACTAAATCATATTAATAATTTAAAATATTAATAATAAATGTTTTATGTAACCATTTCTTGATTGCATAATTTCAATCTATACTTACCAAATCAGAATTGGATATGATAAATCATTATGTTTCTATAGTACAATCATTCTTATTTTGATTATTAAAATATAATATATAATGAATAAATAGAGACGTTAGAAAATATTACCAATACAATAGATTTAGGCCAAACTGAAATTGCTGAAACAAAGTATAAGAGCAACCGAAATTAAGTCTTTAAGATCATCGTGTCTATTTACTGAAACAACTCCTAATGAGAAATTTAATATTATTAAACCTAAGCAAAATCATAATAGTAGTTTAGATGGAAGGACTATGTACATTAAGCCTACTTTCAAGAAAAAGATGAAAACAACTAAAAGGTAATTAAATATATAACAGAAGTCCTCAATCCATTAAAGTTAAAACAAGCTCAATTATAACATAATCTAAAACTACTGCGTCACCTTAAAAACATATCAAAAATATATTGTAAAGTTACATCATGAGCAAAATCCCAAAAAGTAGAAAAACTTCTAAGTCTATATCACCTTAAAAGTTAAAAAAAGTGTTAAGTCCACATTAAAGATAGATTAGAAGTTAAAGTAAGAAAAAGCTAAAATAAAAGTAAAAAACAAAAGTAAGTCCTCAAATAATAAAAAATAAGAAATTAAAAACTTCGGTGCAGTATTATTAACCTTAAATAAGTAAAATCAGTTCTATCAGATTAAATACATTCTCTGTAAGTGAAGATTCTCATAAAATGTTATTGAATTCAATAATTGAAGAATTATAGTTGATGAATGAGAAATAAATGATTGAATTATAATAATTTCTAAGAAATATCAAATAAGAAAAGAAAGATGAAGAATTACAAACAAGTTTACATGAAAAATTTGATATGTAAAAACAACATTAATAATTCGCATTTCAAGAAAGTCTTCCTTTAAATATCATAAATGAAATATGTCATCAAAGAGAAGAAGGTATTACACTTAGAGTTAATATGTAAATGAATGCATTTAATAATTTATTCTAATAACAAAAGATATCTCCTAGATAATTTTAGATTAATAATCAAGTTCTTTAATAATGGGAAATCAAATAGACTAAAAAATTGCATCGTTATTAAGAACATCTTAATAATATACAAAATGTCACAAATAAAATATAATCAAAAACATAAAAAGATTTAAAATATGTTTAAGAATTATAATTAAATAAATCCATCGTAATCTAATAGTTATGTATTATATTAATCTTATTTAGAGTAAATTTCATTCGAGTCTAGCTATTTAGATTAATCTGATTTTTAATTAAGTACTCCAAAATAAAACAAGAATATCAATTTCAAGAGAAAAGACATTATTATTGATATTGAATATTAATCTTAATAAAATTAAGTTGAAATTTAAACAAATGTTGGAACTATCAATTTATTCATTGAAATTCTATGTTAATATATTATAGGTATAAAATAATCATAAGGTTTAAATTAGAAACTAACTTATACTCATTTATTAAACGAATGAATTATCCTTATGGTTTATAACCCTTTAGTAAACTAAGATAAATACATGGATATGAAGTAATAGATGATGATAAATATTAATATCCAATATAGGAATATATCTTTACTGAATTATAAGTATGATATTATCATAGAATAAGCAAAATAGTTCCTTATATGAAAAGATCCATAATAGAGCCATATTTGATACATTAAACGAAATTCTGAATTAATATCGTCCATTTTATAAATGCAATGGATAACCATATCCATGGTAATATAATAGAAATCTTGTGGTTATCTTATATAACAATGAAAATATTAATCGATTATTAGAGAAAGCAAAGGAAAAATTAATTTCTTATGCATCTGTTTTATGTGGATTAATTAATGATGATGATGAAGAAAATATAGAATAATTTTTAGATTATGAATAAGTATTGTAAAACTTAGTGAATTCCGATTATTTGTCTCAATTACGAAATGAAAGATTATAGTTATGTATTAACAATGAAGTATCGATTAATCTCATAATTTATAGTTACAAGAATGTGAATATATTTGGTCATATACAGATGCAACTGAAATAATGGTTGAAATAACAGATCACATTTTCGAAAATCTAATAAATGAATTAACACTTGAATTATTATGAAATAAATATTAATTCGTTTAATAAATTATAAACTAATTTATAATCTTTGTACAATTTCTATTTAAAAGTAATAATAGAATCTTATTAAAAAGATAGTATTAATATTTATAGATTAAACTTAATAGTATCATAAAATTAATTAAATAGTTTATAAAATTTATTTAATTTCAATTGTACTAATAGGTTTTTATAAGAAATAGTCCATTCCCACTTCTTTACACATTTGTTTAGTCTACATATCAGTATAAGCAGTTTAGGCAATAATAATTGGTGGATCTAAGTCTGCTGAATGGCAAAATTCTATTATTTATTGAGTGGCTTAGATTCCATTCATGATAGGCATTTCAATATCCATAAGAATGACTTGATAATATTATTATTTGAATCTTTCTAATCCTTCTTTACCATTGTGTGCTGAATCACATTTAATACTTAATCTTGATAACATAGTAGTCAATGCATAGATATTAACAAATTCATCATCTACAATAAGGATTTTAGCCCTTTCTTCAGCATATTCACTTACAACTTAATCAATTTAAGGATATCTGTGTTTTTTTGGTTTTTTTGGTCCTTCTCTAAAAACATATGGAGCACAAATAACATCATCTGGTTCTGAAACATCTTTTTTTGTATAAGAGATTTATAAATACTTTCTGATTATTTCTCAATTAATTTTTATTTTCCTTTTAATGAGAATGTAAATGATGATTATCTTTTATTATCGCTAGGACTAATAAGAAAACTTTATTCTAAAAAGCTTCTACCTGAACTATGTATTTTATTGTATTTGATAGTTCTCCTACTAACAACATCAGGTATATCCATAGTTTTGAGATCCTCAACAAAGAACCAAAATAGAGAGCCAGTTTTATTATTGGATTGAAAATGTATACCAGATTCGTAATTAGGAGATAGACCATTACAAATAGTATTACTTATCATTAAACCTAAACCATAATTAAGATTAGACTTTCGTTTATGTGGTTATGAAAGAAACTCTTATAATCTAGTCTAAGTGTTTTAATCCATTCCAGAGCCTGTATCTTAGACACTAACTTTAATAAAATATTAATCATGAAAAGTTTATTCTTAAACATCGATGGTGACACTACCAGAGAATGTAAATTTTTAAGCATTTGATAATAAATTATTAAGTACTTACTTAAATCTTTATCCATCTGTATATATTTAAAATTCATTCATCTTAACATTAAGTTATACACCTTTCATATTAAGTTGTTATCTATATAATTCAGCTACTTCATTAATTAATAAATATATGTTTTATATCTAAATAGTGAGTACAAAATTCTTAGATAAGATTAAACTGAAATCTCTAACATCTTAAACAATAGAATTGAGTATGTAACATGAATTCAAAATAGGTTAGACACAAGTATTTACTATATAATCATCATCAATATCTTCAATAGCATTTTCTGCTAGAATTCTTATGCAATTTAATGAAGTACTGAATTCATGACTAAAACTGCGAAATAATTGATTCATTAATTATTTAGTAACTTTTCTTTCCCAATAATCTCTAATTTCAAACATTTCAATAAAATTCAAACCTACATTATCATTAATAATTGTTAATTCAATCATATAATTATCTCCAAAAGGTGTAGAACAATCTAATACTTTACATGTAATTAGATCTGTAGATTCTATCAATTATAATAGAGTATCAATTTTATATTTCTTGAATTATTTATCAAGTTTATGGATTATGATCTCTTAAAATATTTATTAAATAAGGACAGGATCATCAGTACCCATAAGTTTACGTTAAGAGGATGTTTGAGATATCAATTTACCTTAGCGATTAACTACAAGATCAAATTTATCATTATGATGAATTATAATACTATCTGATGGATTGATCCATGTTTTGGAATAACTATGATTCTTTGAAATCTAATGAATTTTATCTATAGGTTGATGAGTTGATAACCAAATTAGAAGAATAAATGTATAACCTATTAATGTGTGTTCATAACTAAATTCTAAATTGACACTAACCACTATTGCAATGAATGGAAGACAAAGAAACATCTTTTTAGGATGATGATGATTCTAGATTGGAATTATATAAAGCAACCTTTTATTGGGAATAATGCAAAATACATCTCACTGATATGTGTAGAACCTATAGTTCTTAATGTATTGCCAACAAGCAACAGTATAAGCAATTCAATTCGATCGTTCTTAAAGTTTCTTCTCTTGAAACGTAATGCAAACCATATGCTTAAAACAGCCAAGGATGATAANCTTTCGTTTATGTGGTTATGAAAGAAACTCTTATAATCTAGTCTAAGTGTTTTAATCCATTCCAGAGCCTGTATCTTAGACACTAACTTTAATAAAATATTAATCATGAAAAGTTTATTCTTAAACATCGATGGTGACACTACCAGAGAATGTAAATTTTTAAGCATTTGATAATAAATTATTAAGTACTTACTTAAATCTTTATCCATCTGTATATATTTAAAATTCATTCATCTTAACATTAAGTTATACACCTTTCATATTAAGTTGTTATCTATATAATTCAGCTACTTCATTAATTAATAAATATATGTTTTATATCTAAATAGTGAGTACAAAATTCTTAGATAAGATTAAACTGAAATCTCTAACATCTTAAACAATAGAATTGAGTATGTAACATGAATTCAAAATAGGTTAGACACAAGTATTTACTATATAATCATCATCAATATCTTCAATAGCATTTTCTGCTAGAATTCTTATGCAATTTAATGAAGTACTGAATTCATGACTAAAACTGCGAAATAATTGATTCATTAATTATTTAGTAACTTTTCTTTCCCAATAATCTCTAATTTCAAACATTTCAATAAAATTCAAACCTACATTATCATTAATAATTGTTAATTCAATCATATAATTATCTCCAAAAGGTGTAGAACAATCTAATACTTTACATGTAATTAGATCTGTAGATTCTATCAATTATAATAGAGTATCAATTTTATATTTCTTGAATTATTTATCAAGTTTATGGATTATGATCTCTTAAAATATTTATTAAATAAGGACAGGATCATCAGTACCCATAAGTTTACGTTAAGAGGATGTTTGAGATATCAATTTACCTTAGCGATTAACTACAAGATCAAATTTATCATTATGATGAATTATAATACTATCTGATGGATTGATCCATGTTTTGGAATAACTATGATTCTTTGAAATCTAATGAATTTTATCTATAGGTTGATGAGTTGATAACCAAATTAGAAGAATAAATGTATAACCTATTAATGTGTGTTCATAACTAAATTCTAAATTGACACTAACCACTATTGCAATGAATGGAAGACAAAGAAACATCTTTTTAGGATGATGATGATTCTAGATTGGAATTATATAAAGCAACCTTTTATTGGGAATAATGCAAAATACATCTCACTGATATGTGTAGAACCTATAGTTCTTAATGTATTGCCAACAAGCAACAGTATAAGCAATTCAATTCGATCGTTCTTAAAGTTTCTTCTCTTGAAACGTAATGCAAACCATATGCTTAAAACAGCCAAGGATGATAACATTGTATAGACTTGGTAGCTACTTTGTAAACCGAAGAGATATTCAGCCAATGATGCTCCACTAATTCCTACAATATACAAAAAATCAATAATAATCATATTTATAGTAAAGCATTCAAATATTCTCTAATCTATTGGGAATGTTAAGCTGATGAAATTGTTTGTCTAATCAATTCTCTCTTATCTTCCATTTCAGATGACATTATATGAATATCTCTAAAATTGGTATCCTATACCATATGATATACTGTATAATTTTAGAATTCATCCTTACTAATCATCCCTTATTTATCTTCATCCATGAAATCATACATTAAAAGTACTCTCTATTCAAATGTTCCTTTCTGTAATTGTTAAATATATTTACTGAATTCATCCCATTATATCTTATTTTTCTTAAATAAAACACCATGTAATTTATTAATCATATATTTATCATCTATACAAAATTCTTCTGATTATAAAAATAATCTTGTTCCATATGATCTATTTTCATAATATGTACATAAAATATCAAAAAGAATTTTTAATCCTTATTAATTAACTTATGGTAATGAATAATAAAACATTTTATAATATCCCTTTGAAATCTATTCCATTTTATGTTATGAACATAAATCAATATAACATAATTTACAATAATGAATTTTACATTATTAACATAATATGACTGCTTCATTTAATTAACATTCTGCACATACAATTAAAAGTTATTTTTTTTTTTTCAAAAACTTTGATATCTAATTTAATTTCTCTAATACAATATCTCTCTCCATTCTATAATATAAAGTTAGATATGATCCACTATCATTCTAAGTTGTCTATTGTAACAATGATTCATTTGGTATTGTTATACTATTCATATTTTATTCATTCATATTCAATCTCTATATCAATTTATTATTCTACTTTTCAAGTCTACTTATTCTATTAATCAATTATTAACATTCATCCTCCTTCTATTTTAATTCAGAATTTTGTCTTTTTTTATTTTTTAAATCTTCTTCCCATTCAGTAACCCAACTAGGTTTATCTGGAATTATCCATTATATAACATATTTTAGAATAACATTTAAGAATATAAACAACAAAAATAACCATAACATATTTGTGCGTGTTACACTTCCATCTGGAAAAAGATAATTATTAATCTAATCTCCTTATTTTAGAAATACTAAAGCATAATTAGTAAAGACTCCAATAAAACTTAAAAATTCCCATATATACATCCAATCACCTATTCCAGCAACCCTTTATGCTTAAGGTCTCTTGAATACACTATTAAAACTGTATATCTTCATTCTTATTTCAATTATATTCATAATCATTGCAATAGTAGAACCTATAGGAAATGCAGCAGTAAATAAAGTAATAAAACCAAAATCTATCATAGTTTCCATGAAATAATTAGTCATTAAATACTTATAGGCAGGTAATTTGAGACCATTTAATTCAACACTATCCATATCTATATTTTATTATATTTGTTAAGTTGTCAGATTGATTACAACTCTACTTTAAGATTTAAGGGGTACATTTGTTGTTTATTTCCATAATAGATCTATTGGATCTTAATATTATTTTTAATTCAATTTTTCTTTAAACAATTTAAAATATGAACTTTCTTTATATTTATAAATAATTTATGGAATCATCATTATAGCTATTAAGTAACTAAGTTATTTAATAACTAAAACTGGTACAAGAATATAGAATATCTCTTCATAACTACTATCTTATTTAATAAAGGCTGTATAAAATACTGCAATGTAACTATTAATAAATTTGAATAAAACATTTTTGTAAATCAAAGAACTTTCATAATGTTCTTCATATTTATGATTCTCTTTCTCTACAAAATAATGAACTAATGCTGTATATATTATATTTAAAACTGAAACACAAATACCTTATAATACACCCACTAATAGTTTATAATAACTTGAATTTGTATAAGTCTATTAGATATAATCAATAGTAACAAATAATCCAACAATAAAAGAACTAAATAATATCAATACAGGAATTGAAATTAAAAACATTATTGTAGAATGTCCTTTCTATTCATATTTTTCAATTTGATGAGTAATATGATTCATATATTCATCTCCTTAAAATTCTAATCTTGTTGTTAATTCTTATTAATTCATTTAATCCAATAAACCCCATCTTGCATTCATTTCACATTATTTCCTCTTCCAAAATTCAACTGTTATTGTTGACCATATTGACATATATATTACATATAGTGGAAGGAATAATGAATTAAAATCATTAATTGCCAAAATATATAATTAAAGAATAAGTCCTGGAATTGCTGCAAATATCATAAAACAAGTTAAATAAGATTTAAATGCAAAAAAATATGCAATTTATTCTCCAAAATATAATCTCAAAATTGAACATGATTAAAAATTCTAAGTTTATCCTTCTTTAAAATAATCTTATAATTATTTAAAAGGTTATGTATGATACCATTTCTATTATTCTAACCATTATCTTCTAATTTTAGTTGTCCCTCCAAATGAATGCATACGATAAGTATCTATAATTACTTTCTATTATATTAATTCCTATATATTTAGAATCCTATTCAAATGTTCCTCAATAATTGATTATCTTTAAATAGAACGAAAAGGTTCAAAATGACCATTTGAATCATAAGGTTCATAATCATAACTATCCAATAATTTTACTTAAACCTTTTAAATCATAGCTTACATTTGTAATTATGACAATGGACTTCTTAACATCAAATAATAAAAATTATCAATATGGGATTTTGATAAATATACTTCAAATTTAGCATTTATAAGAACTTAAATCTAAAAATTTAATTTTGTAATATTTTAGGCATTACATTTAATAACAAAATCAGGAATAATAAGATCTTAACTAATTGAATATAGATTATCAACTTCTATTTCTTTGATAGCTTAAAATAAATATAAATTGCGTTTATGAATTGGATCATATTTTTATGTTGGTAATTTACAAGTAAATAGGAAATTCTAAATATTTTTAATTGATTTTAGTTTAAGTTTCTCATTCTCTCTAAATATTGCACGTGTCTCCTCAGAATTACTAAAATCTACTGGAGTCCAGTATTCGCTATTTTAAATATCTATTCTGCATCCAAATTAAATTAAATAATTCATCATTTCTATATTATTTTACAATACAGCTATATGTAAAGGAGTGTTTCCAAATATATCTACTTGATCTAATAAAGAAATCTAATTATTTAAATAATCATATTCCCATTCATCTAAGTGCACAAGATATTATTAGTATCTTTTTTTATAAATATTCATTTCCTCCTTTTTAAGAGAAAAAATCCTATTATTTTAAGGAGTAGCATTACGAGATAAAAGCATTCCTTAAGAAAATGGTTTAATTTAACTTGAATGTAAAAGGTACAAAAAAGCTTCAATATTTGAATTCTTGATAGAGTTGTGTAATGCTGTTGAATCCATATATATAGCCAATGGATAGAATCTATTGAGTACTGTGAATCTTTCTAGATTCGTTATTCTGAAATGACATGACCAATAAAAAAGAGATAATCTTAATGCTGGATTTGAAATGTATCGTTCATATTCACAAAATCTATCATAAACTAAATTCTTAACTCTTTATGACACTCTTGATCTTTCATAGTCAATAAGGAACTAAATGAGGAATTCAATTATTAGAGTTGCGACAACTTTTTTGTTATTCCGTCCCGCCAGATCTAATGGATAATAACCTTCATAGTCAGTTTTGAAAAGTATAGCTTCCTTTTATATGAGAAGCTACATGCTTTCCAAATCTCCATAGAAAGCAACCCAATGAACTGGTGCCCAAAGAGTTCGAGGATTAAAACTATTTAAATCTCCATCTTCAAGAAACTATTCCAAACAAGCTGCTCTTTCATTATAATTAGCAAAACAGCACATCTATACAGCATTGATACCAAATTTATCATTTAAATTAATGTAAGCATGCATGGGCTATTGCAATTTTGAATATTCAGTCAAAATTTCACGAATAAGTTTTGGGTTTTATTGAAGAGCAGCACGATGAAGAAGATTACGACCATTGTTATCGACTGTATTGAAATCAATAGTTGTTTATTCAAGAGAACGAGCAAATTCAATATCACCTATGCTTTGATTGAGTTCTTCCCTTTCGACAAATATTTTTTATATTCGATTAATCATTAAATTGATTACAAAAACATAAACATTTATTCCTCTAATCTAAGTTATTTTACACCATATTCATTATTTCCATATCTATATAAATGATCGAATTTTCCATATATATTCTCTTTCGATAACTAAAAAAGTGAAATTAAAATATATACTTTAGATTTTTCATCATTTTCTGTAAAATCAGTAATCTTTTACAATCCTGAGAATAATAACAATAATTTTAAGGGTTATTATGATAATTATCTTGGATTAAAAGTAGTAGTCTATATAGTTTCATCACTTTTCTCTGTTTCAATCAAAATCTTCATATCGAAATCATCTTAAGATGATACATTATTTTTATACCCCTATCTAATAACCTATGAAATTTGGACTCTATAGTAACAGTATAACCCCAATAATAGCCTTCCTTTTTAGCATCCTAACTTGAAACAGGAGTACCAGTCAAATGAGTAGATGTAGGATCATCTAACTTTAATGTGACTCTAGTTCCTGGTTATAATGGATAATTGATTAAGACTTATCTTTTTAGTCCAATTTCCACCCAAGATGTATCTCCTTTACTTGGTCTTTCAACAACAACACCTTCCCTATAGGGACATACCTATTCTGTCAATAAATGATGTTTTGATTCTATTGGATTCATGAGACCAACATTTTTTAGATCTGAGTGAATTGGAAACAAGTACTTTCTCAAATATTATGGTGTTTCCAAATATTATAAATTTCTTACAACATATGATGCCACATCAAATTATTTACTTTTTGGTATACTAAAATGTAAATATGTACATACTATGAATAATCTCTTAGGATGATTACTTCATCTACTTGAAAGATTGCAAACATCCTTGCCAATTAAGACATAAAATAACTTCTCAATTCAGATGATTAAGCATTAGAGATAATTGAATCTGGAATGGCAATTGTAATGTGTCTTTATTCAACTGATAATTTCTTCTTTTATTGTTCCTTTTTCTTTTTTTTATCTTTCTTAATCTCTTGTACTTCTTAGATTACTTATTCTGATAACTTCTCATCATCAAACTTTACAATAGATTTCACTTTATTCTTTTTATCCATAATTAAGATATATATATATTTATCACATGAAATCATCATCATCATCAACGTTATCAAAGTCTTCATCTTCATCTTCTATTATATTTTTAGTCTTTCCAAATGATATTCCTTTAGGTGGACCTTACTATTGACTCTTCTTCTTTATAGCTTCTTCTGCTTCAAATTGTTTTCTCTTTTTAATATAAATTTCTTCCACAATCTTAAATAATTCTTCATAATGATTTAATAATAGTTTTCCTTCCAATTTAGTTAACAACGTCTTCAAGAATTCGGTTGTATAATTAGGACCAACATTTTACAAAGCAGCAGCAAAATTTTCACCAATTTTCTTCAAATCCACTTATCCAATATTCTTTTTAACTGGTTTGTCTCCTCCAAATAAATCAAAAACATTATTCATATCAGATTCCTTTGATTGTACTTCAGATTTCTACTATTAAGTTTAAGGTTATTTAGACTTGTCATCTTACTTCTATTCTTACTTCTCCTCTTATTCTTCGTCAGCATATTATTCCCAATCCTCTACGTCTGACATTTGGATAATTAAATTAAAGAATAATCACAACTTTAATTCACACTTTATATATACAATAATATTTTACAAACTCTTACCTTTTTTATAGTTGCTTATTTCACTATTATTCTCATAAATCTTAATGAAATATTATTTCTATTTAAATCCAAAAATACATTCACAACTATTAAATAGATGAATTTTTGTCTATATCAATTAATCACTCAAACACTTTTAGAAAAGAACCTAATCAAAAAAATGTTAAAAAAATAAACTTATAAATATCTATAAACAAATAATTGATATCTGAATTGATATAGATTAATAATATTGTAATTACATAAATACTGTCAACAACGATCAAATTATTATTATATAAATTTTTGCATATCTCCACCTATTTTAACATATTCTTCATATAAATCTGACACCATTATATTTCTACCTGGATGATTGGAAGGCAATTTATTCTTTTAGGTAAGAGCAGAATCAAAAAACAATCTCTTCATAGTTTATTCAGATGGTCTTTGCATATCAGATTATCTTAATGCATTTTCAGATGGTCTTTAGACTTCAGATCTTCTTTCATATTAAAATTTTTAGGATTCTTAAAAGGAACTTTATTCAGTTCTCCTTTGATATTCAGTAGCATAATAAATATTTTTTGGTTCATTGCTAGAATATCTCTATTCTATATTAATACTAGGTCTCGATTCAAATTACAATTAATAACTCAAACGAGCATCTTAAGAATATGTCTTATGATCTTCTTATTTTTTTTCGCAATTTACTGATCCTCTAGATTCATATCCAGAGTTGGATGATATTACTTAATTTACATATGATTATTATTTATGTTTTATAATGTCTGGTTTATTGAGATTACTCAATCTTTAATCAAAATAAATGTTATGTTCCTCTAAATGGCGTTGATCTCTTTCTTTTTTTTCAAAATTGCGATCTATATCCACTTTTTGAGTAATTTTAATGTTACCATTTTCTATTTTTGCAGGAGTTTAGTAAGTATTAAATGAAGACATAGTAGTAGAACTATTACGCTATTCAGTTTGAGCATGAATAGGCATAGAGGCTCTTTGAGTAAACAAATCTGTTTTCATTTTTGAATTTATTAAAGCTTTGTTGATATATTTATAAAGATTAATTGAACCTTCCTTATTGTTTGATAATTATTGTATACCTTATTCTATTCTAAATATGATGGTTTTGACTAATTAATAATCTTAAGTATTGATTATTTCTTATAAACTGGATATCATTTCATTTAATATTTTTTATGTATATGGCATATTCTCTTTTTATAATTCCTATTGTAATTTTTATTTCAAAGTTTATAATTTAATATTAATTCTTTATATTGACATTTATTTCTAATCATAGAATGAATCCTCCATTTTTGGAAATTAAGTGTAAACTGTCATATCTAATTGAGTTATTGGTTATTATGCAGGAATCGATTTTTATTCATATGTGGGTATAGTATTAGGGACTGATTAAAATGAACTAGTTTTAGTAGGACTCTATTATTGACTTCCATTTGTTTTTGTGAAACTCTATTAATAATTTAGATTAGATTATCCAACTGTTATAGATTAAGCAAATTGTGCTTAAGCTTTATTTTTAACAGCTTAACTAGAATGTTTACTAGATTAATTAGATTAAAAAGTAAATTGTTTTTCTGAATCTTTTGCTTTATTTGATTAAGGTTATAATTGAGATTCACCTGCATTAATACGTGATCGTAATAATTATGATTTTTCTTATTGAACTTAGGATATATTCTTAAATTTTGTAAGGAATTCTTCTACTAGATTAAACATTTAAGTCAATTATTATTCCTAATTGAATCATATTCAATCTTATACTTTGTATACTGGTATTGTACTATCTGCAATTGATATAGCTGATAAATCTGGGTTGTTAAATTTATCTACAATTTATGAATATTCCTAGGCTACTTGATTGGCATCCAATTCTAATTAATGTTTGATAGTGTTCCTTTTATTTTATTATTCTGGAGCTTTAAGAGTAACAGAATATCTCTCTAACATGTCTTAAATATTATGATTATTTTATACTTAATACTTTATCTTTTAAGTGTGACATATCTTCAAAGAGATCATTTTCATTCAATAATCGCTAATTTTGTAATTTTTGAGATTCAAATTTCTTGTTCTCCTCTCCAAAGGTTAATCTAGCTATTGCATCCTTTTTTGGTGGTGGATCTAAATCAAACTATGGTTGTATTGGATTTAGAAACATCTTATCATGTCTTGATTATTCATTTAAAAACTATAATTTGTTATTAATTCACTACATTTGAGGATTCGTTAAGACTTCCTAATATTTATTCATCAACATGAGATACTCTTTCTGAAGGATTATATTTATATTTATTCATTATATCTTATACTGATGGTCTTTATTATGTTGATTGTACATTATTTTTAGGACTAGATGCTCCACTATTTTTGAAAAAAGGATTCGAAAACATATTTTATATATTATATATATATTTTCTTCTGTTTTTTCAATGGTATGAACATATATTTTATTGAATATTTGTTAATTTGTATTTTAAATATCAGCAGTCCACAGTTGAACTCCATCCCATATAACTCATGTGATCTTAAATTGATGGAACAAGGACTGAATCTGAGCAATTAGGATCTTCATCCAATTAGCAAACAGTGTATGAACTCTTGTGATACCAGATTTCTCTATCAACATGATTGAATCCAAAGTTTTCAGGTGGAACCTAAATGTTATTTTAAATTATCTTACATGTGGAACAGCATCCTTTTCATGAACAACTCTGAAATGAGTAACCTTTGTAAATGATGAGAAATAGTTATAATAAGCTGTATCTCCAACTCTTGGTAAACCAAAAGTACTCAATTGAACTGTGTATCCAGCAATTGCCAATTCAGTTGTGTATAAAGTGGCCATAGCAGCTCCCAATGAGTGACCAGTTACATGAATATTGGCTTTTGGATACAATCCTCTGTATTTTGTGAACAAAGAATCAACTTATGACTTGATGGAGTTGAAGGCATCCAAAAATCCACTGTGAACTTAGCAATTACATGCTGTGTTGTAATTGACCTTATCAAATTGGATGTTGTCCAACCAGTTTTGAATGTTGCTAGAACCTCTAAAGACAACTGTGATGGCATTGTATGATGGGTTGTAGGCTATGTATCCTTTTGTACCCTAAAATAATATATTTCATTATATCTTACAGCAATGTTGTTTTCGAACACTAAGGGCTTTTCGATATTGGGGTAATTTGTGCTAACATATCCGACCTTCCATGTGTTGATGGCTGTGTCTGGACAATAAGCAGCAAAAGACAAAGCAGCCTCTTCAGTTGCTAAGGCTTCATTATAAACGAAAGCACAATTGATTGTTGCAGCTAAGACAACTAAAATCAAAACTGATGATCTCATTTAGATTTTATTTATTTAAATATACTCACAATTTCAAATCTCTCCTTTTAATACCCGTATTATTAATATATATATATATTAATTATAAAATGCATCATAAGATATACAGTTTAATATAAATAACACGACATTGTGAGAGATTTTATTTCAAATTAAACATTAATCTAACTGAAACATAGAAAAATTTATTACTCCTAATTAACTCTAAAATTATTTAACTCCAAAAATTACTCTAAATCATAGAAATTCTCCAAATAATTATATAGAATTTTATTATTTTCAATATCTAATAACCTAAAGATAATAGCTTAAGGTTATTATATTTGGTAAAAAATGTAGAATCAATTAATTAGAATAATTGTTCTTTGTTTTCTAGAATACATATAAAATATATAAGTAATAATATTAGTTACTAATTTCTAATAAATTATTCATTTAATAATTATTCTTAATTTATATTATATAATATTAGAAAGAATATATATACATGATGTTTTATTAAATCTTATATAAATGCCAGAAATTATAATTGTGAATTCATGTCAAATATTAGATGATTTTAAGATATTTAATAATAAAGAAAATACTAATGTATGAAAATCTTATATAAATTAAAAATACTATAGATTAGAATTGATAGATGATGTCACATAAAAATTGATATTTTCATTCTGTCAATTATTCTTTGCAAGAATTGCTAGACCATCCTAAATATGTTAAATGATCTGTCAAATTTGGACTATAAACAGAGGCTGAACATTTTTAATCTTCTCCCTTTATTTCTTGGCAAATTATATAATTTACTCCATCCTTATACCAAATTTCAGTATTAACATGTTCAAATTCATATCTGACAGGTGGTAGATGAGGAGCAATATCCTTCTTATTTGTTAATCTTGAATGGGTAACTTTTAAAGTTGAAAACCAATCATAAAAATCAGAATCACCAACTCTTGGAGATCCAACAGTAACAAGCGTTACTTTAATTCCCATCATAGATAGTTCACTAGCAAATAATGTTGCCATGGCTCCTCCCAAAGAGTGTCCTGTAACATGATATTTTGCATATGGATATTTAATTCTATACTCACCTAGTAACACATCTAAATGAATTTTAAGTGATGTATATGCTGCAAAGAATCCTTCATGAACTTAACATTTGCAAATGGGATTGAATTCAATTTTCTTTGCATCTATGTCAGCTATGAAATTCTTTATATTTGAAGAACCTCTGAAAACAACAGTAATAGCTTAGCTATGTGAATTATAAGCTATATAACCTCTTGTTTCCTATGAATAATTAAATATATTACTAGCTCTATGTTTTCAAATATTTATATCTTACTCAAGTGAGGATATTATTAACTTATAGTACCAACATTCCAACTTAAAATGTTTTCTGGATGACAATAGGCAGCAAAGGATAAGGCAGTTAATTCATTAGCTAAACTTGGATCATAATTAAAGGCAGAAACAATTGCAATGAGAGCAAATACAATTTTCATTTTTTTAAATATTTGTCTTAATGTAGTATCCTGACCACAATTTATACTTAACAAATTATATAATATTATTAAATAATTAATTTTGATTTAGTAATGACTTTATTATTTTTACTATCTATGTATACAACTATCTATTATCTCACTTATCTTTATAGAATTAATAAATTATTAATTTGAATGTATCAAATATCCTTAAATAAATTAATCTACAATACTAAAAATCATAATTTAAATATAATAATTATCTCTATTAATTTAATTATGATTTCTAAAAATCATATATGTAAAATAGTTATATTTGTAATCATTGTTTATAGATATACTTCATTTGCATATAAATAAATGATATTTATTAATCGTATAAATAATTAATAAATTATTTTTCTGTTATTAACATAAATGAACCACAGTTATTACAATAAATCCAACAGCAATTTAACTCCTGGCAAAGCAAAGTCACAACATGTAACTTAGATTTAGTTGTAAGACATTCAATTTAAATTAAGAAACATTAGTAAATATATTAGAGATTCCTCTACTGAAAACAATAAAAAAGGAGATAATATGTTGAATACATTAATCCAATAGTCTTAATAAGCAATACAATCAGCTAGATAATTTAGTATTGATAGACCTATTAAGACATCTCCTATTGAATCGTATAATTTCAAATAAAAATCAAATAGATCTCCACATATTCAAAAAAAAGTAATTAGCACTTCTTAAAATTTGTCTTCCTAAATTAGAAAAAGCACAGAATAACAACAAAGAAGCAGTGCATAGTTTGATAGACTACTTAATGAAAATACTTCATTGTTGATGCGAATCTAAGAATTAGAACAAAAAGTAAGAAATTGATGTTAACAAGTGAGAATTAATTATTATAAATGAAATGTTAGTGCAGCAATTAGAACAATAAAAGATCATAAGAAAATGTACTCAAAATAACAAATTAAAATAAAGGTGATATAGATGAATTCTTACAATCACATCATTGTAATGAAAATGAAAATAGAATATTAAAAGAATTAATAAATAGGTAATCCTCTATTATGCATATCCCATCAGTCATTTAAACACTTTCACTTATAAAATGAAATCATAATATATAAATAATAATAACTCAAATGGTTTCATTAATTTCCATTTAATTTTATCTATTAATTCCATAAATAATCTAAATTTTATATTCATTTTAGAACATTGTCATTTTCACATATTAATCTTAAGATACAATTTTGTTATATTCTACATAATAGTTAATATAAATAATCTTATAAATTAGATTAATCATTATTTTCTATAAAAAGTCATATTAAATATTGAAAATATTTCTATTTATATCAAATATTAATTTATTAGATTATTTATTATAAATGTGCTCATTATATTTTTGTATGATTCTTCTAATAGGACCATTCATATTATTATAATTAATTTTATTTAAATCATAAATATATTTATTAAATAAGAATTTTATTATAATTTTTATCCAATTCTTCTTTTATCAAGCTAAAAAGTGTTCAAGATGATTAAGTATATTGATAATAAATAATTTTGCATAAAATTTCTTTGATATAAAATTAAAAAATTGATATTAGTTTAAATTAGCCAATAAATAATTACAACAATATTTTTTAGGTCCATTCAATTCTGATTGAAAATGTTATTTAGTTTATTATTTAATTCTAAATAACATAATTTAGTATCATAATTATAGATATCTATCATAAGAGTTTAGTAAGTCTTATGTAATATTGAATAAGTATCTGATGATTGTTTTTTGATATTCCAAATAGTTAATTACTTTATTAACTTGAAATCAATTTCACATTCTGATTTTATAAATTAAAATATATTAATATGTTCTATATGTATTTAATTGTTGCATAGATCATAACTTATTTTAAATTTTCATTATTGCATAAGTTTATATGATCAGGATGTAAAATTTAATCATATTCTAAGTTTGTTTTTGAAAAGTATAGAAAATATTTCTTTTTTCTCCAGAATATCTCTAAGATAATTAGATTGACTATATTATTTTGAATTGCGTTTAGGTATACAAATAATATTGTTATATTTATTATTAACAAAATTATATTCAGTGATTTTTTCCTAATAATCAAATACATTTTTCTTATTTCTTTTTTTTTTAGATAGCAATCTCTTTAAATTTAGTTTCAACAACTTGTTTGAACTTCTTTTCCTAAGAAGATTTATTTTTAAGGCTATTTCTAGCATTAATGAACCAATTTAAGACCTATATGTAATAGAGATTTAAATTTACTTATTTATTGGTGAGATTTGTCTATTGAACTAATTATTCAACTTATTATTGCTTTGGATATGGATTATTATAGTTTTCAATTAACCATTTTTTAAGTATCATATTAGCTGATTTAGAGTAAGTCCTTTTAGTATTAACTAAGAAATGAATATAAATAAATTATACTTGGGTAATTTGATAACAATTTTAGTTTCTAAATGTCTTCATAGAGTTTTATTTTGTTTTAAATTTGAGTTGTGACTTCTTCAAAAAATTAGGTTGTTTATGTTTATGTGAATGTACTATATATTTTATCATCAATCATTCTCTATTTCAGAGTTTCAAAAAACTTTTTAAGTAAAGTATTCTTGTCAACAGTCTATGATATAATATATAAAAATCAATACACTAGTTTCTTAAGTGCATTCTACATCAATAGAATCGTTTTTTTTAATTATTTCCTCTGTTAAGCTTTATCCTGTCTATTATTGAGTAATCCAACTAAACCAGATATGTTATAGTGTTTTCATCTCTTATATTGCTTTTTGTGCTTTTGATTCGTTTACTAGAAGTGTTAAATATCTTTTAATACCTTATTACTTAAGTTATAGGTATGAAGATTCTTTCATATCATCTTCTTTTATGGTTTGGAATTGCATATTTGTAGAGGAATCTTTTTTTATTTTAAAAATTGATTAAATTAAAGTCAAAATTTTACTGATTAATAGCATATCAGCAGAGCAGATGAATGACGTAGGTATAGATTTTATAAAAATACACAAGCAGTTTTGGAAATAAATTTTTGATATTATACAAAATAACTGAATTTTATATCATTAATTTTAGGTATTAAATAAATTAAGAAATAATTTGATTCATTAAATAATTATTGAATTCACATATTAAATTAGGAATATATTTAAGTGATTTTATTTCTAATATAATTTTAGTTTAAGTCAAACAAATTATTTTTTAATTCCATAATCAATTTTAATTATTTGATTATATACAATTCAAACGCATAATTTTCAGTATGCTTTTATTAAGTATATTTGATTATTATTCATTATTAAAATAATTGTTAGAGTGAAAATCATTCTATTAATTAGATTAGAAAATAAGATGAAACAAAATAAAAATGAAATAGATATATTATAATTTAAAAAATTAGAAAATAATATAATTTATTTTATTCATATCCATTTACATAAAGACATTTTAGGATCATAGATTAACATATTTAGATTATTAGCATATATCTATATATATTAATTATATACATTATTTGCTATTTCTATTAATTTTGTTAATTAATTAATGGATTATTTGCCTAATTGCTAGATTCATGATAATCCAATTATATTTTTAGATCTATAACCAAAAATATCTAAAGGGAAAAGAGCCCTTTGCAGATTATGTTAACTAAATAGACCAACTCCAATTGAAAAAGCTTTAGATATCAAAAAAAAATAAATAAAATCTGAATTGGAATAATACAATGAATATTTTTCAAGCTTTTTGTATTCAATTGAAAGAACAATAAAAGATTTGGACACTGTGAAAAGTTAATTTTCGAAAAATATCCAATAAATAGAAGAAAACCTAATTAAAGAGAAAGAGAAATTACTTTAAGAAAAAAATGAGATTATATAAAATTTGAACTTGGATTTTCAGTGTTTAACTATTACTCAACTTTAAAATATTGGAGAAGAATTAAGTTAAAAGAATCCATAAAACTCATAAAACTTTGAAAAGAATAAAGAGAAATTTGATCAAGAAATTAATTAAATTATGAAATGCAAAGAATTAAAAATACTATCAGATCTAATAACTTTATAAGATAAATTAACACTAATTTTAAATCAAAAGGAATCAGAACCAAATCAAAATAAAGGTTTTATCGAATATAGTCTTAATAAAGAAGAACTATATTTAAATTAGAAAAATCATGTATTATTGATAGGTGGTAGTGGGAGTGGTAAAACAACTCTATTTAATAAAATCACTAATTCAAATTTAAATGTTGAATAAGGATAATAAATTACTAGCGATATCTACATTAAAAACTCATAATATGGAGAAGGATTTACATTATTTGATACACCTGGATATGTTAATTAAGGAATGTATCTAAAAACATTACCAGCATATTTATATACATTAGAAAACTTTGAAATTTCTAGAATAGTGGTTGTTATTCGTTTTAATCGTTTATATAATACAATAGATTCTTATGGCGATATATTAACTGTATTTAAAAGATATAAAGATAAAATTACAATAGTGATTACTTTTTTTGATTAATGCATTAAGAAAGAATATGTTTAAAATTAAATAATATCTTAATTTTAGTAACACTAGATTAAATCTATAATTTTTACTTAAATTTAGGATACTGGTGAAACACTATGTAAATTATTAGATACTGAGATAAAATCTTCTTATCAATAAAAAATTTAATTAAAAGAAACTGAAATTATTCAAATATTGAAATTGGAAGAAGATAAAAATTGTTAATGTGATATAAAAGATAAAGAATATAATTTAAATTGTAAATTAAAAAAAATCTTAAAACTACCAGAAATGAATAATATTGATAATATTTAGTAATTTTAGAGTTCTCTTGAATCAATTATTTTATAGGTAATAAAAACTAATTTTGAAATGTTTTAAAGAATAGAAAAAAAGTATTATAATCAATTTTAAGAGTTTTTATATTTATAAAGTTTTATCAATTTTACAAATGGTTAGATAACATAAATTTTAATTGTAGCTGAACAAAAAATGAATAAGATTTAATGGGACTAATATAAAATTAGTATTTTTTTATATAAAATCATTAGAATTGCAGAAGTACATATAAAATCAAATGATTTCTTATGATAATAGTTTGGAAATAGCTCATTAAAAATGCATAAATATGTTTAAGTCTTATGTTAAAAATGTAAAATTCTATTATTATTGGGATATTAGTAATTGATTTTTTATTTCATATATTTATATTATTTAATAATGATTAGGGAATTCTTAAAAGATAATACAGAAAGTTGCCTTGATTTGATAGATAGAGGTGAGAATCTTGAAGAAGTTGATAAAAAGAGTGGCAAATCATTATTATAAATTGCAATAACAAATAATAATTTAGCTTTAGTCAAGGCTTTATTAACTAAGAAGGCCGATGTCAATTTTGTAAACAAATTTGATAAGAGTACTCCTTTATTTACATCAATTTAATTAAATTTCTTAGAAGCAGCATAAGCATTATTATAAACTCATTAAGTTGATGTTGAAGTAGAAATAGAAGAGAGAACATATTTGGAACATGCAGTAGTGATTGGAACAGTGTAAATGATCTAATTGCTTATAAGTAATAAGTGAAATATAATTAGAATATAAGGTGCCGATATAAGGAAATCTACTACATTTAGCTATTAATGCAGAATAAGATGAAAATGCATTATTTTTAATTTAAAATGAAATAGGATTATTTAATTAAGATGAAGATCAAGAGAATGTTTTACATTTATTAGCATTTAATGGTAATGCTGAATTACTTAATGCTATAATTAAAAGACACATAAATAAACCATTTTAAGTTGATATTTGGAATTAATAAAATAAAGAAGGAAATGCACCTTTACATATAGCTGCAATTAATGATAAGTAATTATTCTTGAAAGTATTACTTACAAATAAGGATAATATTAATTTGGATGTGAATAAATAAAATAGAGCTGGATTAACTTATTAATAAATAATAGAAGATAGAAAAAAGAAAGTTGAATTAGAATAATAAGAGTAATAAGTAAGAAAAAGATAAATAGCAGAAGATAGAGTAAGTATTTAATTAATTAATTAGAAAGAAAGATAATAATAAAGGGCTAAGGAAGTAGAGAATCAGATTATAGAAGAAAAAGAAGCAAAAAGAAAATAAAAAGAATAAGAAGCTAATAAAGAAATCTTATAGAAGAAAGAAGATACAAAAAATAGACTTGTGATGTTGGCTATCTTTGCCGTTGTTATTCTAGGATTCTATGTAGTGTTATAATTTAGTATTAAAAACAAATGAGTATCAAGATGTGAATTTATTATATTTAAATGAATTTATGACATTGATTTCTATAATCTCAACCTAATAGTCTTAATAAATCATAATGAGATAATATATGATCTATGAATATTATTTAATTTTTGGATTATAACACTTCTCAAGATATAATAATTATTAATTATTATTTTAAGATCAAATTATATCATTTTATTTATAAATATAAATATATCTAAACTGAATTTAGTTAGAAATTCACGTCAGTTTGAGTGTCAGAATTCTAAACATGTTATAACATAAAAATAAGGATTTGATTAATATGAATGTCATCTAGAAGGTAATGAAGAATAGGTTGTTGACTTTTTATTTATATTGGATTCTCTTAATTTTTGCTATCATAAGATTATGAATATGAAAATTTATAATCTATCATAAAAGATAGTTTATAGAAATATCCTGAATAATTTAAAGCATAATCTATATTGAAAATGACATTTGAAGAATTTCTAAAATTGTTATTCCCTAAGTTTCCTGAATTTCGATTAGTTACTGAAAGATATAGATTATTGTAACATGCCTTGGAAGTTTTATTCACATTTTATGAAGGTGAATTTGTGAGTGTAATCAAAGCTGCTAACAATTCTGCAGCTAAATTACTTAATATATTAATAACCTAATTTCTAGGATTTTAGGATCATGAGATAAATAAATCTTTTTTTTAATAAACGATCATAAATTGTAAAGGAGATATTTATGCTGCATTAAAAGGTTTAGTAAATTTAATGATATTGAAATCTTAACAATATTTCCAGATTATAGAGTTCCATAAACTTTAAATCAATTAAATGTTTTACAATATAATGAAGAATTGACAAATAAGATAAAAAATTAAGTTAATACCTCATGGATTAGAATGTGAAATTGAAATTAGAGCTAACAGTATAATACCAGTAGAATTGATAAAGGAGGAATTTAAGAAATTAGGATAAAAATTAAATAGTATAGAAGTCGATTGGATACTATGGTAAATTGTTGAAGAATAATGATTTGACATATTACAACATCATAGAAATTTGTCTATATATTGTATAAAATAAATGTATATTAAATATATATTCAAGACAAGAAAATAATAAAATTATTGATGTATCATACTTTAATTTCCATATCATATTATTTATAGTTGATATCAATATATGTAAAATCCTCTTTTATATTTTCAATCATAACCTCCATCATATACAACATAACCAAATTTATTATAATTCGAATATAACCCAATCTATTTTTTACCATTTTTTATCTTTTCCTCTTCTTTGCAACCCTCCTTCATTAATAGAACCAGAATAAATTATTTTCATTTGGTTTTTCCTTATTCTGTCATTGATCCTGTCTTTAATACTTATCATATTTTTCTATTTTTTTCTTAGCCTTATTCTTTATTTTTGATTTATTGAATAACTTCATTAGACTAATATGAATATTAGTATATAGAATTAACCTATTAATAATAAAATAAATGAATAAACGTGATATTCTGTTATAAGCACGTGAAGGGTATGTATTAATCAATTAATTTAGTCGTAAATAATCTGAATAGTAACTGAGTCTTTTAATGAATCGAATTAACCTCATATAATAAAATCAACTCAAAGTCATTCGAAGGATTAAATTGCAATAGAAGTCTGTTGAAATGAAACAATTCATACAATCCGAACATGATTCATTTAATTAGAGTGTTATATACACATTATTATGATAGAGACTAATTTAGAATATGCAAAAATTATAGCAATTACAGCAAACTTAATTAATGGCAAAAACAAAAAAACAATAAAGTGAAGAGGGACGTAAGAAAACATAAGAACAATAAAGATGGATTAAGTAATAAGAGACTTAGAACTTGAAAATTAAGAAACTTGAATTAGAGAGACAAATACAGTAATAAAGAGAATCTGAACTAATTAAGAATATTGTCAGATACAAAAAACTCAAATAATAAAGAGCATAATCATAAATGAAAATGAGAATTAGATAAAATTCTAATGAAGAACTTAGAAATAAGGAATATTCTTAATTATTAGAGGTTGAATGTCAAAAAAGAATATAGACAGAATAATCTATTCGCAAATTAGAGTAGAAGGAATAATTATTGATTTAAGAACTATAAACATCATAATAGTTGAGTTCGACATACTCACGTTAATTAGTATTATTCTTTATTAATTTTAGGATCCTAGAAACATTACCAAAATTAGAGCAAAGTCTTACTTTCTCTGATGAATATTTTTTATATTAATATATTATCAACATATATTTAATATAATCATTAAACATTGTTTTTTAGGTATTTTTTTAAGTAATTAATTATGTAAATAAGATTAAATATATATTCAATAATTTGGTATCTATTATAATTAATATCAGTATGGGATAAAGAGATTAATACTATAAAGAATTAAAAAGTTAAAATGTATATCTTCTAAAATGGATGCTACATGTACTCTAATTTTAAATTAAAGTGATTTATGCTTTTAAATAATGCTTAAAAGCAAACTGTTTTTGTTATTTATTATAAATATTATTTTGTCAAAGAGGCTAATCAATTTACAACTATTTTTTTTATTACTCTGGTCTTTTAACTAATATAGTAATCCAATAATATTTTTTCCACAAATAGTATTAAAATAACTTACAAGAGTAACAATATAAATTTTAATGTAATTTTAAACTAAGATGTATTTAAATTTTTATTATATCTCATAAACGTTTAAGAATTTAAAGGATTTAATTTATAAATATATTACTAATTATTATAAGATTCTTTAAAAATAAAAAAAATAAAATAAAAATATTATTTAGATCTAAATTATCATATTTAAAGAGAAGAAAATAATTAAAAAGATATAAATATTTAAATCTAGTTAGATAATTTATTATTTTCTATATCAATAATCTCCTAGAGTTTGCTGAATTAAAATAACAGCTTTCAAACCATGAAATATGACATTTTGTGTTTCATATAAGTAAAACATTAACAGAGAAATTTTGTGAGAAAGCGCTAGTGGAATTCTAATAGAAGAATCAATATAATGCTAATTTTGAAGCTCATAAAGGAAATGGAACTATTTAATATGGCAAGAGGATTGCTTAAAAATATTTGGTTAACATTTATTTTGTTACAATAAAGATCTAGTTAACACTATTAGCAATTCAAAATATATACTTATGTTACTATAAAAATAGAAGAATAATATTGATAGATTTAATAGATAACAAATTAAATATCTGTTAATTCATAGATAATGAATAGTAATATAAAAGATGTTGTTTTGATAAAGTGTGATAAACTTTATGAGTATCAATTAGAAAATGATATTGAAAGAAGAGTGTTTTAAGATTTGAATAATATATAATAAATCTTACATTCTGATTATGAATACTGTATGTTTTACAATTTCTTGCGTTTTATAAATAAGTTTAATGAATAAAATACGCCTTTTATTTATTATTATTATTAAAAATGGAAACTGATCCTATGAATGTTACATAAAATTAAACTTTAAATAGGCGTCATTATCCAAAAGATGTTCAAGTAACTTAATTTGTATGATAAAAAGGGTTTAAAATCGGAATGGTATGGTATTGAACATCATCTGTAAGAGATTGGATAAGACATTTAACGCAATGAAAGAGAAATTTTGAATCTAAGAAAGAAGGAATTATTGTACCTGATTATTAATTCATTCTTTTAGGACTGAATTGGATCGTAAAATGCTTGAGTAATTGCAAATTAAACAGAAAGAATTGGAGTAGAAATATGAAGATGCACAAGAGATGAAAAGGCGATAAATGAAATTTTAAGAAGAATAAAAAAAATTCTTAGAGGATAAGGCTGTGTTGTAAAAAGGAATATCTTCTATATATGACAAATAAAAATAAGATTCTTTAATTAGAGAAATGGATTTGAGACAATAAAAATTAGAGTGGGAATAATAAGCTTTGGATGAGAATAGAAGGAGAATGGAATAGGATTTCTTATAGAGGAGATTATAGAAAGAATAATGGGCTAAAGAATAAGATGCAGACCTTAAACTATCATAATTGAGACATATGGAAGAAAGAGAAAGATTTAGAAATGATTAAATAGAAATTCAAGAATTGAATAGAAGAAATGCTGAAAAAGAATTAATTAAAGAGGAAAATTATAAAAATGTATCAATTATAAAATTTAATTAATAGTTTTATAGGCTTTGCTCTCAAAATTAAGCTTAATTGTAGAAAATGCATATTGACAATGTTCTTTAACCTTTATTAGAGAGATAAGCTCAATTAGAATCTTTGATTGCTAAAAATATGGATGCTTATTAAAGAAAACTACTTCAAGATGAATTAGATAGAGTAATGAAGAGACAAGAAGAATATAGATAAACACTTAATGCTAATAGAAAGATGTTGGATGATAGAGAGTAAGGAAAAGTGTAAGAGAAGAGTGTTAAATAAGAATAAAATAAATAAAGATTAGAAGATGTAATTTGATTATATTATTGTATTAGTTGTCAAATTATAATCAATTTTTAGTTTAAAGAAAGGTTGATTAAGTAGAATAATAAAGATAATACAAAGAATATCTAGATTAATAACGTATAGAAAAGTATTAATTATCTATTATTTTAGAGAGGAATAAAGATTGAAATAACTGAGGATGGGAAGATAAGAAAAATCAATGAATATGTTGGATTTGTAGGCATATAAAAATTAAGAGACATAATTAAATGCAAAGATTATTGGATGGTCACCATAAGTTGGGTAATATATATATTTATAATTAAATAGTTAATTACCACCAAAATAAGATTATTTATTAAAATAACAATCTCTAGCTTAATTAAAATAGGATGAAATGAATACAATTAATTAAAATTTGAGTAATGTTTCTCAAGTTAGTCGAGGATAAGCTTTAAGAGGAGCAGGATAAAATGCAATTCATTAAAATCACAATCCCTTAACAAATCCTATTCCATTTAATAATCAGAATCCTTACATATAGAAATAATATGAGTAAATGATTAGACCAAGACCTTATTGAAATTTATTCATATTCAATAATAATGTTTCATATCATATACTTTTTAATTTTATTAATAAATTTTAAATATCTAGATTATTTTTAAATAATCATTTCATTCTTTTTATAGATAAAGTAGAGCAATATAATAAATTCTTAATAAATATTAACTACTCCTTAAGTATATTATAAAATAATTGTTTTATAAATTATGAAAGCTTTACGTAACCTCCTTAATAAAGACTATGAAGATTTTCTCTAACAAAAACATGAATAAAATAATCAAAATAAGTTAATAACTAAAAGAACTGTTGCAACTCGTGAATCAGGAAGACCTATTGGATCACGAACTCATTAAAGAGTTTAAAAACCTGTATCAGCAAGTTAAAGTATGGGAAATCTATTTGGAAATGTGAAAGGAAGTTTATTCACATCCCCTAAACATTCCATTTAATAGGAAGCAAGTCCATATTTAACTGAATAATAAGAAAAATTTTTAGTTAAGCAATTTTGGAGATCTTTACTTCGTTGGTAAGGATTTGATGATTATTTGTTTTTGAGGGATCCATTAAATATAAAACATATAAAAGGGAGGGATATTTTAACAAAGAATGATGTAGTTGAAGAATTGAATTCATAAAATATGCATATGTAAGTAATGTATTAGGCAGACAGTGGGATGCAAGAGTATAAAGATTAACATAGAAGATTATAAATGCAATAATTATAGAAATTATATTAACCAGGAGAAGCTAATTATTAGAAATTTAATCCAGATAAATATAAATAAACATTTTTTGGTGGGAGAGATGTAGCTAAATTATAATAGATAGTGTTTGAGAATCCAAAATTTGTAGAGTTTATAGAAAAGATATAAAAATTATTATAGATTATGAATGAGAAGATGGTTGTTGAAGAAGTGAATTAAATCTCACCTATTGGAGAGAGAATGATTAGATTATTATGGAAAATAGGATGTTTAAATATGTTTTTAGTTGGTTATTATATTCATAATATGATATTGGAGATATATGGTAAAGAGAAATTGGCATATTCAAATTGGAAAAAGGTATTGAGAATATGTAATATGCAAGGAAATCATTGTCATAAATATAAATTAATAGCTTATAAACACATATCTAAGATTTGTATAAAGCTTTAATAATATGATAAAAGTTTAATTTATCTTAAGAAAATGCTAAAATTATCATGGATAGTTAATGATACTAATTATGAAATATTTACTTATGATAAAATATCATTATGTTATTATTACAAATAAGATATGAATAAAGCTATTTATTATCATGAGAAATTTGCATAAGGGGAATATGAAGAACCAGGTAAAGGTATGAGAAATGTAGGTGAAGCAGCATATTTATTAGATGCTAAAACAAAAGAAGGATTTATAGATCAAAATTCTTATTCAGAAGATGAATATGATTTAGATGTATTGTTATAGAATGGAAATCTTAATAAATGGGAAACTGAAAATAAGAGGAAAGATCTTAAAATATTAGTCAAGAAAATACCTATAGAATATAAAAAAGGACATAGTTTTGGTAAAATACATAGACCAACTAATAATGTAATTGATTTTAAACATGCTATGTTAATACTACATTAATTTTAAAATAAATAATCAATTCCATTAGGTCCTATTTATTAAAAAGAAGAAGTAGATTAGTAAGAGTCAACTGCTAAAAAGTTTAAAAAGAAAGACTAAACACAATCATGTCAATATTTATTTAATTAAAAGAGTACAAATAGAGTTGCATCTAACTTTTTATTACAAGAAGAAATTAAAGAGTAAACTACTGGTGATAACTTATGTTTTAAACCATCTGAAAATGTTTACTATATCAAAAAAATGATCAGAGTCTTTTAATATGATCTTAAGTATTTATTATAGAAACAATCTCTTTTTAAAAACTCCACTGATTGTATATGATAATAAATATATGATAATTTATTAATCTATTAAAAAATTAAACACTTAATCGTCCAAAAATTAAAAAGAGATCTTTTAGTAAAAAAGTCTAGTGTTATAATTAAGGAAAATTCCACTTTTCTTTAATAAGTATATTAATCGGGAGCATAAAATAATTAATAAATAAATGAATTTTTAGAAATAATTAGTCACTCTTCTACTACACACTTTTCCTCCATTAAATTAAGATCATTATATTCTCTAGATATAAGAATCTTTTATTACATATGCTTTATTAAGACTTCCCTAAAAAATTTCATTTATTAATTGAAGAAGTGTCAGATATGAGGATGTATATGGAAATTCTATTTTAATGAAAAAATTAATAGATTAAAATAAACATAGACATAAACATATATTTTTGATTAATCTTCAAACTTTTATGATTCTATTGATTAAAAATTTGAATTTAAATGTTTGTATCCTTCAAGATTATGAAGACATGTAGTTCAATTTTAGAATTAATCTTATCCTTTAGAATTTATACCATAAGTAAATGAATAGTTAAAAATTGAGCCAATACAAAATAATAATTCAATTTAAATGTAAAGCATTAAATATTAAATAATTAACAAATGCCATTTACATTTTAAATTAATAAATTTATCATAACATAAGAGCTCATACCTTAACATAATTATAAGATTTATATTTAAAGTTTAATTCTAAACAAATATAATTAGCTTAGAATTAATACTCATTTGATAGAATTTTAAATAAATGCTATGTAAGAAGTATTAATTGAATAATATTTTATAAAATTAGCAAAAGATATTTGTAAATATTTTTAGAAAACCTTAAGGATTTGATTACTCTTAATTTAATCTAATCAATTTTACTTCAATAATTTAAGTCTTATTCTTAAATTTGAACATTTTTATGTTATACGTCATCATCCAAAATTAAAATTAATTTATTAATTATATATTCTACAATGAATAAGAAATATTATCAATTATTTACAGAGTCTCAATAAAACCATTCTTTACCATAAATTCTCTCTACCCAATCAGTAAAAGAGACAGGGTCTTTTGAAGAAATTATTTTTGATTCTTCTTTTGTTATTTCCTCATCCATTTATATTGTAGGTACTCTAGAAGATTTATTCACCACTATTCTATATCCACATTCAAGGGATTTCTTGACTCCTGGCATTAATGGGCCAGGTTCTTGACTAGCTGATTAATGACTCTTTCTACTATTTTTGCTAGAAACAAAAAGCTTTCTATTTGGTATTACAATTATTGGGCTTTTGATCTTTTTGTTAGTCTCCACTCTAAAAACCGATTCTAGACCGTCCATGGAATTCCTTGCGTTAAAGTGATTATGACTCTTTTGAAGGTTGATTTGCTCCTTTAATGGTTATTTTAATGAATTCTTTCGTCTAACATAATCAATCTCATCTCTTTAAGTTTATTTGTTCAATATTATTCTATGAAGTTATCCAGATAATAAGGTTCTATTTGATTATACTGATTTATTAAACATTGAAATTTTTTAAATTAATTTATTAAAATAGCATTATTACCTAAATCTTAATTTAAATGACATCATATTAATTATTATTAGAATATGTTATTTAATGGTTAGTTTAAAGGATATTATATCTTTATATATTTAGTTAATATATTTTAATTATTAAGCTTATTAAATACAAATATATTTAATAATATTCATATTACTATTTATATGCAAAGTAGTTGAAAAGCCTAATTTATTTTTAATATTACTAAAATTATTTTCAGAGATGTAATTTAAAACAAATAACAATTTTTATATGTAATTCAATCAGATTCACAGTTTATATCAAGATAAACTATAAAAATGACTTTTTAATCTACAAATAAAATGACGCCCTTTATAACAATATAATTAATTCTAAATTCCATATAAATGCAGAAGACTCAATATTTTATAGATTGATTCATTTAAGTAATTTTATTTTATATTTTATATATAGTATAATTAATTATAATACTATGAGAATTTAAGCTACATCATTCAGATTGCCAGCATTAAAATTATAACCAAAAGACTCTTATTAATGTCTCAGTTATGGAGATAATAATCTTTCAAACTCATCAATGATTAAATACTAGAGTAGTCCACTCAGAAATTATGATCCTTCTCCAATTAAAAAGAGAGTTCGAGGAATGACTATAGCTATATATAATAGTCAAGAAAAGCTCAAGACAGCTGATTATAGAAATGGAGGGGAATTCATTACTTAAATCTAACAAAATAATTAAAGTACTTCCGTTGTCAATACTTTTCGACGATATAGAAGTAAACTTAAGTAATTGATGTAACCTGCAAAAGATGAAGGAGTAAATTCAAGAGACCCTCGTTTATTTTCATTTAAAGATCCTGGAGCTACTATTCGCCTTGACAGATTGAATAATGATCACAAAGATCAACAAATTTAAGATAAAGTAACACAACTTATGGGCAGGGTTAGATTGCTTTTTTCTTCTAAATAATTCTATCAAGAACCTCTACATTAAGACACTTTCCAAGTCACCCTTGTAAAACTAAAAGATGAATATGATTGTTTATACCAAGATTTTAATGACTATTATGTCTAAAATAATAAATTAGATAAATAAGTCTTACAACTACTAAATCATATGGAGATTATCGAAACCTTACTTAAACCTAAACAGCCTATAAAAATCAAAAAGTATCAACCACAATAACCTAATATCATACAACCAGAATAATAACCTCCTATTGTTGAAGCATAAGAAATTGTTGAAGAAACACCTTAACAATCTTTAATTGTTGAGCCTCCACAATTTTCTCCTTAACAACCAAATCAACTTTCAACTCATGAACCTAGAGAACCAAGTGTATTCACTCCTCTCACTTCTAAACAATATAATAATGATTAATCAATAAGTGATTTGGAAAATGATCAATAAAATAAGCCAAATATTTAAAAAAAGAAAAAATAAAAAAACAAAAAAAGCCCCTAAAAATCTTAAAAGACTATCGTTGTTTAGGAATCAATATTAGATCTTAATGCTTTAGA